TGATCTCCGTCGTCTGTTTTATAAATCCTCTCCAACATTTCTATTTTGGTAACACTGACAACAACCTAGCTACCATTCTAATGGATAGAAGGTCCTAGTATATGTAACAGCGAACAACCACCATTAAACTATGACCACAGCAGACATTGGAAGCAAGACATGAAATAGGCTAATGTATAGCGTCTATCACACGAAAAAGGATTTGACGATCGGATGAATTAAGATGTCCAAGGAGATGCCAAGGAATCCGCAGTAAGCCAAAGCTGGAATAAGAAGATGATAGACGGAAATAGTGTACCACGTATTACTTCACGTGAGGTTTCTATCCATAAATGAATATGTTGTGAAGGTCGTGGAGATTAAGATGATTTTATTGTCCAGATGAAAGATAACTTTATTCCTTAGTCAGGGCAGGATTAGGCTGGGTACGGATGGAAAAGAGAAACGACTTCCTGTACATTGTTTCTGTACCACGGCTGGTGGGCATTCCATTGAGCATATCAATAGGTAAGACTTGCGAATTCGCCCCTTAAGACTAAGACTTGAATTGATGTGAATTGATGATAGCAATAGTCAGTTAGATGAGGTTCTGCAGGCCATTTTGAACCACAATTAAATAATTCTGCTGGTAACCAATTCGTAAGGTTCTGTTCTAGGAGATGATTTTGATGTTACAGTACTACTAGCTCAGACTTACTTAGTACACATGTCACCGTCCTCTCCACATTACACCATCTCGACGCTAACGATTAGCGGGTCGAGCGTTTTTAGGCTTTTCGTTAACCTTATCAAACCTTGACGGAATTAATTAGATCTTAACCTTACATTTACTACATCACTGCATATATTTTTACATTTATCAGACACACACATACGTACAATGTATTTAATTGTACAATCAATACAATACCTACAATACTTACAACACCACTATCGACTACTCTTACACTGCTTGGCTACCAGTACTAAAATGAGCTGAGCTTCAACAATGGTCGAAGGATGGTGTTTTCCAAATCTTAATGATGACCACAAAAGCATCCTGATGGGACGCTACATTAATCCTATCGGCAACCTGCCGATGAACTACTCAACTAAACATGGCAAATCACGTTTCAATCAAGCTCTTGGTGTAATTCCTTCTCTATAGCCGTTTCCATAACCGCTCCTTCAATACAATCCCATTCCCCAGCTGAGGCTCAGCCTGAAGTTATGGTTTGCGAGTCCTACATCATAAGGTTCTTGTTCCTCTGAAAAAGCAAAATAAGAACATGTGACGTTGAGTTTTCATCGAAGATCATTTATTTTCTTTTTTTTTATCACTCAATCCATGTTCTCCTGTTTCCTTACATACATTCTTTTATTTTCTTCTTGGATTAACTTTCCTCTATTTAATAATAGAAGGAGCGATTCATCCTATCGTCGTCGCCGCATTTTCACGCTCGTTTGCTGGCAACCACTCTCGTTCTAGACACTGATGACTTTTTTCATCCACTCATTCCAAAGTTACGGTCTTTGAACGTTTGCTCCCTATTTGACACTGTTGACTTGGCGGCCTAAAGACCAGTCTACCGCCAAATACAGTCTATTTTACAAAATATTTAGCATCCAGTTCAAAAGAGCTATCTATACCTGCAAACCATCCACCATATCTTTCCACTGCAATCCAAAAACTGGGATCGAAATGGTCATCTTTCAAAGAGCTTCAATTGTTTCTATTATTACAATTGCTGGGAAACTTCTATCACAAACAGCACAAGCAATTCCAACGCCTCAAGATCAAAGACTAAGTGGGTATGATTATGGACTAGACATCGGAGCTCTTTTGAAACGGGATGTTCCACACATGCCCACTACTGGAGTGTCGTACACTGGCTCAAATTCATCAATACCACTTCGTCAGGAGATTCGGGATCTAGAGAAGAACGCGGATCTATGGGAGCTATATATCTTGGGAACCTCAATGATGCAAACTATCAATCAGTCCGATATTCGTTCATGGTATCAAATATCTGGTAAATATCAATAAATCTTAAAGATTGAATCTGCTAATACCAATCAGGCATTCATGGTAGACCTTATCTTCCATATGATGGAGTTCAAGCAACTGCGGGTGACGAGAATAATGGCTATTGTACTCATGTCTCCATTCTCTTCCCTACTTGGCATAGGCCTTATTTGGCACTTTATGAGGTGGGGCTTGCTTTGCATTACAATTGAGCTAACTGTATTGACTTTTTCCACAGCAAGTGCTTCACAGCATCGTTCTGTTTATTGCAGAACAATTCCCCACTGAAGCCGAGCGAAAAAGGTATACTGCTGCTGCAGTCAACTTCCGTGTTCCATACTGGGACTGGGCCGCTGTACCACCCACGGGTCAGAGTGTTCTTCCCCCAAGTGTTTCGACGCCTATAATTACCGTGAATGGCCCTGCCGGTGTTCAAACGATCTCCAATCCACTATTTAGTTATTACTTTAATCCCCTTGACCCATCGGAGTTGCCGGATGCGCCTGTGAGTGTAAACTAATCACTCATTATGACCTACTAACACCATAAAGTTCAGCCAGTATTCTCAAACTTTGAGATACCCCACATCAGAGGCTGCCTCCGCTACTTCACAAAATGCCCTCGTTGCTCAACAGCTTGATAACAGTGCTGCTTCATTTCGAAATCGTTTGTATAATCTCTTCACAAACTACCATGATTACAGTACGTTCAGCAATGAAGCTTGGATAACTGCATCCAGCCCTGGAGATTTCGACTCTATTGAATCTCTCCATGATCAAATTCATGGTTTGACAGGAAGTGGTGGCCACATGTCTTATATCGATTACTCGGCCTTTGATCCTATTTTCTTTCTGCATCATGCTATGGTCGATCGCTGTTTTGCTATTTGGCAAACCTTGAATCCAGACAGTTATGTAACGCCCAACGCAGCTTCATATAGCACTTTTACTATGACGGCAGGAAGTATCCAGGATGCATCTACACCACTGAAGCCATTTTATCATGCTGGTGGAAACAACTTTTATAGTTCTTCTGATGTTGTATCAACGGAAGCTTTTGGTTACGCATACCCCGAAACGGTGCAAGGGGGCAATACCACTGCTCAGGCTATCAAAGCCATAAACCGTCTATACGGAACCACTGCCCCTGCAAAGGCTATTTCTCACCGCTCGATCCGAGAAAGTTCTTCAAGAATAGTGGCACGAGAGCTTCAAGTCAATTCCTCGTCTAATCTTCCTGCCTTAGCTACAAATGGTCAATATACAGAATGGATCGCCAACATTCAAGCCAAGAAATTTGCCCTTTCGAAGTCATTCTTCGTTCACGTCTTCCTCGGACCGTTCAAAGATGACCCTTCTAGTTGGTCTTTCGAGCCTAACCTGGTCGGCACTCACTGTGTTTTTGCCAAGCTTTCATCCTCTGGCGCCGTTGCAGCTGATCCCAACCAATTGGTTACAGGAACGATGCCACTCACTAGCGCCCTACTAGACGATATCTCACAAGGTCTTTTGAAATCTTTAAACGAAGAGGATGTAAAGCCCTATCTTAAAAAGAACCTTCATTATCGCGTTACACTGCTAGATGATACTGAAATCGATAATTCAGCTGTTCCAAGTTTAACGATTACCGTAGTAAGCGCTACCGTCCAGCAAAGTACAGTTGACCATGAACTACCGAAATGGGGTCCAATGAACAGTCATATAGAGTTATCTACTGGAGCAAGTAACTCGACGAAGACTTGAATAGGGTATTACACGGGGGCTATATGGGAATGAGAGGGGACACCTGCCCGATTTCAGGTTCATTTGCATAATGTAACAGGAGTTTATGATTTTCTTGATTAGCTTTAATTTTTAGAGGATGGAATTTGTCAAGGATGGTGGGATGATACCATTCTGGAAGCAAGATTATAAGATAGTCAACAAATAATATGAAGATAGATTCGCTATTACATTTCTTATTAATATGCTATGTTATAACCCTGACCATAATGATATGAAGGTCGTGATTGAAGATTTTGTTGTTCGTGATGCCTTCAGCTAGAGGCGCTAGGCTCTTGAATCGCCAGTGCAGATTCCATGGAGCGGATCGGTCATCCAAAACTTTCACCTCCTTATCCAACAGTAGGGTAGCGAATCCCTATTTTCCCAAGGGTCTTATCCATCTACTCGGAATTTGAGGGTTTGCAGAGTCCAATAAATCAATAACGTAAATGCCCTATAATCTTGGGAGAAGCCCTAGCATCAATGCTCAGCCACCAACATCCTTTGAAAAGCCACACAGTAGATAGCCTTACCTAATCACATTCTTCCCGCGGATAAGGTCACTTTAGGAAGTCGCGACGCTACAGCGGCTGATCACTACCCGAACTTTCTTACAGCGTCCGTTGGTCCACCAACATGGACCGACCGAGGTATAGCGGTGCAAGTATGCCTGTAATAGTGACATCACCCAGCATAGCAGATTTGAACAGGCTTCCAAATTCAATCGTATAAAGAATGATACATGCTGGATGACCCCTTGACTATCGTGGGATTAAATTATCGCCCTTACTGATATACATAGAGATCCAAAATGTCTCACATGAAATGGTGAGATCAGGACTTCAGGCGAAACGTTTTTTGACATATGCATGACTTCTAACGCTGTTATAGGCCACCCCAAATAAAAGATATTCAGGTATTCGGCGAGGTTAAAGACAGTATGTCAAGATCCCCAAAATCTCCAGATCATATCCAAATCCTCATCAATTAGTTTCTGGACGTCGATATCCTCGTGACATAGGTCGGCCTGTTTACATCGGAGGCAACACCTACTACCTCTTTGGTGATACTTTCTGCCACAATTCCTCAAACCATTTCGTCGGAGTTGCCAACAATACTATTGCCTATGTACCAGATCCCGAGAATGATCCATTGACATGTAAATATATGCACGATCATGCACACCAACCCTCATTTGTTCCTCATACACCTAGTGAAGATGAGTATGAGAAGGATCCAGCGAATAAAGAAAATATCAACAGGGTTGTCAATTGGGCTTTTGGAGGCATCATTGAGGAATTTCCGGGGTCGAGGGATGGATGGGTATTTTACGAGAAAATGCTTACGGTGAGTTTTGTTCATTAAAAAAGGAATCGCTCGCCAGAGAATAATTTGACTGACAAGATGTAAAGCATGGGTCTACGGCTGGCAAGAGATTTGGTAATGGTGTTGCTCGTGTGCAAGTTCAACCTGACAATTCTTTGAAAGTGGACCGGTTGATGGTGAGTTGTTCATTTTCCGAATTTTTCTCCTAAAAATATCACGGTAGATTTGTCAATGGCATTGGATTAAGAAGCTCTTTCCGTCTCTTCACATTCGCCCTTCAGGTTTTATTCCAAGATGAATCGCTCACCAATGCAGGGCGACAACATCCTGTTCGGAGAGAACGAGCCACAATTTGGTATAACCACTCATGTAGTTGGAGATGATGGCTATATCTATCTTTTAGGTGCCAAAGATGCACCATCCCCAACTCTTGATCTAAAGAACCATTGGGCACGCATCCGGTCAGGCTCTGATTTTACCTTGCGAGAAAATTATGAATTTCTCATTCATACTCTCGATGGGAAGAGCAAAGTATGGGATCGCTCATACTCACTTCACCAACTAGTCAACGTAATTCCGGTCCAAGCACAAGGAGCAATCATCAAAATTCCAAAGCTAGCGCCAGAAGGACGACCATATCTTTGGTTTGGTAACAATAAATTCCCAGCCAATAAAATATATATTGCATGTGCGCCACAACTTGAAGGGCCATGGGAAGAATGGGAAGGACCTGAAATTCCTAGATTTGGAGGTGGTGGTCTAAGATATACTTTATATCCTCATGAGAAAAATTGTCAACCGGCGATGGGGGAAATGAGAATTAGTTGGAGCGATGACAAACAAATGGGTGGAATGGTTATACAAGCTATGTTACAATTTGCGATGGAGGGAGAGGATGAAAATATTGGCCAAAATATTGGAACAGTACGGAAGTCTAGTGGCAGCTGGAAGGATAAAGCAAAGGGGTTTTTAAACTCGCTCAGTTAGTGCGACTTAAATGACTTGCGAATTGCTTATTTTTCAATCTTGCAGGTCAATTTGAATTTACTTCGAAGCCTCCCAACTGCTGAGAATTCCTTTGACCCCTATCCATGGTCGGTAATGTGAACTATGCTGCTAGTCGCAGAGAAAAATTACCTGGTTTTGCTTTAGATATTCTGAGTGAAAATAAAGCTTATATTGGTCTTCGTATACGAGATACATGTATTCCGGAGTCGGAGAGACAGCCAGATATATCTAATTCGCTGTATGATTGTGGCACACGCAGGCAGACCTCTCCATAGACCGGCTATATGCACAATAATCAAGATTCCGACGCATCTGATAACTTTAATGAGAACGTTGCAGCGGATCAGATAACGTTAAATAGGTGATGATAAATAGTCCCAGAGAGTATTTGGTGGATTTTAGATTTTCATTACGAATCCAACTCCGGAGAACTTTGAACTCTGTGTATGAATCAACTCCGAGCGTTCGAAGGCATTGGATGTGGTAAGATGTAAGATCTTACTTCAACACAATCGGTGCCAGATGGGATCCTATGTTTAATATAGATTCAAAGAGGGACCTTTCATACTGCTTTCTTGCAACTGGCTTGCGAAAATATAAAACTCAAACATAAAGTTTCATTTTCCGCATGGGAACTATAGTTGGAAATGAAATCCTCACTGTAGAACAAGCTAGAGCCCCCGGGTACATTACGTCTGTCGCGCCACATGCTTAGTTTTTTCTGTGTGCAGCTACTTTGAATCCTTCATATGCAGCCTACTGTTCAGCTGATCTCATATCGCCATGCCCCCTTTCTTTACACAGGTTACACCCCACATGACTGCCGATTCATTATATATAAGCAGGGAGTACTGTCTCAAAGGCATTTTGCTTTCTTTCTATCTATGCTTTTTGCCCAATCAATCTTTCACTTTACGCTGAATCATCTTGTACACCACCGCATCTCATCTTCATCCTTCCAGCAGCCATTCAGTCATGACTCGGCTAAATTCTTCTCCAATACTGCTCGTTGTTGACATGCAAAATGGGTTTTGTCACCCATCTGGAAGTTTCAGCAAGGTTGGGATCCCAATCCTTCGACAAGCCGCCATTTTCCCCGTCATCAAACGACTCATAGATCTCTGTCGCAGAACTGGCATCCCAGTCTTTTACACACGTATGGAATTTAGCGAAGATTTTTCCGATGCTGGTATAATGATTGATGGCAAGCCAGGGCTTAAGCAAGCAAAAGCTCTTATTCGGGGGACTTGGGATGCGCAGATTCTTGATGAACTTCGGCCGGAACCGTACGATTTTGTGGTGTCGAAACAGCGACATTCTGCGTTTTTTGGCACGGACCTTCATCGAGTTCTGTCGGAGCGGGGGATTGATCAAATTATTGTGACGGGGGTAGCGACAAATATCTGTGTTGAGTCTACAGTACGTGATGCGTGGATGTATGGTTTCCAGTCTTTGACAGTGCAGGATGCTACGGATACGTTAAGTGAGAAAGAACATTTGGCGTCCATAATCAACTTGCAGCATTTTGGAGGCACTATTTCTTCACGGGAGCTAGAGGAGGAATTACAGAAGTGGAGTTTGCTCAATGGGTCTAATTCATTGGGACGCACAAAGGATGTAGAGGAAGGAAGCTTTGTTGCCTAATATCTACCTCCCATCATTATTACTACCATCTCATAATCATATTTATATGTTCTCTGTATTTCTATACCGGTGAAGATTGTCCACTCAATGACTATTTCCACATTTTCGTAAATAACTTCATCCACCATACCAGACGACGCAAATCGAAAAGACCAGTGTTAATTTTTAGCGTGTTTTTATCCTTCGGTATTTGTGGTAGGGCTCCAAATTGCCGCGCTGAGTCCAAGATAATCTCAACCAATTTCTCTGGAGCAGCAAGCTGGGGACTATGCCCAGTGGCGATATCATGAACAATCCACTTCCGACCTGTGCTCTCTAACATTGCACATTGCGCTTCGTACGGGACAGCTTGATCGTGAAGGGTACGCACATATGCGCAACGACCTTGGAATGCCTCGGAATGCCAGCTTGTGAGGGGACATGGACTAGTGAAACATGTGAGGCTTTGGCTTATGCACGACATTGCTAATGCTTCATCCACTGGTGAAGAAATCTCTGCGTACAGAGGTACTTTAGGTTGATCACATTTGATACGTCCCTCGGCGACATTAACATTGATAAATGGAGGCCAGTGACCACCAAGGGAGGCGATTACATCCGCACCATCACCTCCGTATGGCAAGATCGTCGAGATGAATATCTGTCCTAGAACAGAAGTTGTCTTGCCCTGAGCTACGCGCTCCGCCTCTCCTAATCCACGTGCTGCCGCACTACCGGGAAGTCCAGCGTAAGAGTGCATAACTAACACCACGTTATGCTTCTCAGTGTCCAGGAGCGGAATCAGTAAGCGCGATCGGATGAACTCGGCATCTTCTTCTGCACTAATTGGTTTTGTTGCGCCACCACTAGGGAGGAGAGCCGTAAGGGTTCCATAACCACGGCTGTGAAGTAAATGAATCAAATGAGCATAGTGGGAGGGTGTTTGAGACGCGCCAGGAATAATAACGAAAACTGGACGAGAATTTGGAATTGTTGAGCTCATTTTGTCAAGTTCGTAAGCTCCGCAGGTTAGATCTTTGGAAGGAAGGTGGAAAGAACCAGCAGAAATGCCGGGTCAACGATTTATTCCTTTTGGTGGGTTTCGGAGGGTTTTATTGACCATTTTGTTCGGTCCGCAGTTGAACTTGCAGATTAAACTCTGTAGCTGTGCCTCTTCATACAGCATTTAAATTTAGAAATTGAGGATAATGGATAGTTCCATTACCAAACAAACAAACAAACCTACTCAAACCCAGGGTATGTCAAGAAGGTGACATTACAGAACTGTGCCTCGAACTCTTCCTACACAGGATTCTGTACGCTTCCTTGTAAGCAGTTGTGATCAGAGGACATACGACAGAACTGGTAATAATCTCCGCTGACATGAGATGTAATCCGCTTATTCATTGTGAGAGGCGTGTACCATATTCGCTGGTGGCGTTCATACATTGAAGGAATACTACCCCAGCATATTTCGACACACGGTAAGCTAAATGCAGCAGGTAGTTTGAGTTTTCTATTTCGGCAATGGATGTGCGTAAGATATTGGTAATCTTTGCCTTCAGACGAAATCAACCATCTGCTCCTCGTTGAATCTAAAGAGACTAGGTGAAACAAGGTTTTCAGCATAGATCTGCAATGCAGAAATGCAACTACAGCATTGCAGGTAAGATTTCATGCCACCTTCGTGCCAAGTGAAACGATGAATTCTTGCAAATAAAAATGCGAAATTTGAAAGACTTGAGCTACTTGGAGCTACACATGTTTTCATGTCAGTTTTATTCTAAATTGCTTCTACAAAATTTTAAATTAATCTCCAACTCAAAGATTACCCAACTCGAATCACAGCTAAATTCTAATCTAAATATTACATGATTTCCTAGTCCTCCCTAATGCTGATGATTTCGTTCCCCTTATGTTGTGTACTGGTCCCAACGTCAGGCAAATCGGATATTCGAGCCTTTCTATGTGCATCATTCAAGGCTCTTCAGTTCTCGTAGAAGCAGCTTCGTGATTGGACCGTTCACGGGTAAGCCTTTCATAATCTTTAAGTTCTGAAGCAGTTCCGTCAATGCCAGACTCGTTGGCAAAAGCCCGCCTTCTTGAGGAAGTCAAAGAATTGAGGGTTACGGCCGACCGCACACTGTTCACTAAACTCTCTGGAGTTCGGCTTCCGAAGATTGGTCTTAGAGTTGGCAGACAAGCTGCCACGACACCCACACCTACTTCAACATATGACCATACCATGGCGTTTGTTTCGACGCCTAGATTGATAAGTTAGAATAAGAATGACAGTATATATTTGTTTTCTTCTCCACATACCTCTGACGTCCCGCGAACCTGTCGTAGTTTCTATAGAGTATAATTCAGTAATGAAAATAAAGCCAATGACGTAAAACTTGGGTTTTTACTGACCGTAAATATCTTCCGCCACAATAACAAGACGAGCGGTGCCAGCTGCTGTTGACCTTGAAGGCGTAAGAAAGAAAACTTCGCGAGCGGATGATTAATGGAGCTGACTTACAGTAGACCCAGCAAGAAAATCAACGATAGACCGATTTTTCTCTCCTTGGTCATATGAAGATTCCAAATCACGGGCAAAGGAAGTGCAAGGACAATTAAGTCAGTTGCGACATCCGATGCGGCGTGGCCAAGCTGAATGTATTTATATTTTCCACAATCCATTTTGAAGGTCTTTAGACTGTGCCAAAGTAATCCTAAATCTCGTCCGCATTCGAACACAGTAGCGAAGAAAAAGGATATCGTCCATGCTACGATTACAATGCAAACGATAATAGAGATTGTGTTGAAAGTTTTACCGACAAATATTCGGCGATAGAGCATAACAACGCTCAATTTAAGCGCACCGAGAGCTGGAATGATCAAAAGTTGAGAGATACCGGCAAGCTATATCGGTCAGTACAAGAGCAAAAAGACAGTTTCAATTTCTGGGCTCACTTTGGACGTATCAATCTCATGCCATGTTGGAATAACTCCACCAGTTTGCGGATTGAGCTTTGTATGTGTACCTAAACTGCCTCTCGCAGCTCCTGTAAAGAAGACATCAGATTAGGGAAAGACTCTGCAAGGACATGAAAACAAACCGATGATCAAGACGATGGCGAGCGCCCATACAAAAAGCTACAAGCCACAAAATTTGTCAGTTATACACGTTCTTTGAAGACGATACATGTTAAAGAGGAGTTACCATTGAGAATGCTGCGAGGTAGTCATCGCTTTCGAATGACACGTGCTTAAGCAGTCGAGCACGAAATCTTAGAGCCACCGCAAAAGCAGAAGCACAGATGAGAATAGCAGAGACCGTGTAGACACCCGCTTGAGATGGAGACATGATAGCCAAGAGGACTAGAAGTCAAGTGCCAGGTTCGACGATCGTAAATTCCGAGTTGCCTGAAACTTGTTGTTAATACCTACAGACAGATGGTAAGAAAGTGGGGAAGAGCTGATATATTAGGCGAATCTTTTGGTGTCAAAATCTGCAGGTGAGAAGGAATTTGCTCATCTTAGAGTTTTTGTCCCCCCGTTACCTTGTGTTTTGAACAGTCAGGGTAACATACTAGGGCTTATCGGCGCATGGGATAAACTACCATTTAGACTAGATGCTTGGTGGTTCGATTTTGGTACAATGCTACTTGTCGAGAATAGTAATCCTCCTGCGGCCAGGAAAGCATGTCACTGGAAGCCATTAACGTGTGGCGGATCTGGGAAAAGATCGACTGAAGGAGGTTATGTCCGCATAAGATCATGCGATAGGCCAAAGAGGAATCGCGGGGGGATTAGCCGCCCCTGTAAGGGATTTAGTGAGTTGCTTTAGCCTAATAAGTAAGATTAACAAAGGGGGGAGATAATAAAGTTATGTTACTATTATCGCCGTATTATGTCAGCGATTAGAGTGAGGTAGCATTAAAGGTCGAACTAACATGGCCAGTTTCGCGTTCACGTAGTATTAGTATATTCGTTCTGGGAAGCTGTAAACCAACTGAACCCGAAAAAGCCCGACTAGTTCCTTTAACATTTATCTCTTACAAATCCTGGACATTTATGTGTGATTATAGTAGAATCATCCAATCTACTACGGAGGTATAATTATTATTATCAGAGTGGTAATTACTACCTAGGTGGTTATACTAGGCAATTAAGCTTTAGAGATTCTAGATGAACTTCTATCAGTGGGGAACATGGGGCATGTCCACTAGTCTCCAACCCCCCACCGTCCGTGCCGCATTACAGCATTCGTTAGTTTTATGTAAGATCCTATGAGTGTGCTATACCTACCTACCTACCTACCTACCTACCTACCTAGGTATACCATAGATTACGGCTCTTTTTTTTTCGGAAAGTCCGTTAGAAGTGAAGATTCTGATGACATGAAGTTCCCTATTGGAGGAGTTTACGGTTTTCTCTAAAGCCGTTAGATTCAGGTACCGATTTCCCGACTTGGCCTGCTTAGACGCGGTGTCGGGGAAGAATCCGGCCGATGGATGTTCGTTTATTGTGTACATGTGCCTCAGAGGGAAATCATTAAATCACTATTAAAGTGAAAATAATACCCCCGCCATGTGTGTCTTGATATCTCGCCCTTAAATTGACTTGCCACAGCTCAATAACAGAACTCACGTACAGTTTTCGCCTTCTACACGATGCCTTCCGAAATTGAAAATCAGGAATATTCGGAGCCCGCCTACACAAAGTCAGTAGACAGGGCCAAGTTTCCATTCTATCATCCCAACATCGATGAAAAGCTAGTTCCCGAGGTAATTTACCGCTTTTTATTCCTTCACATGCGTCTACTATCACACTTTGCTAACTTGAATCCCAGACTAGAGAGCTCCTCGAAAAGTACAGCCATATTCCACCTGAGCAGCAGTCCCAGCATGTTCATAGAGTTGTAAGTTGACTTTCACTCAAGTGGTGCCTAACCTCAACTGCTAATTCAGAATCTAGCGTGACCTAGCATGGGATATTCGTGCGTACCCTTGCACTGGAGTCGGCGCATGGCTTGTACCCCAGCTGTGCAGAAACCCCGTTTACCCTGATATTCTGAAGCGGGTACAAGCTGGTGAGACCTTGATGGATGTGGGCTGTTTCGTTGGCCATGATTTGCGACGACTTGTCTACGATGGAGCTCCCTCAGATAAATTGTATGCAGTCGACATCATCAGCCACTGGGATGTTGGATACGAAATGTTTCGTGATCGAGGTCGATTTGAAGCCCATTTCATTGAAGCGGATATCGTGTCTCAATCAGGAAAACTTACACAATTAAAAGGCCAGATCGATATAATATCAATCACGCAAGTGATTCATCAATGGGACTGGGATGGGCAGATCAATTGCTGCAAACAGCTTACTGGTTTTACCAAGGGACCGGGATCAATGATTGTGGGCAACCAAATTGGAAATCCCAAGGCTCAGGAGGTTACTTTGAAGTCACTGGTTGTTCCCATGTACCGACACAATCCTGAGTCTTTTGCAAAGTTATGGGATCAAGTGGGCAGTGAGACAGGCACAAAATGGGAAACCCAGGCATGGATCCGAACATTCGAGGAGATGTCGTTTGGTGCCCAAGATGGGGCTTGGATGGAGCCTGGTGTGTCACTTATCGAATTTGTCGCCCAACGCATAGAGTGAAATCACTTATTATCAGAGTCAAAAGTTGGCACGGGTCAGTTTAGCAACATTCCATATCTTATTCTTTCTGACCTGTAATTGAACGAACATATTCCCTGTCCAGTGCGCTTTGTTGTGAAAATAGCATTCTTGATGATGACATGCACACTGAAAATACTATCAATTCTGCCATGTCTCTTCCCGCTTGTATTGTGAATCTGAATTTACTCGAACTCTTCTCCGGTGTTGATATCAATTGAAAAATAATTCAAAGCGAGCGTGGTCGAAGGACGGCTGGTTCTTTCCGATGTTGCTGTACCTAACTATAGTCTGGATGATCAAAAATTATAACAAATCTGATTTATTAAAGAAAAAAAAAAAGTTCTAAACGCCCAACAACTCACTATAGTATGTGTCACACAATGAAGCAATAGATATCATGTTCAATCTTGGAGAATCTTAAATGACATTAGGCTTTAAGCTAGAATGTATCCTAAATGTACGTGAACTTATCATAACTGATGCTATATACCACACCTTATATTCGTCATAATTCAGGTCCTCTGCCAAAACATATTTTCATTCAAAGTCCTGCGCCAAAAAATCATCAACCAATGCCTTGTATGGAGAATTGGGTGGGCAGAACAGGTACTCGTCAAGAGTACTGTATCTTGGATCGTTGGGTGAATAGCGGCGAAAGCAGGCTGAATTTGCCGTTGTATACTCGACTAACTTGTTCCAGTCTCTGCATTTCCTTTTTGGCGCTCGTTCAGCCTGAACAACCTCCTGGAATCTAAATGAGAGGGGAGTATCGTCTGCTGTGCACATAACTTCTGATCGCAAGACGTCAAGGCAGTGAACAGCATGTTCTAATGTTTGTGTTTGGTTCGCGCCAGAATCGCAATTTCGCACGTACCCATAAAGTGCTTGCTATTACTATTCATCAGTATGCTTTCTTATTTCCCTCCATACGAAATGATTGCACGTACCAGGCAGTGCATACTGTGGAAGCTATTCATCACGTATAGTCCTTTCGTGTTGTCCCATGGGAAAGCATCGGTACTGCCCAGATGGTAGTCAAAAGGGAGGGCAACCACTCCAGGGTTGGTGTCGATGGATAACCATAGCTTATCCAAAGCAGCCAGGTCAGAAAGATCACCGTAGGCAGTCTTCTCCCCAAAATCAACGTCGATGTTAGGTTCTAATCCCGCTAAATAATTCCAGATTAGCGCCTCAAAACGATGTAAGCATGTCGAGAATGCCAGTACCTAATGGAAGCTTGCACACACTAGCAGCTCGATGTGCTTGAGACCACAGCCAAACTTGAGCGATATTGGTGATCAAAGATAGAAGAAGTATGGCGAGATACAGGGGCCACCATCCAAAAGAAACCCTAGGCTTAGAGCTCTTTACGCCTCGAAGCTCAAATTCTTTCTCTTGGAGACTCTCCGCATCGTCTAGTTGAAATTCCGCTGATGTTGAGAGAAGGCCGACTCCCTCAGACATGATGGTAGAGAATTTGGAAGTATTGGTAAATGAAGATGGGAAGGATACTCCACATTGTAGCTGAAGGGAATTTAATTGTTAGTTAGGTAGTAAGTTAGTTAGGTTACTTGAATAGGTAGCTACGAAGAAGCATTCGACACAGTTCGGCTTTCGTGGTTTGGTCCAATTACTGGATACTTTGTGGAGTGCCGGGGGCGGGGTAGCTAATGGGCCACATCCTTCCAGCTCCGGTGGGGTAATTTTGAGGTAGTGTCGGTGAGCCCATTCTGGTGTATACATCTATACATCTATCTGCTAGCTATAGTTGTCAGCATTCGTCGGCCCCGAGGTATTTCCTTGACTTGGAAATAAGAAACATTGAGGATTCTAAGCAAGACGACTTAATGCATTAATTAATATTATGTGCATCCTGTGCATCCCGTGCATATCGTTCACACGCAAGCTTTACTCCCGCGGGAGATTGACCCGACAGAATGGTACCCTGGTGAGACGACTCTATCTCTACTCCGTAACCTTATATCCACATCAATCGACGTTGCACTGTGCATTGGCTGGTGCATTGTAGTGATAAGCCAAGCACTCCTGATAATAAGTGGAGGGGCTAAAGTATCCGGAATGGAAGGATCATTTTACGCGAATAACGCCCTGGCTCTTTCTTCACATCGCCTTTTATTAGTCTAGATGATCATTCATGTCAACAAAGCTTATTGAAGAATCCTACCTAAGTATAAGTAAGCAGCCACCCTCGGGAATGCAACTTCAAACGATTGTGCATGCATCTGCAACTTTATCACCAACAGATTAACTGACTTTATGACACACGAATTTCATAGGCTCCTTTATACGATACTTACAATCCATTCGACGGTAACGCAATCTGACAGACAACACCGGGAACACAAAGAAAGGATGCGCCAGTTTCTCACATGTTGGTAGCGACAAGGGTATTAGTGGGTATTATATAATATCTAAAATAGGTAGAGTATGTATAGAGTATTGCTTAGGGCTTTCCACTCCCTTATACACATGTGGGCTTATATATGGGCCCTATTCTCTTACACTCCCCAATTTACCATCTTGTGGTATATGCTTATTTAAAAGTGGAGAGCCTTAAACTTGGTGACCGCACGGGTACTGTATGTTAAGGCAACTCCATAATATATTGTAATCTTATATTGTATATTAACCTAAGGTTATGTGCATCTGCACCTTCTATTACCTAACCTTACCAACAAATTGATAAATAGATAACCTTATATCTTTGAAAATCTCTTGGCCGAAACGACCGGAAATAAGGAAAAAGTCTATTATAATCTCATCATCCCCCTCAAACATGTTGCATTGCAGATGTGCCTTCTCCACAATTCAACTTTTAGACACTTTGGCCAATGTAACTCGGCGTAAGTCATAAGCAAATCAAAGATAATAATACTATCACCAACATGTTGGACAATACAACATCGTTTTATCCGGCGCATGCTCAGTGGCTCGCTTTTTCACAGCAACAAAGATTCCACCCCACGTCTTACGAAGCATCAAAGCATTGCCACCACTTCAGTCCCGAATGTCATTTACCGTCAATGGCCTGGATGATTAACCATGTACCACAGATATGCCCCCGTGTCAGCCATCCACAGCAGGGTCGCTCGCAATTCGCGACGCAACGTTAGTGTCATAATATACTGCCATCAATTACATTTGATCTACTGTATGCGTACATGGCTCAAGACTGTGCCGCTACCTCGCATGAAGCCGGAAATTCTGCTCTTCTGAGGATGGGGATATGATTCGGGTCTGGGCTTGTATTCTCATGCGAGTGGTTCCCAAAGGAGACCCGGGGTTGTTCAATTGACACGTCTGACTGGTTCTAGAAGGGTACGAAAGCCGACGCCCTTAGGTTAGGAACAATTGTATTGTAAGAAGAGGAAGGTTCTTGGTAAAGGACAACCTTCGCACGAGCTCGAGATAGGCTGCATATAGCATGTATGCGCTGCAGTGTCTTTCCGCTACTGGGTCTATTTCAAAGTGCATAGAGTAAGTATTAGGTCGATGAGGGGAGTTTGCTAGTCGATACCTACGTAGGTTGGACATGATACTAACCAATCGATTACCCTTGCTGAAAACTCTAGACAGCTCAGGATATTAAAAGCATCTATGTGTTACTTGCAATAAGCAGACGGGAATTCTTGAACAACATCGCAGGCTCTGAGTTGGATAGAAGCAGGGATCTCAGGAGGGGAATGCATGGGTGACTATTATATAAATCAAGCATCATACAGGATTAATATCTGCATCTCAATCCTCAAAGCTTTTACAACTCTTGTAATTTTCCAGCTCAGCATGCGGTACATAATTCAATTCCTCACGGGAAGCATTCTCCTAGCTGCTTGTGTAAATGCCCTGCCCGTTCCCAACATGGTAGAGAGTAAGTCGCTATTTCAGACAATGTATCGCAGCAGAAGACTAATGATTTTCTCAGAACGCGATCGTCTTCTCGATTATGCCAAGGCCCACAACATTGCAGTTCCCACTATGGGAGCTGCCTTTGAAGGGTGCTCCAACTGCTCAATCGAGTAGTCATATCCGGAAATGTAAGCAAAGACGAATATATCGTTCCATCATTTATGCTAATCAGCTCACTAGGTTGTCCTTCTCCACTTCTCGCGATTTGGTGGCGCGGTTTCTATCATCAGCAAGCTTCAAAATACCGGCTTATCAGAATTAGTCCAGTGAAGGTTTTTTCTTAGTGTAGAAGTGGATACACTTTACAATGTACACTCTCTCTGTGTTATAAATTTATGATGGTTTTTCTCAACATCACAATTGAAACTCTGTGTTGTGCTATCAAGCACCATGCTACGTTCAGTTAAATATATCCAATCACTCCCTAGTTTCATTTGAGGTCTAGTCAATGTAGCAACGCGAGCCTTGGCTAAAAGTAGAAAATAAACGAGTTATTATGTAATTCTTTTGTTGTCAAAAGTCTCGTCCAAACAATTTGAATGAAACAATCAAAATATATCCTAGCTGCATGTGAGTCTGCACTTGCCTACCTTGAAAACTTTGATGCTACCCACCCCACTCAAGCACATGTATCTTAAAAGTTAAAGCAGTAGCTCCTAGACCTTACATTGAAGGATCGAAAGTCCGGTCATGTGCATTCCGTTGCACATCGACAAAGATAAGCTCCTCCTCTAGCTTCTTTTAATGTTTCCTTAGGTGCGCCGTAATTCTATTCTCTCAATTTCCCGCCTGGATTTTTTGAAGCTCTCGAAATCAAGTCTTGAGATTGACAATAGTTCCAAGAATCTTGAGATAGCAGATGGCTAGCCACTCTAAATATGAGAAGCTCCAAAGTTCCGATATCGATTCGGAGCCCGAAAAGCGTAGATTACCACCCGAGTCGAAAAATTGCAGCCATAAAAACTATTTCATGTATCCATTCGTTTTCATTTTCATCGCCTCGAATATATTTACTTGGTTCCTCTCCTCATGGCATTCTAGAGGAAATCAGACAGTAATCAATGATGGCTTGAGTCAATATGGTAAGATTTTGCCATAGCCCTAATGAGTTTTTAATTTTCTCTGATCATTATTAGCGGGACTTGCTCGAGACTACCCAATTGCATTGGGAAAGGATAGTCCGTATACTGATTCAAATGAAACCCTTCGGAATGAGGTGTGGGAAGCTATCAATATTGATGCTGGAATGATAGCTGTTCCGGACGGCTTCGTTTCAGACAAAAATCTTCATCCGTCTCAAAGATTTGTGTGGGATAAGAGTAAGAGTGTTTACTTACTGAATGGGCATCACACATTGCATTGCGTGGTAGGTTTTAAACTTGATCCACGTCTTCGCTGCATTGCTTATAATTTCGTCTAGCGCGCAGTATACATATCTCTCATGGAGTTCTGGCAAGAAAGACCACAATCACGACGATGGGAACACGTAATTCATTGTGTAGATCAACTACGTCAAGAAGCTCTCTGCAACGCTGATGACACACCACGTTACTCAACATCAGATAATATTCCAGTATCTGGTATGGGTCAAGTGAGAATGTGTCGCAGCTGGGAAAAGCTGGAGCAATGGGCTAAGCAGTACAATTCTTGCTATCGCTATGTCAATCAAACTGCTTCCTACAAGGATTTTCCACAAATCGAGCGCTTTATCTGGTGTCCTGAGGGCTCACCTTATGCCGCAGCAGTTGAGGAGGTTTTTGGGAAGATTGATTCGTCGGATTGGGAATCGTATCACTAGCATCTACATTGGGCTTGGTTTCTTGAGTGAGCTGGCACAACGATGTCTATTGATTGCTATTATGCTAAGATACAGGCACAGTTACGAATTTCTACAAATTCTCGTCGTGATATCAGTGTGTCAATTGCATTTATCAAAGTAAAATAAACTGAGGCACATATGTTGCTATCGTTCACAAGTAATTAAGTAATACACCTCCAAACTTTTGAAAGGGCAGAAGCTCACAGACCGGGCGAATTTATTTCTGTCAATTCTTTTCAAACTTACTATATTTTTAAAGAATTTTTTAAAAAAACTGTTTTCCAAAACTATATAGAATTTATATTTAAATTATGAATAAAAACATGTATTAAATATTATCTATAAACTAAATCAAATATAATCTACATAAATTTAATTGATATTCTTCAATATAAGTTTAAAAATTTAAAATCTTAATACAATAAAAATCGACAATAATGACTTCTTCACTACCTGTGACGGAAATCCCTGCTTTCCTCCCACCCTTATTATATAAGAAACCTCAGGTACATTAACCATGTCCACACATGATACGATTACTCGAGATTAGTATGCGATTTAGGTGACCTGAGGATCAGATCCGGACAAGTACTAGGTATCAATGGTTATCGGTAAAGTAAGATCATTGGAGGAATAAATATGACTTCTTTTTGCCTAGCCATTGCGGCTAGGCCATTCATTTGTGTATATATAGAGTAGCTATCCCCATCTACAGGTGCTCTTCACCTGTAGATTCTAAGTTAAATACAATTGCTGGTCTATAAACACCCTTTTGGTCACACTACCAGTATAAATATAGAGGACTTAGATGTGCATCAAACGAAGCGCTTTCCCTCTTTCTCGCTTGGGATCACTAGGTCACTACTTGGAACATGCTCGCTCATTGTCAGAGGCAGGGCTTTCATTTCTGGTGCAGGATTATTAGAATACCTCCAAATAGGACAAGTAAGTGGGTGACTGATATCATGGAATGTATCACGTGGAGGGGGATGTAAAAACATTGGCTAAAATGGTCATTTGGAATTCTCACGTCAGAGGATCATATCCCACTCAGGTAATATCCCGACATCTCCAATCGTAACACCAATTGCCCAACAGTATTTTCTTCTGCTAAATCTGCAGCGTCGAACAAGCCTGCACTCCTTGGCCGCGTATCGAAGATCTTCTCACCATAGCCCTTCTTTTCACTCAATCCCCTACAAACAGTGATGAAAACTCCTACCCTCTTCCTAAACTTCCCATACAATACTCTAATATCTTCATCTCTGCCTGTATCCCCTACATCACCTCGAGTCCCCAAAGCCCTCTCTCGCGAGTGTTTCGAGAACCGCAAAATTATGCTGAATATCTCTTCCAATAGTTGCATGACTGGTTTTTGTCTCTTTCTCAGCAACAAGGCGAATAACATCTTGTCGAGTACACGTTCATGGTAGTCTCTGAGCTTATCGAGTCCCTCATTCTGACCGAGCGAAATGTCCTCAGAGTTCAAACGCTCTTCAATCTCATCCAGTTTTTTCTCAAAGATACGCCAAGTTGATGCGATTCCCGTGTCAAAAAAATATCCACAAACCGAGGAGATGAAGTGATGAGCTTCGATGCGGAACTTCCGCGCACAGGGATCAATACTCCGCCAAGAGGATGTCCTATCTGTAGCATCACGAAAAAGTGCTGAAACAACGTATAGCATTCTGAGGGTGCGCAGTAGTTGCTTGAAAAGTTGATCATATTTGTAGAGAATGACGGGAGTCAATATGGATTCCAACGGTGCCGGGGGTTTGTATGAAAGTCGTAGGAAATCTAGAGCTTCAATAGAATTAGGGTCCATACACTTTTCGATTTCTTCTTCAGACATATCTCGGACGGCGAAACTCAAGTCTCCCGGGAGAGATCCTTGGCGTTCGAGATACCCACCGATCGAAGAAAGATTTATGGGTTGATATGATGTATAACTTTCCGTCAGGACGCCCATTAATGCAAGTCGTAGTTCAGAACTCGCTGGTGGCCATGTATCTCTGCCGCCAAGTCGCAAGCCCATGGATCCACCAGATAGAGCCACTCCTTTCTGTCTCTCTGCACTCTCTAATTCTGGGTCAAACAGCGCATGAGAAAGTCGGCTTGAGAAAACACCATTTCCGAGCAAATGAAAGTCTTTCTGTAAAGAGAGGTGACTCCGTAGTTCATGAGACTTGAAAAACAATTGCATACAAACCCCATTCACTACTCGAGCTTGTGCAGAAATAATTGGATTAAATGAGAGTAAAGGAGCCAAGGAGATCGGCGGGGAGAATATCGAGTCATGCTCCCGTGAAGCCTCAGACGTTGATGAAAGGCAGGCTTCTAAAAGTTTTTTAAGCTTGAACGGAGCTTGAGGTTCCTTCAAATTCGAATTTAAATGATTGATAGATGCCATAACACGAGTTTGTATATCTTCTTCGGGTTTCCCGAAGAAATCTAGATCGAAATTAAAGAGCTCATACTTGGACTCGGTAGCTGTGGTTTTCGTCGTTGAGTGTGATTCCGAAAACGTGCGAAGTGCAGCGGTCAAATCTTGTTCGTATTTCAAGGATTTGGTTTCTATGTCCAGGATATCTTGCCAGGAATATCTCCATTCAAGAGCTGGTGGTGCAACGGATTCCACCACTTTCATTTTCGATAGGGGATGATCTATATGGTGGGTCCGCAAAATTCGAAGGCTCCTGCCCACTTCAAACATTATTTGTGCATCTTCAAACGACATGAATGAAGGAATCTTCTCATGGTCCAATATAAAGTCAGGCTCATTCAACTCGAGACCAGCCTCATCCACCCACTCCTTGTTATCGACCTTCACAAAACACTTTCCAGGACCATCTTTTGTCAGCGGTAAGCCAATCTCTCTTTGTAGTCCAAGCCATTCACCGGCGAACTCAAGCCAAGGTATTGATACCCTAGAGAGTATCTCGAGAAGAATGTCTCTGAGGGTGTCTGTCCTATGTTCCAAAAGTTGAATTTCTTCGAAGAGTGTGGACAGTATTGCTTCATCGCTCTTCTTTGGTAGCGTTTTCCTTACTAATCGTTTGAAGCATGTAAGAACCGAATGAGCCGGTCGAAATAACGCTTGCAGCTGTAAAACGCTCTCATAATCGGAAGAGCTTACATTCAGCTGTGACTGAATTGTTGCAATCACAATTGAAATAGATTCGGCCAAGGCAATTCGACCTGGTGATTTCTTTAACGAGTAGGTTTTCTCGACAAAGTCTTGAAGGAACTTGGTTATATTTCCGCAGTCATAGAATAAAGCCAGGAAGCTTTTGAGAGATTGTGCAGTGTGACCAGAGATCCTGAACTTCTGAAGGGCCGCGGTAAATGAACGCTTTTCTGCATCCCATGTGAAGAACATTGAATTCCTGCCCAAACCTAGTGCGAGGACTGAAGTAGCAAATATTCTCGAATCCACTACATCATGGTAATTGTTCCCAACCTTCAAAAAATCATGTTCAGCAGTTAATACCGTGTCAAAGACTCGAGTTCCAGCTTCGGTCAAATAGGCCATTTGAGGTTCTTTGAAACTCTCAACAGTAAATGAATCCCATGATTGATAGTTCACAGGCTCTTGCAATGGCTCTTGCTCCTGTATCATCCATATATCAAAGTCATCAGCTTCATCTTGTCCCACAAATTCGTTGCAAGAGACATCGCCGGAAGTCTCATCAGATTGAAAAGGGGTTGGATCACTTGGTTCTGTAGAACCTATGGATAATTCTGGTGTACCAAAGAATAAATCATCACGTTGACACTGTTCTGCGACGTCTGGTAGTTTGTGGTCAATGACTGTAGATTGTTAGCTCAATATATCTGCATACTCCACCCAGATGCTTGGAACGAACCAGGGAGCTTAAAGTCTGAAAAAAGACTATTTGGTTGCACTAAATCATCAACACATTTAGATAGATCCCAAAGGTCTGGTATAGCAAACACATCGCCCGGGTCTTTTTTGTCATTCATTTTTGACATCGCAATGGATATATGGATATATATATTTAGAACATGGCAATTGCTACTTGGTACTGGCGGCTGGCGATAGATAATTATTTGACGCGCCTTATCGCGTCTGTGGCTGAGCAGCGACCGCTAGTGCAATTCTCACAAAAGGCTGATGGTGAGGCTGGGCAAGCTTGGTTGATATTTTGATGGCATCCTTCAATTCAACATTTAATAATAACGAGTCCCTTCCACTTCGTGGTACCATCGAAATGCCCCCGAAAAAGAAGAAAGGAAGTACACGAGCTGCTTCGACGCCAGCAGAAGATCAAGATGCAATGGCCATTGATACTCCTCAAAAGGCTGAACCCCCAAAATCAAGTTATAATATTTTGAAAGACCCATGGACGGATGAACAAGAAACATCGTTATTCAAAGGTATAGTCAAGTGGAAACCAGCTGGTAAGACTATATATCCAACTAGGACCAACAGTCCAGCGGATCAGAGGGGTTAACCATTTAATCTAGGCATGCACAAACACTTTCGCATGATTGCACTTTCAGAACATCTGCGAAACCACGGTTATGATCCCCGCGTCGAGCCGCATACTCGGATACCCGGAATCTGGGAAAAGTTACGAACTTGTTACAATCTGGATGTAATTGACGATCGGGAGAATTCATTTGATTACGAAGAGGATACTGAAGACCGATTTCCCGAATTCACATTACCCGACAACGTTTATGGAGAGATGTGTTTCATGCGGGGGAAGCGGACTGATGAAGAAATAAGTGAAGCTCCTTCATCACCCCCGAGGTTAATGGAGACTCCTGAACCAAAGGAGTCGCCAGAGCCAGAGGTCCATGGTACGAGCAGGAAAAGGAAGAGAGGAAAGGAGAGAGGAAGTACCGTTGATACGACGGAGACGAGAACGTCACCTCCTGCCCAGAGTTCACCACCAAAATCTACCAGAGCTGGAAGAAGCGCTAATAGAGCGGCGGGAAAGGCGAAAGCGGAATCGAGTTCGAGACAGCAGAGCGTTGCAACCGTTGCAACCGCGGAGGATGGAGTAGAAGACGACGAAGATGAGGATGACGAACACGATGAAGGTATTGATGGAACACCAACAAGACCTAGGGGAGCGGATACGAAAAAATCCAGGGCACAATCTTCTACCAGGAAAAGCAAAAGAAAAAGATGATCCACTCGAGACCATTCTATGACAGGTGTTTGTACTAGGGGATGAATATGGAGCGGGGCGTTCTTGAGGCTACTTTCTTCTATATACCAACGGTCCTTGTATCATATGGCGTATGGTTTTCATGGTAAAACAGTGGAAGATCTTTTTCCTATGAGTCTTGTGTTAATATTTTGTACATGGAAAGCTCTAAAAGAAGATATGTTTACGAGAAAAGAGAAGAAACATTTTTATATTAAATATTAGCTTCTATCGATGATGAACGTTCAAGTGTGTAATTTGATCCCATGTACTCGTAGCACAGCCACAGATTTGATTGGGTTTGTCCAGTGCATGACGCACCAATTAAGCCTTCCCGATTTCTAAAATCCTTAAAAGTCCGGCACACATTCACGCCCGCCTAGACTAGCCGGAGCTTCAAAGCTCAAGATATCAGATATCTCGAACGTCACGATTCATTTCAAGATAACGACAGTTTAACAATTTCATCACCCATTGAGATTGCCCACCATGCGTCGCACATTACGGCAGTTTGCAGCCGTTAAGCCTGCTAGATACCTCGAGCCCTACACTCCAACCGGTCTTACTGGTCTTACTACTCATCCCTCCCCCCGTTCCGCCTTGCTCTACCTTTACTCCTCTACTCTCGATAAACTACAGGAATTTCCCTCTACATCCCTATATCGCCAATCCACTGAGGCCCTCACCAATCACCGCTTAAAGATTGTGCAAGCGGTTGTGCCAGCTGGATTTGAAGAATGGGCGGCGAAAGCGAAAGAAACTATGGCTGCGCATCCCGAGGTTTTCTCCACTCCAAAGGGTGGTGTACATTTTGATCAGGGAAGACATGTCAAAGTAGATGCTGGAGGTAGAGTTTTCGTGCAGAGTAAGATCGATCAAGAGGTTGATTGGAGTAAGGAGGAGTGGGATGGGGAGGAGGGAAGTGCGGAGTTGGAGGGTGTGAGGACGACACAGGAGAGGAAAGGACAAAGTGTTTTGGCTAAAGAGAGACCTGGTGAGGATGAGAAACAAATTGTCTGGGAAAATGAGCCTGCATTGAATGTCGAGCAGTGAGTTTTGGTTCCCTATTCAACACGAAAATGCACAGGTACTGATATGTGAGTGAAGAATCGAGGAAATTGAGAATAAAATTGGTGCTGGATTGATTGAGGAAGTTATTAAAGTTGCCGAGGGCGAACTGATACTCGCTGATGTCTTATTAAAGGCCAAGGTGTAAGTTAAATGCTATGACCGATTTCATGGGTGGAGACTAATGATACTTCAGATGGGAAGATCTCGAAGAGAAGCCTGTCGAAGGACAGTGGACATATTTTAACCGCGACGGTGGTGCCCCAGCTAATCAATAACCACCACAAAAGTAATGCTCAAGCAGCGACAAAATGCTATCAGGTTCAACGTTTAAGAGTGTATAGTAAAGGGTTCTGTACATAAAATAAATGCATACAGCCATTATCTTCCAAGCTCCATATGCTCCCCCGAAATGTTCTATACCCAATCACAACTGCAAGTGCAAACAGGTACACATTAACCATGATAACGTTTCTTTGGCTGTGCACATATTTCGCGAGAATGTTGCTCCTAGCATTACAATTCTAGATCCAAATCAGGCAATCAATCAATGATTCATCGTACTCGACGCCGAACTACTCTCTCACTCTGTTACTTCACTTGTATGCCTGGCTTCACACCAAAGATTGTCCCAAGGGCCCTGACCCACCCCAGCTCCTCAATTAGTTCTGCCGATCCGCCAATTTTGACACCACAACTCGTTCCACGCTTGTTTTTCTCGCTCATTCCTGTTCGTCGTTTGTTAGTCTTTATTGGCGGGTCCACTATTATTATTACTTCATCAGACCCGGTAAAAAGCCAGCACGACGTCCTTGTGGAGGTGAGGGAGGAGGATGAGGCGGTCTTGGAGCCCCTGCTTTCCATCTAGGTTGTTCTAGTCCGGGCAGGGGCCACATGTGCATAGACACGGACCAACAGGTTCAACGACAAATTCCCAGACTTGAGGAAGGGTGATTTCGTCTTCAGGACCAACGAGATCGTAGTGACCTTCGTTAACATGCGGACCTAGCGCATCATCATGGAGGAAAGCTTGTTTTAGTCGTTCTTCCATTCCCTAAATTGCTGACGATCAATAAGTAATGTTCGAAGTTTCAAAATATAATGAGTAGTTTTTGAATATAAGAAACAATACGATTGACTTACAGCCCATGTTGACACTAAATGGAATCGGAGGATGTATTTTCCGCTTATAGCATCCTTGAACTTTATCGCTTGCATTGGGCTCTTTCTGTGGGAGGCCAGAGGCGATTATGCTCGCTCTTTCCCCTTTTCAGCATTACGCGCCTCGGCTCCTTCTTTTCATACTCTTCTTCTGCTTCTTGTGTCCTCGCATGCTCTTCTTCTGTTCGTTTCCTTGCTTATTCTTCTTCTGCATCCGCCGCCCTCTTATGATGTGCTTCTTCCTTTAGTCTTTTTATATATTCTACTCTTTCTTTCTCTAGCCTCATTTTCAAGCGATCTTCGTCTGTTAGTTTTTCTGGTGATGGACTCTTCAGAGCATTTTCAAGAACACTATGATAGCTCGCGGCTTGGGGTTGTGCCCCTGTTCTTGCCCACGGCTGATTGTCTAGAAGTAACAATTCTATAATATCACATCATCAGCATATTTACACACAGAAAATGAAGGTTCATCTCACAAATTTCACTCACTTCCGTGAGAAAGGATACCAAAGTCACATGAAATAGCTTTATGCTTAATCCATTCTCACTATCGGCTTCAGGAAGTTCTATGGTTTGACATATCATAAAATCGCCAAATACTTCCCTGGTGCACCCTCCAAGACCACGTGGAAAAGTATTTGTTGTTATTTCTGGATGGTCTAATATGAAAGCTCGAACCTCCCCTGGTATCGGTGGAAATTTACGCTTGCTCAATAGTCCACGCTTTCTTATAGCATGTGAGTCAGAAATATCCACATCGACATCAAAACGTGCACTAATAGCCTGTACATACAATTTTTGTCCATTTTGTCGTGTCGTGGGGTTATCCAAGTGACCCGAAAGTTCTTCTGCGGTCGAAATAACTTTCTCGTAATACTACCGTTTATTTCTTCAACGAAGCAAGACGCGGGGTGTGTTTCAACATTGAAGAGTGGAGGATTTAGAAGAAACTTTGGAGCCAGATTATGTGGCTAAACTAATGGAAACGTCGTCGGGCATAAAATGTTAGAAATAGTTCATTCCAATATGCATCAATTCCAAGGCCGCAGGCAGAGATCCATCTTTTTGCTTAGAGGTCTAGCCTCTCCTTAACGTCATTGATTCAGCGCCTGTCATATGCAGTAGACTTTGATTATGTGATAAATTTCTATCATTGGCCACTTCTGTGCGGGAGTAAAAAATAGCTTTGACACTTGACCTAGCAAACAAGATCTGGTGGGGCAGAAAAAAGACACTGTCAGTCTGAATAGAAATCGGAAGAATATATACGAGAGAGAGATTTTTCAGCCAGATTTTGTTTCCAAATACTGTCATCACATCTTGAACGCATCTCCTACATATATTAACACAATTATATTATTATATGAATAAACTTCCTCATCATTACTACAGCTCATATACTCGACAAATAAAATCACACAATCCCATCGCATCTACCATACAATACTGAATATTCAATTATCTTTTCACAAATAGCTTTTGTGAAAATACAAAAACAATCACCGGTAGTTATCTAATCTCACGTTAACTTCCAACAATATAAAAGATTTCTACTGCGAAACGCGCAATCATTTTTCGCCATGTCTAATACGACTTTATCACTTGGGCAATCAGACAAAACGGTCTCACCCGTGGAACCCTTTCGTTTCCTCAGTCTCCCGCCCGAAATTCGCAACCGCATTTACGAGTTGACACTTTGCAATGTGGAAGAACCTGAACCACTTGACGGCTTAGATTTACCATCATCTGTAACCATCGTCAAACTCAATATCCATCCTCGGTTATTGCGAACCTGCCGTCAAGTCTACGAAGAAGGAAAGTACGTCATGTTGACGAAAAATCGGTTTGTTGAGGTCCAACTAGCCGGGCTAGGACGAGATCTGAACTACAGCTTTTTTGATCTAATCTCTCTCTGGAGAGTGCCAATTCTCCAAATCAAGCGGTACACAACACTTGGAGACGAAGTTTTCACCGGTTGTGTTATGCGCCATCAGATATCTTCTACTGGGCATACTAGTATGTGGAAAAAATCTAATGCTGATTCAATATTGCTGTTGCACCGCGACCTCAATAAGTTTCTTACTGCTATCATGCAGAGCCACTTCTCAGTCTCCACATATCTAGAGGCAACTTCAGTACATAAGGTCACACTTCTAAACCCTTTTGTTCCCGGATCCGGAATCATCGAAAAGTTCAGTGCTAGCGGTCATCAGTTTTCAGTCGAGGCTCTACAGAACAATCGACAAGTCCTCTTGTCTCCATATTCGCCTAGCTTTCAACAGGAATCATCTTTTGCGGTCAATGACCGTATTATGGATAACACAAGTCACCGTCTAATTCGTTCGAAGAAAGCTAAGCCAACTATAAACGCCGAAAGTGCAATGAAAGATCTCAATCAACTCACGGAAATTGGAAATAACTACCGTATCCAGGGTTTTTGGGGATACGCCGCAGCTTTTTTCCAGTATGTTGACTACAAAATTGCAGTGTTGATGAGCCGGGCAAGCCCAACTATCGCCAGGCTTCACATCAAGGAAGGACGAATGCTTGAGGGTCAACTGCTCAAGTTGCATTCCGATATATGTTATTATCGTGCGAAGAACGCTGTCAGCGCCATGCGAGATTTTGAACACAATCACCGCGAAGAACTTGAAGATCTATTCGACACCGTTACAAGTATGGGAGCCATATCTGAAAATGCCCGGTTTCAAGGATTTACAGAGAGCCCGATGCGAAGTGCAGACCATCTGTATATGCAAGCTGTTGCGTGGAGGCTCTTGGATGACAAGTCTAGTTTGAATATGGATATGGCATTGGAGAAGATCATTGAAGGCCTCGCCGTATATCCTGATCACGAGGAGTTGAAGATGGAAAAAAAGTCTCTTATTCGGAAGATATTGACAGCCCGTCTTGATTTCTGCATGGTGCTGGCTTTCGACAAGGCTTGAATGGGTCCTTTTAACTAAGATATTGGAGACTTAACTGGTTGCAAGGAGATTTCACCGGGGCGAAAAGGGCTTTACGGGAACCATGATAAGAGTCTAAGACAAACGTTTTGGGCTACTAAATCGTCAGCGTGTTTTGTTATTACGGCGTTTTGCGGATAGTTTGGGATAAATAATCTATTCATTTGTAATTGGATAGATTATCTATTAATCCATAGATATTTGTAAATAATCCAAAAAAAAATTTGTATAAGCTTATTCGTGTTCTTGAATCAAGGTAGACGCGAAGAGGTTACTCGTGCGGGAAACAAGTGAGTTTTGAGACTCCGAATGATTACTGCATGGAGTGCTGTGCTGTGCTCTCTTCAACAAATTACTGATGATAAAGTTCTAGTACATGTTTGATCTTGTCCAAGAAACTTGCATTCATTGCTTCTAAGTGATTTTGTCAGCAGTGGTTGGACCTAGCCCGCATCATGAAATGCTCATTTGTCTCGCAACTTATTATAAAAAGCTCTGGAAGCGCCTTCAGTGTTCATAAATTTCGTACCAATTGTACAGAAGGTTTCTACCAGCTTTTAAGCTAGATCAAGGTAGAATATGATATGAGCCTAAAGACATCACATTTGACATATCTTATTGCGGCTAATCGAGGCACTTCTTCAGCCAAAGTGGTATGCCTTTTCGTTTGTAAGACACAAAGAAGTCTCCAAACCCGCACTCCAGCTTTCATATGCGCCATAGTTAGGCATGTTGCTAAGTATATCAAGGTTCATGTCTTGCATAATTTCTTTTATTGCACCATCTTGTACATCATGGCAGAGGGAAGAGTCTTTTGAAGTAGGGATGAAATTCATGAATTTGAGCGGTATAATATGCCTTCAGTAAGTTAGAGGAAAGTGTTTAAAGGGAGAAATAATCATCATCTAACTGAGAATAGCATAAACCTTTCAGGCGCAAAGCATTTTCGGCAAGAATGTGGACAGTTTTATCCCTTGAGCTGCTTCTGAGTCGTAATGTAAAGCCGAAAACCCTCGAGATAGCCAATTTTGATGGCTAAGGAGCCTTCTATGCACGATTCTGAGTTGGCAATACTTCTCTCCCCGTTTTGCATGAGCTCAAACCTGATCTCCGGATTACCGACAATAATTACCGAAGGGTCATGAAGATGAGCTTACCGGACAGATTGACCGCGAAATATCCACTACGTCTGGCTTTTATGAAGTTGATCGGTGCTTCGGGATACGGTGGTCATGAAGGTTTTGGCATCACGTGGAATGAAAATATTGTAATGTATCCCGTAACACATCGGACTTGAGCTATTCAAAGCCGCTCCCGGTATTCAAGATCCAAATAATATCAAAGGGCACTCGAATGGCATTTGAAATCGTGGGGGTGCCCTTTTTTCTGCAGTCAATATAACAAACTGATCAGATTGCCGCCTCTACCTATCCGAAATACGTCAGCTGAGCCCGCATCCCAAGCTCAACATAACTTGCTGTTTGAAGGAATGAGAGAAAATGCACATAGCACGATAACGCTCTCGGATGCGGTCCAACCTAGGTAAAGGAAAGTAATGAATTTAACTCTGAGAATCTTCTAGATTGGCGATACATTTCGATTGGAATCCATTCGCAATATCTGCACTACCACTAAGCGTTCAAAGATACGTCTTATGCAGCGAAGTCTTCCCCTAGACACTATTCGACTGCCACTAGCAGTTCGGCTCGAGGATTTCTATATTCGGCTCGACCACTTACTAGGCTTTCAATAGCATAATTTCTTCGGGAACAACATATTGTGTTTCAATAACGTGTCTCATCCGGTTAATGGCAATATCCTTGTCTTGCGGCATAGTCTTCCCTTGACTTCCGATAACGCTGCAGCTGCAGCTGCAGTTACATCTGCTAGGAACAAAGAGAACGCGTCGGCTATTCAAAATACCCTCACTGGACAGAAGCTATGAATCGCAAGGTTACCCAGCAAAATTTTATACTGGTTCCGTTTAGCGCCGTCGGGTTGTATACTCTGTACTCATCCAACTCTGTGATGACGTCTCACGTTGGACAATCGTTTTCAGAGTTGTCCATGGTAACTTTCCGAGTCGAACTGTGAAGCTTACCATATTTCCTTTGTAGTATCGTGTTCTATATGCGGTTAAGGGGTAGAAGTGTCTGTTTGGATGCCCCACTTTTGGAGTTGTACAGGAAGCAGTTATACGCAAGGACATAGAAGGAATAATGAATAATAGACCATAATTGATAAGATTCTATTTGAATCCATAATGTTACATGTTACACTGCATGTCCAAGACGCTCAAATCATGGGTCGCTTATATTTGGTGACGGCTATATATATCCCGAGTAATAATTGCGAAATGGGTGAATCACAGCGACGCTAAGACAATAAGGCTAATTAACGAAAGGGAGTAAACGATTTTAGAAATTTCTCTTGGCTTTTTCTTTTATTTTTTCCCTCCTGATTATTTACAAGTTCTAAAATCCGAATCAATAACTTCGTACCAAGCCAAGCCAAAATGTATTGCCACCTTCCGCTGTCGTAAAGTAACTTTCCTCTTCTATCTCCGTCGTTCCATTTTTGGTTGTGCTTTGTCCCCTTTTCATCACGCCACTTTCTGCGTTAGAATGTTTAACGTCCTTTTGCAACGGCATTTCGTCCCAAAACATACGTTTTTTTCTTCCTCTTCGAGCAACAGGTTCACCTAGTGGTTCTGACAGCCAGCAGAACTCGACCTGTACAAGTTCAATTCTCTTCCTCTATCTTCCATCAGCCGCGACAGCCACGCACAAACGTTCCATTCAAATTACCCAAAGACCTCATTGGATAAAGATTAATAGTCTTTCGCGGGATCTTTCAGCCTTTCCACTTCACTGGCATAAATTGTAAGATCACATGGAGACTTTTAGATTCCCATAAGAAAGCGATGTCTAAAGGCAGCGAGAATCAAGATCGTTGCTTGGGCTACTATCACCGAGTTGGCTTAAACTTCTCAACCAGAGCAAAAGAAATTAATCAGATTGGGCTTCTTCACAATGTGTGGCGGACGCCTTCATGTGCGTGCTGCAAGCCTGCGGCTCTCATCTTGCATAAAGTTGTAGTTGGAGGATTACTACTGTTTTAACAGGTTCTGCGGCAGCATTACATCAGCTTTCTAGAAGCCTTGGATATCATGCAACTATCATGTTGTGTAGCATGGCTGCAAGGGTTTTATCATGTCATGAAAAAAAAGAAAAAAGAGGATTTTGCAGAACTGCAAGAAAAATTTCCATCAAAGCCCTGTGTGTTAAGGATTGATTTCACAGAACTCATTTTAGTCATTCTCAAACGAGGAAGATTCTGCAAGTATGCAGGAATAAGAAGTTCAATTAAACCGATTTGGCAAATGTTCTTCTTACACACACCACCACCAATAACAAATACTCCGGTTCCAAAAATCATTCCCAACAGTGTGCATTCACCATATCATCATCATATGCCCAACCAATCCGATTACGGAATTCGACCCATGCCAAAAGGTCCCCTGACCCGTTCCAAGATACCCAAATGATCGGGTATTATCCCATGCAACTGCTCCGACGCCATATTCCCAATATCGCCCAAAAGAGACAACCCTGACACGATTTTGTCAAAAGGATCTTTAAGAGTCCACAACAAGCTGGAACCCGTCTGTTCGTGTGTACAGCCATCAGCTTACACCAAAATGAGACGATCAACTCCGCTTAAAGACAGTCCGTAACCTCACACCAACCGCAATAGTCATGATCGCCATACTGCTCCTCCTTACAGCATTGTGGGCAGCAGTTATCGACGATGGGTGCAATTTCGGTGATGGCCATCGTGATATAGGATGAAAGCAGTGACGTTCGTATGAGTGGTGGTTTGTATAAGAGTTTTGAGGATGTCAATGAGGAGTGGTTTCTCCTTTGCTTAGATCGGGAAATATTTTACTGGTGATATATGGTTGCGGTTCAATTCTTTTTGGTGAGGATGAGGATTAGGGAGAGATTCTGAGAAGCTTTTCGAATTTGATGATTAGAATTCGATCTCAGACTCGGGGTCCAGTCAGTATATATATCCAACACCAGGCAATAGTAGATCCCTTCGATATCCTACGTTTAGCTGTTATCATAACTTACTCACCAGATATCAACATCGCCCGTTTCATTAATTCATTTTCTCCACACAATTATTGAAACAGACTGACATACATACCGCATACGCAAGAAAGCAGCAAACAGGGGGTTGCATGACACAGGCTCTCGGTAACCTTGTCTTTGCCTGCATTGCTTACAGCGGTGAGAAAGAGTGAGGCTTCAGTCATCACATAACCCGTTACTTTATACATCGTTTTTATTCGAGATGATTTAATTGGGCCCATTATATATCCTGCAATCAAGATCCAGTGTTGGATCTGCTATGCCACCTGAGTTGTGCCTTACATCGGAAGCAGCAATTTTCTCATATGCACCGAACATGTGTGGTTGAATCAATGATACAACTGATATGTGAGAAATAAATTCGATTAAAAGACAGGCTCTCGGGATTTTCTCATTTTATTAGTCAATTAAATAAATGTTTCATACCAACCGGAAGGAAATTGAAAGAATATGTCTCCATCTTCGTACATTGCATGTACAAAGACATAGTTGAGGATTATTAGTGCTGAATGTCAGCAATTTCACTTCTTTTCTTGGCACAGATGCCAAAGAGCTGTTAGTTCTCTCTTACAACAATACCTTCGATGATGCTATTATTGGGAAGTTTGGACAGTGAGTATAAGGGATTAATATTTCATAATACAAGGTATGGGGTGCGGGGTCCGGGGTACGTCTACTTTCCTTTTCCCCTTGTCTGGCACAACTTTCATAGCATCATCTGTCCTCTTTCAAACCAAGATATATTGACTTACTGACTTACCCCTCCTTTTCTGCGCCACTCATTGCATATATTGCATATATTGTGTATATATATATATATATTATATTTACATATATTACTCGATCTATCAAAGCACGTACCGGCTGGCATCCCTCGCCTCTAACTGCCCTACACCTTCCCCACCTGTGCTCCGTACACAGACTACAATCTGGAATCTCTCCCACGTCCGCCAATGGAATGAACCGAACCAAGACATCGAATTTTAATTTACAATACGGCCATTTAAGTCATCATTGCCGCCTTCAATTAAACCAAACACACCAAAAACACCAGAAATAGCAAGAGAAAAATTTCTCTCAATATAGGCACATATACAGTGGCAATACGAACAATAGGTAGGTACATGGACTTCGCTCAAAAGACATGAAAAGCATAAAAGAACGGATGATCGTTGATAACGTCTAACCTCGATTGTACGAGTACCTTGTTCTCACCGAGAACCATGCTTTGAGTCATACTATTTATGCATCCTTACCGTGTTTTTCAACTTTGTCCTTGTTCATTTCAAACCCACCTTCATCAATGCGTATTTAGCCCTATACCCAACCACCCCATAAGCTTCACTGACGGGCGGAAGGACGCCGGGCTTTATCGAAATCTGGCCCGTTTCGTCGGGATGCTTCTATTTTCCCTGCTCAACGTCTACTGCCGCATACCATATTTTACGCGGATAGGAACGAGCCGCTGGGCTGGCTGAGATTTGAAGCGAAATGTCTCACTTCCATACTTATCCCCTGAGCTCCATATCTCTTTCTAAGTACGAGGGATTTCTCAGCTAGCTAGCCAAGGAAAAGATCATCGTTGCCTATCAAACGCGATATATCTTCAAAATGCAGAGTCAGAAAATTTTGTCAGCTGAAAGTGTCTTGAAGTTTTGCACAGTTTTTCTTGTCTTAATAATTCTGTTCCTCCACTTATGCCATGATTTGAGGTGCGTTTGTTATTTCTAGATTGGTACATACATACATGTACATTCTTGTCTCGTAAAGGCAAATTTTAGAGCTTATCTGTGTTATAATAATTCTAGCGTTATATGGCGGCTATCATGGGTTATTTGTACAAATTTTGCGCATAGGAGGAAGCCGATGGGAGGCAGTCTATCTGTTATCTGTTATATCATCTCGATCATTCATAACTCGTAAGATGTCGTGGGCTGACATGGGACATGATCTTTTGAGTATAATATTGACATGCCGCTTCGTCAAGTGGCAGCAAAGCCGTTAAACTATACAATGCCAACTATTGAGAACCAGACTTTTCGCGGACCTGAACATAACTATTGATACGATATTCTGTAGTTCCCGAATTATCCAAATATAGTAGGAGCAAAATAGTCAAGCACCGGGTTCACCGGCTTCTAGATTGTGCAGTACGTTGGTTGGGTTGAGGCTACTTGGTTTCCGTCACAGGTACTCTCGAAATTGGAGAAAGTCATCACCAAGAAAAGGCTGTACCGGGCAGATCCAGGTCTCCCACTGCTACTATGAAAGCCCCAATATTTTCAAATTGACCAATGGCCAAAAACCCTCTGATCAACTCCAACCTTGAGGGTTGATGTCCATTTTAAATTTGTCGGAAAGTCAAACGCCAAGTTCCAGAACTATTTCCATTCAATTGAGCAATGACCATTTGTCGATGGCCAGACTGCAACAGGGGGTGTTAGTCGTGGATCCAACTTCTTTTGTGAATAATTCAATATCCAAATTCAAACTCCTACATCAAGTCTCACTCCACATCACGCTCCACATCACTCCACTCTATTTCCATTTCTTCATTACTTCTCCATGTATTGTTCTGTGACATTAACTCTTACCTCAATCCTTCAAACGCAATTGTTCTTACAAGACCCCTAAAATGGTGCCACGCAAGCATTCTCCATGATCTCCTAGCAAAATGATCGCTTATCCACATCTAGCACTGATGTCGCTTGCTTAGTACGTACTAAATCCTAAGATATGCTAAAATTGAAGCTGAATTCGGGTTGTCTGAACATCTTCCTGTCTATCCGTTCCCGCCACAACGTTTTCCTCAAATTAAACAACCGTCCGTGCCGAGTAGCCCCGCTTCAATACCTTCATTACTGGGGATAAGGGCCTGCTATCTTCATCACATTACTTATTATTCTCAAAACTTTATTACATTTTCCTTTCTTCACCCGCAGCCACGAGGCTAAAATGTGTAAACTTGTTAGATCAGCAGGTAGATCTTTCTTCCTACCTTCAATTGTACATCGGTATTTTTACTCGAAAAGTTCCGTCAATAATGCGTGCCGAAAACGGCTGTTATTCTCGTTCTCCATCATCATAGACTGATAGCTAGGATATCTGTGCTTCATTAGTTTAGGCTCGTTTTGGTCAACTAATAAGAACTAACGAGCCATGACTACTATCTACCTGGTCAAATGAATCCGAATTTACATATTCTTCACTTACTAATCAGAGAAGTGCAAAAATACAGGCACCCTAGCACGCTGCCTATAATGGCAATTTGCTCCGTACATGGGGAATACCTTCGTGTTTAGCGTCTGGATTCATCTACGGAGTACATTCTGGTCCACAAGTATCGTGGGGGTCAAACCAACTCCGGTCGGCCTTTCCTATTCCATTCTCGCGCCGCTCTCTGAACACTCTTTTGAAACTTTACGTGAACTTCCTTAGTGCTTATCTAATGTACTAAATTTACATATCCGCGTATACATTATCTACGATAACCTTCTGCACTGCACCCACTGCAACGAGGGTAATCTACGGGTTATGTATATTCCGAGGCATAGGTTACTTACCGCGGGTGAAGCGATGAATGAATAAATGAGTGGCCTTGTACCTGTGACATTCGATGCAATGCACGTATGGACTCAGCAACCTATTCTGGTTTCCGGAAGCAGCAATCGGACAGGCATGTTCCCCACACGATACTGCAAGAGAGGCACAGATTCATAAAACCCCATGTTTCATCGAGGTTTATGCCCTATTCTATGTAGTTTACCCATATATATTTTGGAGTCAATAACCAACAATCAGGGTATACACATCGACCGCGGGGTGATTCACTGCGATAACAACATGTCAGCAGCCAAGAAATATGTGTTGTGTCACTCTCCAAACGATAGATGAATATGCGTCTTCATCTTGCGTTTCCTCGTGACGGGTGTTGTGATTCAGAGGAAGGATCGCATCGTATATGCAATGCTCGATACTTGGGTAATATCATTCAGTATCTATTCAGGATGTCGTGGTTTCCCGGCGAGAGGGTTCTTATATCGCTGGATAATGGTAGCGCTTGTGCGGCTCTTACCGGCTGATAGATTTTCCCCTCTATCCTGCGTATACCTACCTTGTGCGATTTGAGACATGCTACTATAGTATGTGGTGTCTCTGGGGTTTGAGATGAATGAATAGATTCTAGTAGTGGGGGAGATCCAATACCAAGCGGGTAAAAATTTGGTTGACTAGTTCTGAACTTCTGATTTTATATTTATGCAGATATTTAGGCGTTAGCTTTGTGTAAGTATGAATACTTATCCCGAGTATGATGTTAGCAAAGTAATCTATTTTGCTTTCTGCTTGAGTTTGATTTTGGGTTGGCCGAGTGCTGGGAGCCCATCTCTTCGTTGTCGTTTTGAGGAGAAGTATACACTTCAACATACTCGCGAAACTGTTAGCTATATTCCATTTGTATAAATTATATTATATATAGCTAGTTAATAGCCCAAATAACACAATATCGTCTCCTTTTTAAGCCTTAATATCATTCCCCGTGGAAATTTAGACCTATATCGTTACTGCCAGTGGTATTGATTTCCCCATCCTCTCCTATCCTGCCTTGCAGGAAGGGATAGGTTCATTGGAACTTATAATTAGGAGCAGGAAGGAGTAGTCAAAATTTTTTAGGATAGGAATGGAAAGAAACAACTACTTGAAATTTTGATCAGGAATAGGAAGGAATATTCAAATTTCAATGATTCAGATAAAATTGTATAATATTTTATCGATCAATTAATTTTTTACTATTATGATTCAATTTCAAGAAATAATATTATGTCTTATATCTAGGATTATGAAATAATATTAAATCTGATTCCAAAAAAGCTATTATCTTTTTTTTCCTATTCTATTGTTAGACATAGAAAGAAATACGATATTTCAACTATTAAAAACAGATTAGGAAATATTCGTTTTTCACTTATTAGGAGTAGGATAGGAGAGGAAAGGGAGAGGAAGGGAACGCTGAGGAGGGGAAGTCAAGACCACTGGTTACCGTTGAAATTACAATACATATATATCATCACATAAATAATCATACCAAGTCTTAAATCTAAGTTACTAACATCCATTTTCACCCTTATACAAAAATAGAGTTTCATAAAACCTATCTGCATTCCCCGCTGCACTCCCTCCCCTGCTCCTTACCCAAGTCAAGATTCAGCGTAAGCGAACTAATATCTAGAAGTATGACCATACTACTGAACTAATTTTTGGTCTTGGGTATGTAACTCTGTGTAGGTAACTATAGGAGTCATTGATTCGAAATCAGCTGTACAGATTTTAAAACTCTAACGTCGATTCCATCTGGAGAGGCTCCGTGGCATTTCATGGAGAAATTTAGCAAAGATTTGTCGGAGGTCTGCGTAGTTTTTCATATGTATTATATTTGCATTAAATCTATAAATTCTCATATTCCACATTTCTAGTAAATTGTTTAAGTTCTGTGGTATTCCATTCCAATGGTTGAGTTCCCTGTTGAACACCAAATAAACCATCCAAAAAGGCAAAATCTAACCAAAATCCGCATCGCTCATAAAATCCACTTCATTCACTTCACCACCTCTATCAAAACTGACCCGGACTTTTCCCAAAGTGCTCACCAGCAGCAACTTTCAAATACGGTACTGAATTCGCATCGTCGGTGTTAGAACCCACGGTATTACCCCACCAGCTAAGTGTGATGTTATTATATGTGAGCGCGAAGAATATTATGATAGTTGCGAGGGCTGTGCCGGTATCCATGGCTGCTTGGAGGAGATCTAGATAGAAGGTGGTGTTAGATGTGAATAATTTAAGGTTGCGGTAAGGGATATTGAGACGTGAGGGAAGAGAGATGAAGAATCAGGAATATACATACAATTATAACGTTTCCACCACGCAAAAGCGCGTTTCCTTATCCAGAAATTGAACAAAAATCCAAATATAAACCACAGTGAATACTGAGTAGTATTTGCGGGAGGAATATTTCCAGCCGCGTTGAAAAAGACAGGAACGTTAATATACCGAACCCAACTATTCGGATACTTGCGATAGATGTAGTAAACAATAAGCGTAACAATCGGACCAATGAGGAAGAAATACATAATGCTATTGTATGTCTGACCCGCCTGGAACATTCTCTGAGGTCCGATGGCGCCCCAGATGAGCGATGCATTATAAACCACTTTACTCCCCGCGCAGGTAAATCTTTGTGTATTTTTTGGACTGCACAGATTCGGAATATGTCCCAACATCCATCTCAATACGCCCGTCTGCGTCGCTGTTGCTAGCACAGAAGCATAAATTTGTCCGACGAAAAGGACTCTTGGGGGAATTTTCATGTATTGACCTAATTTGAGGTCTTGAGCGAAATCCATCCCGTGTTTAACGGAATTATATCCGTAGCATTTAACCATCAAGTTTGCAATAGGTTTACCAGGCCATGCATATCCTGCTATGAGCTCTGCGATAATATTAAGAAAGACGCGCTGATTTGTAGTGCCTTCGAGAATTCCCTCGGGTACAATGAGAGTGACACCCATACCGCAACAGACGACAATGAAACCCCAGACTGGCAGACCGGATTCCCAGTATCGGACTGTGAAGATACCGAGGCCGATTACCACGAGACTGAGGACAGCGTACCACGAATCTGGGACTTCCTTGTAGCTTTTCATGAGCCGTTTGTGGATATCTTCACCGCCTGATCGGGAATTTTTGAACTTGGCCCAGATTTCTGAACCGTTGTAGAGGTAGGTGTGGAATATTATTGCAGTGACGGCAGCGAAGGATAGGGCGTAGGTCAAGCTGTACGACATGGAGATGTACATTGGAGAGTATTCTTGATATTTGCTCAGAACGAAGTCAAGATTCTCATCCATGACGCGCGAGATGTTGTAGGCTTTACCAGTGTTGTCGAAAGTGCCTGAGGATAGCAGTGGGAGACTATTTTTGTTAATCGTGAGTTAAGTGGAAATATGTGATATGAAAACTTACTACCCGCTGTTCCAAACATTGGTATAATATAGAATAGGCGATAGAAATAGATAGAAAATCACAACCACAGCGAATGCATTGCAAGTGATGTAAAAAGGTGTGGTGAGAGGAGTACCAGCATATGTAATCTGGGTCCAGTCGAAACTAATTGGTAGTAGCCCCAGACCGGAATTCATACCAAAAATAGTATTAACGACCTGGTTTTTTGGAACTATCCAAGTAATAAAAGCGAATGTACTCAAACTAGTCCACAGATAATCCGGAAACCAGAAAATAACAAAGGCAATGATGGTAAAATAGGAAAAGAACCGATATCGAGACAGATTCCAACCATTGGCTGAAAAGTGCTCCTGTGGTTCATGTAAAGTTCGGAAAAGAACAGTCGACGCTAATGAGGAAGGCCAAATGAGAGCAGCGGGGTAGACGAGCCATCTGCGGGCAAGACCTGCTAGACCGAATCCGAGCATCTGTGTTGTCAGGAGGAACAAGAAGGAGAAACCCGCGCCGTTATCATGTTTCCAGTACACAGGACTGACTATAGCTACAAGGGCTGTGCTGGCATAAGCAGCGCTTGCACTAATGTTCACACACTTTATGATTGTTAGTCTCCTGTGAAGAAAAGGCAGACCATAAATATGATCTAGAAGGCTTACAATGACAATCAAGGCGTGCTCTTTTATGGAAAATGGTCCTGGATTAATATCGAAGGATAGTGAACCGAATGGTAGTCTCCATCGAGGTAACTTTTCCCACGCTCTTCCAATAGGAAAGACTAACAATTGCGCCACGACGTATCCGATACTAAGAGAAGGCTATCAAAGGTTAGTATGGTGAGAAGTATATAATAAGTAGAGAAAGATTCACATACATAACGCAAGGCAAAAAACTGATTAGCACCAGCGAAGACGATGACAAAGACGGTAGTGAGAAGCCAGGCACGAAAAGCTACACTGTTAGAACAACCAGGCCAAACATTGTAAAGCACACATCTTCAACTTACTATTACAAGGAATACTTGGATCATCTGTATTCGGCACACAGGCAGCGACCTCAGGGACTAATGAATCAAGTCAGTAGACTGTAAGCCACATGTTATAGTCATGGAAAACTCACAAGGAGATTGATCACCATCAACATTCCAACCAAAAGCTTCGGTAGGAATGAGTTCAACAGCCTCAATTTTCTCCCGAAGTCTCTGTTTTTCACCTTCGATTCCTTCTCCCTCGAGATTAGCTATGTAGGGGTCAATTGTATCATTTGTCCCTCTTCTCATTTCCGATGTTTGAATCTCATTCTTATAACTTGGATTATCGAATGCGGCACCCGATATCTGGGAAGACATCGTAGCGATAGCCTACTGGAGATTCCAGCAGCTTGAGTTTGTATCACGTTAGCGCTGGGAGTAGAATGAAAGACGAGCCATTTTTAAGATACATGGAATCAGGGCTCGGTATATAAACCGCCAGTCTATCAAGATAGAGACCATTTTGCCGATCCACTCTCTGCCGTTGGCAAATGCCATCAGCCAAAGAAGTTGCGTGATAACCTCTAGAGAGGGGCAATGGAGTATTTTGGGAAGAAGTTACACCTATTTGGTAGAGATGCTCATAACTTATGGGGTAGATAAGACATGCAATCTTATCTTTTCCCATGTTTGAGGTCGAAAGTGGTGGGCCTAGATGTTCTTTACAGCCGTATCCTCCAACAAATATCAATTGACATCCTATAAGATTATGTCGAGCTCATGAGCTGATTATAATTGCGATGCACATAAACTCCACAAAATTACGGCGAAAAGATGGAAATTGCGTGCTCTTAGTGGATGATACTTTGACTAAGTGATATCTATTGCTTGAATGAGGAAAATGTTCCCAAATATATGATTTGTTCATATGTTTGCCGATGCAGTACCGGTTCAATCACGTCCGTGACCCCAGGAATGGCGTATCTAGAAGCGGGGTCCTTCGAAATCTAAAGATCTCATTGACCACCTCTATTAAATTTACCATCTCTATATTTGAACTCTAAGAATAAATTATAAAAACTCTAAATTGATTTCAATCTCTTCTTTTTATTATACCTCTAATATTTCTAGATATGTATTTAATTTATATTTATGTTGAGTAAACTAATCAACCTATTAAAGAAATACTCTCTTATAGATAATAATAAATCGCCAAGATAGATAGGAATCACTATTGACGTCATTGCATGAAGTATACATACAGAAATTAGCACATTCAGACTATAACAGATTAATCAACGAGAAAAGACATAGAACAAAAATCTCCAATATAAGATCTAGACTCTACTGTTGTCAAATAGAACTAGCTCTCTCACGAAATCACATATAATTTTAGCCATATCATATTGGAACGAAATCTGGAACACATCACGACAAGTACAAAATCAATTCAAACTAAATCTTCAAATGAATCATTACTCATCTAAACTCAAACAAAGACACAAACCATAAGCAACTCCATATAAACCCACAAAGTACAGCATTATATTCCCACAAGACAACACCAAACAAGAACACAGCAATCCGATCAGAACCAAAACAATCCCATACAACCCCTATCTTAATTCAATACAAAACAATCTGAATTGCTTCCCCTTTCATCCATTGCCCAATAAACCGCACCATCATACTCTCCCGCCCCTTCCCTCTGCCCCTTTCTCTCCCCTTCTCCACAACCAACCACCCCCGAACCCCAACCTCAACCACTACACTCCACTCAAACACCAAAACAAAAAACCCAAAGAAACAAAAAAACTGTACAATCTACCACCCATCCTAAAATCCAAATCGCGCAAAAATACATACAATACATACATGCAGTGCCCTACCGCAATCTCATCACCGTCCGTACACAAAATGACAGAGATCCTTATGATTCCTCTTATGCTCCAAACTTGGTCATGGTAGGTAAATTGATAATTATATACTTTGTAGAACGATGGAATATGAAATATAGAATGTAATAAGATGTAATATAATAACAAGAGACAACCACTAATTAGAGCTAATTATGAACAATCAAACTATCGAACTATCGACTGCGAATCACGTACATAAGTACCGTATGATTAAAATTTAAGTGCAAAAGAAAATAGTATAGTATAGTACAGTACAGGTAGATAAGATAACAACTTCGTAACCTGATTGATTGAAAATGAAGAATCCATATGCATATCCAGCCCTAAATTCCCAACTCCCAAGCTATGCATCGAGTAGGTAGTGGAGCCATAAACCCTAGAAAATATGGGATACATGCATGCATAAATCTGTAAATGTGACCCCCACGAAAAAACTCCTTCCCTAGTCCCAGCCGACCCAAGTCAAACTCAAGTTGGTATCAAATCAAAAAGTTCAATCAAGGACATGCTACCCCACCGAGCCAAACTGTTGTCTCTCCAGTAGCTGATCTTTCTCTAGATCCTATGAGCATCAGGTTCCATACTGCTTAACAATCCTTCCCAGATCTTGATTCAAGCCGTATTCTGCTGTCGAAGAAACCTTCACTACGGCATCACTACATCTCCGCGGCATCCGCAAGATCTGCGGCTGATGATGATCGAGTTGTGAAGTGCTGTGTAACAAGTCGCACCGTTGATCAAGTAGGCTGTTGGCTTCCCATATAATTCCCTCTTTCCTTCCTTCATACTCAAGCTAAGCTAAGGAAAATGGCATTGATAGCAGCTTTATCCCACTTAACATACTTCCCCTTTCCTTTATCAATCTCATAATATTTATCATAAAATCGATCATATAACGGCTTTATCAGACTTGACACCTGTCTTGCCAAAACTTCCCTCACTTCTCTCTCCATCATTAATGACTTATGCCTCTGTACCAATTCATCGAAAGATTGATTAAACATCTTGAATTTCTCCTTAATTTGATCCTTCTCTTTGGAGCCAAGAGCTTTAACAACAGCTGCACTATCAATGCCACTAGTGCCAGAACCGGATTGTGGGCGTGCATTACCACGGTTTGTGTATTGGACGTCAAGGAGGTAGCCAGATGGTTCACGCCATGCAGCCGTGTAAAGAGTTGTACCACTTTTGACCCATTTCTCTATCTCTCCAATCTTTGGTGCAAGCAATCCTTTCAACTCACTTCCCTCAATCATGCGCATCACAATCGTTGCATTGTTCGCAAGAAAAACTCCTAAAGCAGGTTTACCACCTTTGAGTAATACCTTGGCTTTTTGTTCCAGACTTGAAAGAAGAGCTTCAATCGTGTCAATGCAGTAGTTTGCAAATATTTGTTTCCCATCTGCATTAACGTCGAAAGAGTTAAGACTCGGAATTTGGTCGGTTGAACCTTGAGGGGTACCACTAGATTTCCAGCCGCCGTCACCAATGGAGATCATGATGCTAGAAATAGGTCGAAGAAACTCAACCATGGTTTGTAATCGCGTCATGGTTTCAGTGGTCATGGGAACTGTCGCGGCATCAGTGGGTAATACTTGTAGCAGGTTTATCTTTCGTCGAGTGTCATCCAGGAGTTCAGCCAGTGAACCTTTGGCAGTTTCTCTTATGGGTTTAAGAGCTGCAGCGAAGGAGGGTTTCAATTCCCCCGTCCTACTTTCCAGGTTTGAAGAGAGATTTGAAATGATTTCAACAATCTCATAGGCAAGATAACAATCAGTTGTCAAGTTCGATTTGATATGGTTATTCAATTCTCGAAGAGTTCGTGATAATTCCGCTATGGCTCCTTGACAAGTCAAATTGAAGACTTTACCCCATTCATCGCGAGTGAAAAGAGCGCATATATTGTCGTACTCGGCCAAGAAAGCTCCCTCCATACCCATCGCATATGTTCCAATTCCATTGGTTCCTTGTCGATACACAGCATCTGGTGTCTTCTTCTTTGCGGTATTCATTGATGCGGAGGCTAAATTTTGTAATGTAGTTTTCAAAAATGGACCCCGAACATTTGCATATGATTGCATAACTGGCGATTCCGTAACAAATCCAGATTGTCTAACAACCGACCCAATATAGTTCGTAATTAGACCCAATCTTGTAGTTTTGTCCTGAGATAGTAGAGGAAATGGCTGATTCTTTGTGATGTAATGTAGAGGTTCGAGTGGTTGTGAATCTTCCTGAAGGAGTCCTTGGAAATACGATTCCAGTTGAGTGTTTCCCGATTTCGATAACTTGCTTAGCTCAACCATAGCTTGTTGATTCGATCGTAAGTTCGTCCGTTTCATATCTGCGAGAGCTTTATTGACACGCTTGACAGAACTGAGGAATACCGCCAAACCGACGGCTTCCGGGCTGTGATGTGTTAGTGGTGACTAGAAGCTGTCGATGGTTGTGCGACATACCCTTTCCTAATAATCTCCTCCTCATTGCTCTTAATGTCTGATGGTTGTCGTACTTTATCGATCGCTGCAATAACTCCATCGATATCTGCGCATATGTGTGAGTGTAAATCAAGTGCTCTGGGTTAGCTGACACTCACTCTGGCCTAGAATTTGAAGCTTTTGAGTATTTCCATAAATGGGACCAATCGCTTCCTGCACCCCTTTTCCTGTCGCATCCAATCTTCCTAAACTGGCTTGAATCTTTTTTGTCAATTGACTCGTTTTCTCCAAACGACTTTTCAATACATCGACTTCTGCTCTGGCTTCCTCGTCGGCAGCTTGTCGTCCTCCTAAGCCGACGACCATGTTTGATGATGCAAGAGACCACCCTTTTCTACCAACAGGTACGGAGTACATGTTGCATTTGTGGGGGATGAAGGCTAAACTTGATTGAATCGATGAAGGCGGTGGAATGTGGCAGGTTCTAATTATGTTATGTTATGAGTGTGGAGTTGAAGAACATCAAATAGATTAATGTGTGCGTTGCGTTGACTTGTTACATTGTATGGATGAAGTTGTAGATTGTTGAAGGAGAGAGGCATAGAGAGAAAGCACGAAAGCACAAAAGTCTACTTATTACATAGATACATTGACCTCATTTCCGAAAAGAGTGAATTGGGTTGTTTCAATGCTGGTACAGGAAGGAATTAAAGTAAAGCTATTGAAAAAATGACGACCAGATTATCATCGCCATGACATTTTTTATCGATTGGACCCACGCAAAATCACTTGAATTAATACAGTATTGTATGTACTCTGTATAATGATGGAAGATGTTATATTTCTATATACTCGAGTGGCTACCCAGTACACAAGATGAAGATGAGATTCATCAAATTGTTATGTCATCTTCCAAAAACATGTTGTCGCCGAGATTATGTCTTCTTCTTCCGGGACAAAACCATCCCACACCATTTTCTAAGGCCTTTCTTCCACATTCTTCAATCACAAGCAAGATCGAAGCTGTGGCGTCATTGATAAGAGTGATAGGTACAGAGGTAAGGAAGGTTACGGAATCCACGGATCAGAAGCACAAGTAGAACAAAACAAAGCATAGCCACATCACATCACATATCTCCCTACCTACATATCTGGTGTCTCCAACTTCCAAGGCATGGGACATTGAAATTCATCTCAACTTTTCCACTGATTCCCATTGTTCTTTTTCTTCTTTCCCACTTCCCATCCTGCACCTTCACCCCACTGCATAAACATGGTTCTCACTGCTATATCCATGCTATTCGTTCCAATTGCGAATCGCATTCGTTTCTTTTTCTTTTCCTCATGTTGACCGCAAAAGTTTCTCGTCGTTTGTTGTTGCGACTTGAACAATCGCATTCATCAAACACTATCTCATTATGTCGATCATTAAGTTCGACAAAATTACTGAATAGCTATCCGGCCTCTCACAACATCAGATCACAAACGAGAAGTATTTTCGGATCATCGAAAAAGGAATCACAATCCAATATGTCTTCGCAATCTCAATACTCAAGACCTTTGGTGGGGGTGACATCCACCATAATGGTTCTAGGTCTCTTTTATATTCTCTACCAAAATGATTATCTGGTCATACAACCTTTACCTGCTACACGACTACGCCCGAAAAAATCCCCAACAAAAGAAGAAGAAGCAGAAGCTCGCGCCGAGAGAGAAGCTATCAGAAATGCCAAAGAACTTTCAGTATTACCATTTCAAGAAGATGCCGCAGCAGGGGATGGTTCGGCTTGGGGAAGTTTTATTGGCAGATTCAACAACTTCTCTATAATGTCTGATGGAAAGTGGAAAAATATCTCAGAAACGGTCGCCGGTTATTCCGAATTTATAATGCCCGAATGGGCCAAACTTTTACCTGGATATATTGAAAAGTTGAGAAGAGAATTGAACATGGCACCCGGTTCTTTAGCAGATGACATATGGAAAGAAGCTCAAGATCCAGATATCAATCCTGAAATCGAATATTCGGCTTCAGTACGAGTTTCGGATGACATTTGTGATGAGGAAAAGATGTTTTTACAAAAGAGAAAACATGCGACGAAAATAGCTCTGGCGAAATATCTTGGTCTTCCCGAGGAATCCATCCACCCTGATGATGTTCCATGTATTGCTATGGTAGGATCTGGGGGCGGTTTACGAGCTTTGGTGGCTGGTACGGGTTCGATGTTAGCGGCTGGTGAAGATGGTTTATTTGATTGTGTGACTTATACCGCAGGTGTTAGCGGTAGTTGTTGGCTACAGTCTCTATTCCATTCTTCCCTTAGTGAACAACGCCTTGATAAATTGGTCGATCATTTGAAAGCTCGAATTGGTGTTCATATTGCTTATCCTGTCGATGCGTTATCCGCTTTAAACTCTGCACCAACCAATAAGTTTCTTCTGAGTGGATTCGTGGAAAAGCTCAAAGGAGATCGTAATGCCGATTTTGGCTTGGTGGATGTGTATGGATTACTACTGGCCGCGAGATTACTTGTACCAAAAGGCGAGCTAGGTGTTAATGATCGAGATCTCAAGATATCGAATCAACGAGATTATATCAAAAATGGCGAGAATCCAATGCCTATATATACAGCTGTACGTCATGAGATACCTATAATGGAGGAGTTAAGTGAGGAAGAGAAACAGACGGGAACGGCTACTGAGGCCACGAAAGAGAAAGCAATCAAAGAAGCATGGTTTGAATGGTTTGAGATAACTCCTTATGAAATGTTTTGTGAGGAATTTGGAGCGGGAATTCCCACCTGGGCTCTTGGTCGAAAATTCGAAGGTGGAAAAGATATACCTCATGAGGAAACAGGATTGCGAACTCCAGAACTTCGATTACCATTACTTCTTGGAATATTTGGAAGTGCTTTCTGCGCTACTTTAAGCCACTATTACAGAGAGGTCCGACCTTTGATGAAGGGATTGATGGGATTTGGAAGTATTGATGATATGATTGAAGGACGAAATGAAGATTTAAGCAAAGTTCATCCCATCGATCCAGCTAGTATTCCCAACTTCGCATACAAAATGGAAGGGCAACTCGCGGATACTGCCCCAGAAAGTATTTATCAAAGTACACATCTTAAGTTAATGGATGCGGGCATGTCTAATAATCTACCCATCTATCCATTACTTCGACCAGGAAGAGAAGTGGATGTATTTGATTGCATTTGATGCAAGTGCGGATGTCAAAACTGATAATTGGTTATCAGTAGTTGATGGATATGCAAGACAGCGTGGCATAAAAGGTTGGCCGATTGGGGTTGGCTGGCCAAAACCAAGCGACACAGCAGAGAAAACAGAAGAACAATTAGAAGAAGCTCAAGCCAAGACCACCGCAGAAGCAGAAGCCAAACTCGAAGAAGCACAAGAGGAACAAATGACACATTTGGAAAATATGACTTCAAGCGAGCAGAAATCAAGAAGCACAGACGCAGAAGATAGTGATGACTTGGGCTATTGTACCGTTTGGGTGGGTACCACGGAAGAACGTAAAGAAACAGATGAACCACCACTATCCAAAGCGGTGAAGGAAGATTGGCAATTGATGGAACCGGATGCCGGTATTGCAGTAGTTTATTTACCCTTTCTTGCAAATCCCAAGGTCGACGGTGTCGATCCGGCTATTAGCGAGTATATGAGTACGTGGAATTTTGTATATACTCCGGATGATATAGATAATGTGGTGAGATTGGCAAAAGCGAATTTTGAGGAGGGGAAAGAACAGGTTAGAGGGACGATAAGAGCAGTTTATGAGAGGAAGAAGAAAATTAGAGAGGAGAGGGAGGAGAGGGAGAGAGAAGAGAGATTTAGGAGGAAAGTTAGATTAGGGACTGTTGGGAAGACGGGGGATGGAGATCATTTTTATTTGACTTGAGTGAGTATATCAGTCAGGATTGTATATATATAGATGGATGGATGATATGTGTGTGTGTATATGTGTGTGTATATATATATAAAATAAAATAGATGATATCTTGAAATTAATATACTAGTATATTGTTACGAGGTTTGCCGTCTAGATCACGTGGAAGTGCTCTAGGCTCTCGAGGTGGTTTATAACTAGGCGTCAAGCAGGGACTTAAGTAATGACAGTGATGCAATTCGTAACTAATAGTAGAGTATACTAAATGATTGATCTTGAGCACGAAGCTCTTTACGAAGGAAATCCATCTAGATTATATAGACCTTCGTGCCGATGGCTACTCAGTAGGATCAATGCAGCTCAGTACTGATCCTCACTGAGCCAATCACGTGATATTGATTGCACGTGAGAGTTTCCTGTTACTCGGCGTAACATAACGATACTGTACTGGAGGCAGCGGCTGCCTAAGGTTTCGTCTTGTTGGTAGTTATGGGTTAAGGCTTTATCACTGGTATTCACTTGGAAGTGAAGTCGTTACTAGATCAAGTAGAATGTAAGTAAACTAATTGATAATTAAATTGAGCACGAAGCTCCTAAACTATGAAACTACTCTGACTATATAATGAACGATAAAGGGAGCCCCCAGGAGCTTTCTGGCTCCTCAGGGCTCCTGGAGCTCTAGGAGCTTTGAGGGCTCTTTATCACGTGATTCCTTTTCATCCCAAGACACTAATCCTAATGGTGAATCGTGATAGGGATATACTGGGAGTTTTTGGATTTTTTGAATGTTGAGTATTGAAGCTTTGATACCTACAGGGTATTGGTGCGGCGCGGCGTAGTGCGTGGTTTGGAAGAAAGGCAGAGTACGGTGTTCGCCGATTGGTGGGTTGGTGGGTTGACACAAATGATGTGATGGGAGGCGGTAAGGATGTTTGGGATAGGATTCGATGGGAGGGGGGTTAGAGGCTAGGGTTGTGTGTGGATTCTGGAGGTTTGTGGGTGGAGGTATAGAGGTATTGAGAGATGGATGATGATGATGATGATGAAGTTTATGATGATTGCGAGGATTGGTGGAACTGGTAATAGAGGAAGGAAAGAAAGAAAGAAGGAGAGGAAGAATGCGGAAAAACCCCGCTAGATAGATAGATAAGATCGGACTCGGGAGCTACGGTATAGTGAAGGAATATGTAGATGTGATGATGGGTACTCGAGTAGGTTATGAGTATAGAAGATAGACAAAGTACAAAGCCTCTCATGATTGATATACTACACTACTACTGAGTACTAGGTAGATTGGGTAAGAAGATTAGATCGATCTGATTTATCGTATACATTTATTATATGGAGTAAGGTATGGAATACCCGTACGTATAAAATTGTGGATTTATAAATTGTGGATTTGAGGTATCGCCGAGTAAAGGGTAAAGGGTAAGAAAATATAAAAGTGCCGTGTTGTTGTTAGGATGAGGTAGATATCGGTAGATGATTTTAGTTTTTATCACCCCATTCTCAAATGATTCGGGAAAGAAGTACGGAGGGGTCGGTACTATGGTACTATGGTACTAAGTTTGTATGAGATGGGTGGATAGGATAGATGGATTGTCTAACTTGATTTTGTTGGTATGGGGTGGTAGGCGAGGAGGATGTGGATGGGATGGATGGGATGTTTTGGGTGGGATTCTTGGAGGTGCGGTGTTTGGAGAGGGAGAGGGAGTGACAGGGGAGAGAAGAGGTGGGAGGAGTATTTGGGGAGGAGAGGGGGGAAGAGGGAGGACCCGGAGGAGTACATAGGAAAAAGGAAAAGAGGGAAAAGAAGAGACAGAAGAATATAGGATGGGAAGATGAGAGGAGAGGGAAGAAGATGGGGAGTGCAAGAGGAGAGAAGGAGGTGGAGGAGATGGGAATGTATATATCGACTAACAGCTTGTGAGATTTTTATAAGTGAGTATTGATACTTCAATGTCCTAATGTCAAATATTTATTCGTTTTGTTTTAGTAATAAGTAATAGATTTCAATGGTCGGCCATCTTTGTAGGATAAACTATGCTTCATCCTCTATTAAATATAACCATTATCTAATATCTATAATACTACTCGCTACCAATCAATAAAAAGAAGAAGAACAAAAATCTTTAAACAAACTAAAACAAAATATACAAATCTTCATCATTTCACAATCAATCAAGTATCAAAATCAAGCCAACCAAATCAATAACCAATTATAACCCACCTCATTAACCAACACACACATCGGCTTAAGAACGAACCAAAAGATCAGCACTGAGGAGAACCCTGAAAAAATAAGAATACGACGCTGCACAGCCACTCACAGCCCGAGATAAATGGAGATTTCCTTGAGGTTCCGTGCGGTTCGTTCCTGGCTAATGATGATGATGATGAGTATGTACAGAGTATGGTGATCATTTTTCCGAAATGAAGAAGACAGGAATTAAGCACGCGAGCATTTGAATTTCGAGTTGAATAAGATAAATAGTAGAGAAAGGACAGTTATTATTATTCATAGAATATTAAATGTCTGATTATTACACGATCTTATAGTATTAGATAATAACGATGAAAAAAAAATAAAAAATGAACAAAAATCACATCATTTTTCTATGCTATGTACTAGGTATGTATATTGTATATGTAGGTATGTATTTACGACATGATATGATTGATATAATATATACTACATAGGTACTGTACGGAGTACTCGGTACCGAATACGATAATCTCATTCATGCACGATACTGCGTATATTTGGGACGAGAGGACCCTAGTTACTTCTTGCATGAAACGTTTGGACGGACGGTGAAGAAAGGAAGGAAGGAGGAGTACTCTAATTTATATTACTGTACTATAGATGGGTTAGCGAGTTTGGTGGAATTACTGGCATGTAGTTTATTATAAGTGGTTATTATGAGTATTGCATCGTATACGAGTGTTGTATGAGTAACTAGCTAGTTTGGGAAAAGTTGTACCGAGAGAGGGGTTGATGGTGGATGGATGAGGAGAGAAGAGGTTGTAACAAACGAGCTGTTAGTGGCCGTTCTGTGGGTAGGGCGTGAGGAATTATGGGAATTATGGGAATTTTGGGTTGGTTTGGCTTGGTTTGGCTCGGTATGGGTTGGCTTGGGTGGAAGGAATAAGTGGCTTGGTCTTGGTGGTACGAGGTTTGGTGGGGTGGGGGAGAGCTGAGGATTTAGCTATAGGTGCTAGATGGATGTGCAGTTGGATGTGCAGATGAGATGGACAGGTAGATATTAATATTGAAAGCAAGTGTTTGGATGGATTGAATATACGCAGTAATATGATGTACCTATCATTGATACTACTCTACCTAGTACATAAACTTACGAGATGTGGAGGAAGATCGCGTGATGAAGCTGAGAGCCTTATGGAAAGACCGAAGAAGTTTTCTATGTTGTGGAAGGTTGACGAGAATGAGGGGAGTTGATGATATTTTGTAAGGGGAGAGAGTGAGGGAGAGGTAGAGATGTGAGATGATTAAATTGTCATCTATCTGTATGTGCTCAAGTCATTAGTCATTCTAAGGGTTTCACCAGATTGATACAAATCACCACCAAATAATTCAAAATCAGACGAAATATATTTCCATCCATCCAAAGAATATATACTAGGTACGCAGGTAGATACTCGGTATAAAAATCAAGTGAAAAAGGTTTGTCCTTGGATTTGTCTCAGATTTAGCCCCAAAAAGTCGAATTCACCTGGTCCACATCTTACCCTCACCCTCACCCTCACTTACCCTCACCCTCACCCTCACTTACCCTCACCCTCACCCTCACCTACCACCTCTAACCATACCATACATTAATCCCGTTTTCCCGTTTTCGCATCCTGACGTCCACCCATTTTACCATAAGAAATAAATTCCCCATAAAAACAATTCATCCACATTTCTTATATTGTAAGACTATGGATGGTGGTGGTGTATCTACTACTCCGTTCACCGATTTCGACTCCAGTTCCTGCATTAACTATGAAATATATAGAGGTCTGATAATCCCTCTCGTTTTCTTTTAATCTTGATCAAATGTAAGTGTTCATCATTTGAGTATAAAATAATTAAAACTCCTATTTGCTGTTTATTTCAATTGATTGTTCTTGTTTCTTGTTTTATTACTCTACAAGTAAAAAGGTTCATTCTCTAATTCACTCGTTTCGTCACTGTCACATTCACAAAGAAACTTGACTTGGCAAGATTCTCAAATATCGAATCAATCAGCAGCAAGAAGCCAATTGATTATATTAATCACCGGAGGGAGCAGGATTCAACTCGCATTGCTCGTATATGAAGGAAGGAAAGAAGCAGGAAATCGAAAACAATATTCACATTATTCAAAAACTAGAAGCGGAAATTCGAACTGGATTCACATCATCCCAAGGCTTCATATAACATAGAAAAGAGCCTCGAAAGTTATATCCCTTCATGAGACTGACACTTCCTACAATATTACAACTTACTTTATACATTCCACAACCTCCATTTCAACACATGCCAACGTCTGTCACTTCCAACTACGTAACCAACCTCTCGTTTATTCACAGCTACTATATCAATCTTTAAGTTCCGTCGACATCTTCAATCATGAATCCAACAATGTCACCGCCACTCTCAATGTCTTCACGAAAAAGATCCTCCTCAATATCCTCAATTGAATCCTTTGATTCGGATTTCTTCGATCAAACTTATGTACCACTCTCGAATTTACCAACTCCACCTTTATCCTCACATTCATACGATAATACAGCTGCCCATTCACCGATATCTCTTTTCAGCTCAGATGAAATCCTTGACTCGGAAGTTTTAGGTGTGTAACCTTCCTGATTCATTCAGCCCGTTCAGCCCAGTCTGCACTCATCAGCTTTTTCTGCAGAACATTCAGGCTAATTTATTTCGTGAAACTCTAGGTCCAGCAATTCATCTCACAAACCTAATACCTTCCTCAACTTCTCTAACTTCTCCCTCGACCCCCCTCGTCCACGCCCTCCTAAGTCGAGCCGACCTTCCAATTGAAATTCTCGCCCTGGCAGTTTGCATTCTCGATTCCCTCAATTCTCGTTTTGCTCGGTCCTGGCGTCAATCATACCCTCTCGAATCATTCGAAGATCAATTACTCGAACAATATAATTTTCCTAGTTTACAAGCTAGAGAGGAACAACATATTGATAGTACACATCCTGAAGTAATAATCCTTGCAGCCTTAATACTAGCTACGAAATTCTTAGATGATCAACAAGGAACTACACTCTATTATGCGCAGAAATGGGCCAAAGGTTTATGGAGCTGTGATCAAATCAATTTTACTCAGAGGTGTATAATGGAAAATTTGGGATACAGATTATTACCACTTTGGTCGGAAGATATTATTGAAGAAGCGAAGAATGATATGGCTAGGGCGGCGAAGAGACAGTCATCTGCGTCGTATTGTATGCAAGATTGGTCGATTTCGATAAAAAATTGTGGTGTGAGTGGGATTGATAATCGACCAATGAGTTCGGGGAAAGCATGCATGGGTATCGAAGGGGAAAATACGCCGCAACCTACACCGATTGAAGAATCAATTATTGAGAATTGGACAATTGTGAGTGAGAAGCCGTTGGGCGGTACTTCGATGTTGAGTAGGGAAACTAAGAGGGCTTTTTGTGGAATACTGAGAGGGGAGTCTGAGGATGTAGAGGTGGAAAGGTTTCCATTATATGTGGATCCTATGATCGATCATGGAAGTATGGCCTTTCTTTGACTGAGCTGAAGTATTGTCTTATATTATTATCACGACGTTATGAGTCAATTGGAAGCTTTAAGTCAAGCCAAGGATCGCCTAAAGGATTTCTACGAGCATTCCATCACAAGACACACGGCACGTTTTTATTATGGAGTTATGCTTATGGGGAGCAACTTGGCATCGGTTGGATGGAAAAGACATGGCATGGCATGGGAAAGGCGCTTTATACCTAGGAAGACGAAGATTAAGGTCTTGGTTTACTTGCTTTGCTTACTTTGTTAGGTTTGCTTGTTTTGCTGGTTTGGACAATGCAAATAAGATGAGGTTAGCTAAGTTAATTATTTAAATACCTGGCTACTTGATATTAGTTTTAGTATTAATTATAAATGTTAATATTAGATTATAAATTGTTTTTATTTATATTATTAAGTTTTTGAATATAATATATTTAAATATTTCAAAAACGTTTATAATTTATTTTTTGATAATTTTTATTAAAAAGTTATTGAAGATTTGTTACGAGGTTTGCCGTCTAGATCACGTGGAAGTGCTCTAGGCTCTCGAGGTGGTTTATAACTAGGCGTCAATGTGACCAAAAGGGTGTTTATAGACCAGCAATTGTATTTAACTTAGAATCTACAGGTGAAGAGCACCTGTAGATGGGGATAGCTACTCTATATATACACAAATGAATGGCATAGCCGCAATGGCTAGGCAAAAAGAAGTCATATTTATTCCTCCAATGATCTTACTTTACCGATAACCATTGATACCTAGTACTTGTCCGGATCTGATCCTCAGGTCACCTAAATCGCATACTAATCTCGAGTAATCGTATCATGTGTGGACATGGTTAATGTACCTGAGGTTTCTTATATAATAAAGGTGGGAGGAAAGCAGGGATTTCCGTCACAGTCAAGCAGGGACTTGAGTAATGACAATGATGCAATTCATAACTAATAGTAGAGTATGCTAAATGATTGATCTTGATCTTGAGCACAAAGCTCTATACAAAGGGAATCCATCTTGATTATATAAACCTTCGTATTCCAACATTGGAGCGATGGAGTTGGGGAGCGGGATTCGAATCTCGTTCCTTCGCTCTCTCGCTCCCTCACAAGACTATTCATTTGTGTAACGATACTGTACTGGAGGCAGCGGCTGCCTAAGGTTTCGTCTGGTTGGTAGTTGTGGGTTAAGGCTTTATCACTGGTCTTCACTTGGAAGTGAAGTCGTTACTAGATCAAGTAGAATGTAGGTAAACTAATTGATAACTAAGTTGAGCACGAAGCTCCTTAACTACGAGACTAAATGAATGTTTATATACCCTATATCATCTTTTGAGGACCTCTGGGACCCTAAGGTCCAAAAGGTCCTCGAGGTCACGTGAATTAATGAATCGTGACAATTTGATAAAAATAATCGTTAATATTTCTAATTTTCTCTAGAAATCAATTAAAAAAATAAATTAATATTTTTAAATGACACTTTTGAACCTGAATAAAATAACTATAGATAGATTGTTTAATATCTGACAGAAAGATTTTCATCTTGAACAATGTGAAGTCAGACTCAATGTGTCGCCAGCCATTGTATACTTCATTAACCGTAAGATTCTGATCAATTACGAAGGAAAACTATTTGTAGATTGTCCTCTTTTTCTAGTTTGCACTTGAATCAAACACTGAAAGTACTATTAGATGAAGATGAGGATATATAAAAGAACTTTTACGTTCTATAAAGGCTAAGCACTGGTAACTTACCGGTGAAATACTAGTAAATTGTAATCAGGTTTTACAATTTCTCATTGTGTAGAAAAGTAAAACTTGGGGAAAGACTTTGCATCCAATTACAGATAAAATGAAGCCGGTTGGACTGTGAGAGGTTTTTGACGACAGCAAGAGGAAATGTCGAAGTTGGAGTTTTGACGGCAATATTACAGTTCCAGATCTCAACAATTCTGACAGCGGAATAGCAATGGCAGTCTCACACTCTATACCATTAAAACGAGCAAAGAAAGGTGGAGAAGAAGAAAGAGACATCAAAATCTGAGCACATTAAGAGGTTACATATTTTGATCATGAAGTGCGAAGAGGTAACCGGAGGAGTTACATATCATCACAAAATTCTACAATTAACTATCATTTGGGCCAATTAGATACTTTTATATTCGTGTTACGAGGTTTGCCGTCTAGATCACGTAGAAGTGCTCTAGGCTCTCGAGGTGGTTTATAACTAGGCGTCAAGCAGGGACTTAAAGTAATGACAATAATGCAATTCGTAACTAATAGTGGAGTATACTAAATGATTGATCTTGAGCACGAAGCTCTATACAAAGGAAATCCATCTTGATTATATAGACCATCGTGGCATGCGTCCCAGTGCTCCCAGTTGTCCCAGTTGTACTGGGACAGCTGAGCCTACTGGGATCCTCATATCACATGATGCTAATCACGTGATGTTAGGTATGTGAGATCCGTCGTAACAATTCGTTTCTCAACTCATTGTACACCTCGCTACACAAAAGCTATCCAAAATCTAACCATTGAGAATAGCCGAGGTGATCATCGAAAATAACTTAAGCGAGAGATAGTCACAATTAGCACCTTCGCCTGCTTTGTAATTAGGTCTTGCTACTAGTATATGACAATCTGTAATCCATCCTTCGCAAATATTTAAACTATAAGAAATAAGAGACTTTTTCGCTTCTAGTAATTATATCTGATTTTTATGCTAAAGTCGTGGATATATCTTTGATATTTTATTAATGAATATTAATATTCAAGCTTTTTCATTATAGTTTCTATAACCGATTCTCAAAGAAAAGATATATAATAACAACACTACCTTCTTGTAATATAGTATATCAATAGCAAAAAAGAAATATCGAAAGTTAATTCTATTAAGAATATAAAATATTATTAAAAAGAAACTATATAGATATTTATAAATTTAAAAATATAATCTTGAAATTATTGAATTTAATCATATTTAACTCTATGTTACCTTTTATTATCCTATTTTAAATATATTGAAATATAATTATATAATATTACCCCGCATTTTATATATAACCTCTACTTTCTATCTAGGAGGTAGTAACACAGTATAAATAATCATATAATATTATTCATTTATTTTGAGTATTATTATTATCCCTTATTCTACCAACAAAATAATACTGAATTGAGTTTATATTTCTAAAGTAGTTTTATATAATATGGGCAAGAAAATCACAGCTTGAAATTCAGGACAGGCTTGAGAGTAATGCTGCCGAAATCTTCAAATGGGCTACAGAAGCCTTTTACTTGTTAGCTTCTAGTTTGTGGAAGTCACTATTACTGCGTCGGGTTATTATAAAAGCAAGGACATCAACCACCAGATAGGGCTCATAACAAGAAATTAAGCTCTTACCCTCGCAACCTGTATAGTATAGTGTTGTAATGGTATTTTTTCTATAATTCCTCAGGCATTATGAACTTTGTGATATTCATGAAGACCTGAAACTCCAAGTCTACATACTCAAGATCATATTTAATAGTTATTATCTACCAACAAGCCTTCTTAATAGCAACAGTACAACGATCAAAACTCGGCGACATACTAAATAATTGACAGCGAAAAGCAAAATCATATAAAGGTCAGGCTAGAGTCGTGATCTGAATCCAGAAGTAGAAAAAATTATAAGAAGGCATACCCAAACATCAGAGGAAAGATTATAAACTCATGCCCTAAATCTGCTTGGCAACTTATTCTAGTTTCCTCAAGGATTGAGTCAAGGCTCGATGAGATGTTTTTATATTATCCTGTCTAATTTAGATTTTCATAATGTGAGTTTACCACTCCCCCCATCCCCGTTATGGATCTAGTTACAATTAGTATAATGTCGTGATAACAAGAAAGATCTCAAGGTGTTGGGTTTCTTGAGACCAGAAAGAGCATCAGATTGAATTGATTGATTCTCTAGCTAAGCAGTTAAGCTGCGAGTATATATTCAAAAAATGAAGGAATCGGGTTAGGTATTCGGCCTTCGGAATTAAAGTGCTTTGAAATCAAAATATTGAAAGCAAACAAACAGTATACCAAAAAGGAAAGAATGAATTAAAAGTTGAGTTTTGTTTGCTCCTTATATGCATCATACAATATATATGCATATGCTGCCAAGATCCCAGGAGGTCAACACAAGGTGTCTAGTATATCCAAATCTATTATGAATTATTAAAGCCCCCTCAGAAGATAACTATAACTAATTTTATATTTATTAATATATATTAAAATATTAAACCTCTAATATGGCCTGATATTCTGATATCAAGATCTCGCCATTGAAATACAGATAGTCTTTAATCTAATAATAGTCAATAATGAAAATAATATCAACGACGAATTAAGAGTTGTTACGATGGTAAAAACTGACTAATTAGGAGAGCTGAGGCCTTGTGCAAAAGCGATCAAGATTTCATTGAATTAATATGTGATCTGGGTCACCTTAGGATCATATGCGCACCGTCAAAAAACACGTGACTTGGAGCTTTTAGAGCTTAGGATCCAAAAGGATCCAAGGGAGCATGAAGATCTATATATTCAGTATGAATTTCTTTATTGTAAAGCTTCGTACTCAAGATAAACCATTTAGTATACTCTACTATTAGTTACGAATTGCATCATTGTCATTACTTAAGTCCCTGCTTGACGCCTAGTTATAAACCACTTCGAGAGCCTAGAGCACTTCCACGTGATCTAGACGGCAAACCTCGTAACAGAATAGTGGGAAGCTGACAGGGCAGAACTGAGGCTATATTGGGCTTTTTTATGAATCACACATTGTCTCTATTCTACAGAAGTGCGAAGCTCTTCTACAGAGAGCTTCTCAATCTAGTCCTAATAGGACTAGTGCCTTTTGCACGTGCTACGCAGAAACCATTCACTTTAAAATTATATTTAATTTAGAAAAAATAATGAAAAACTTTAGTTTTAATTTTAGATTAATTGATTCTTTGTTATATATTACTCTTATAAAAAATATATCTTTTTTAATTCTTAAAATTTACAATAACAATAATAATCTATAAATTCCAAATAACTTGATGTTTTTTTATTTTTTTTTAAAAAAGGTTTAAAATCGTCTTGGTGTATAAATACTTTGTTGATTTTCATTGATTTGAAAGAGATAATAACATTTTACAATGACCGGGCACTGATAATTAATCAAGGATCATTTTACATCAAAATCCAACGATTTTAATAAATAAGTTTTGGTGTAAAAAGACCCTTGGCTAATTATCTATGCTCTAGTATTGTACTTCCACATTCTAATTGATGCTGTGACCAAAAGGGTGTTTATAGACCAGCAATTGTATTTAACTTAGAATCTACAGGTGAAGAGCACCTGTAGATGGGGATAGCTACTCTATATATACACAAATGAATGGCCTAGCCGCAATGGCTAGGCAAAAAGAAGTCATATTTATCCCTCCAATGATCTTACTTTACCGATAACCATTGATACCTAGTACTTGTCCGGATCTGATCCTCAGGTCACCTAAATCGTATACTAATCCCGAGTAATCGTATCATGTGTGGACATGGTTAATGTACCTGAGGTTTCTTATATAACAAGGGTGGGAGGAAAGCAGGGGTTTCCGTCACAGATGCTGATACTCAAAATCAGTAGTAAGAAGTTGAATTTCTTCAAGTGATTAGGAATTTATAGCAATAACAATTGTAATCTTGGTGAATTGAAGACAGACCATTTCAAAGACAATAATTACTTATGTTTCACCCCAAATTTGTAGCAAGAAAATCAGATGACGATCTGGTAATCACACTTAGTTGCGAATCAATCGACTACAGATATCTCTGTTCAAAGCTCTGAAACCTTGATTGTTCGCATGAAATACATATTGTACTGGCTTCAAAATAAAAGATATTAAGAACAAGCTGTTCAGATAATTAGGCTTTTTTATATGGTGAATTTTCTTTCGCTTCTTCTTATGCTTTAGCAGCACCCAATGCTTTTATTAAATGCAGGTGAGATGATCAATGATAGACCGACTAGTCTTATAAATACACTTCCCCTCAATGATGGCCTCTTCTTCTTATACCAATGCATATTGAGCATTAAGCATCGGGCCATAAAAGGATGACTGAGAAAGTGAAGAGGATATCGGCATACAGACACTGCCGTATCATCCTAATCTGTTTAAAAAAGCTGAGAATGCTACAAGCAACGAAAAATCATGCCGACTAGTTTTGACAATGATGAACGCGGAATGAGTGGACTGAGGAGCTTCTACACGCTAGCTCATGGCTATTAGTATAGAGTTACACATGTTTCCTTGCGATTACCACATTGACAAAAATGTGACTGTGACAAGAGTCAGTAACAATGACCGCGCAGCGACGGAAATTGTCGAAAACAATTCTTCTCGCCTCAGTAGTGTTTGAAGTGGAGCTTTGATGATAGTAAGTTGGACTTTCTAAATATATAGCATGAAAAGCAGATATAACACACACTTGAATATGTGTGATTAGAATTGGCATCGGAGAGGAACTTCCGTGTCGTGATTTTCATCCAAGTGTCCTGCTACGTAGCATATATAAGTGCCGCTGTCTTGATATATTTCGCACTGGCGCAAAGGATGTGGAGTCGCCCGGTGGGCCTCCATAATCTCGAATTGCGAATCTGCACTGTGAATGCACATGTTCAGTAGGTAGCCATGATTTTTGATAATTGAAGAGCTGGTTTATTTGGCGATGAGCTTTTGAGAACAAGGCACAAGCGTTTTTATACTACTCTTTGGGTTGAAAGGAATGTACTCAAAAACAGAAGTCAAGGGAAACAACCAGTTAATGGTAAAGCGCACAGGAAGTTCAAGTGTGAATCAGATAGTTTAACTGTGGGTCTAGCCAAACGACTGAATAAATTTCTTTTTTGGAGCTGTATTGGCGATTGAGATGTTCGAGCCATCTTTGTTGCACCAAAAGAAACAAAGCGGAGTTGACGGTCAGTGATTTTACTTTCTTGGTATCACTTGATACTGAGAGGCAAGAGAGCCATGAGAACCATTGAGCTATTTGAATATGAGCCGCTGCTGACAAGAATGAGCTGGATGAACAATGAAGCAGAGTGGGAATTATTCATGATATATCTCTGTTGGCCAAGATAACCACGCTACTTCAAATCATCGTTTTGGATGGTTTATGCCTTTTGTTAACGTGGCGATTTTGAAGTAAACATTTTTCGATATACAGATTGGATCTCTCCTTGAAAGTTGAAGGAAGAGAATGGATAGTTTGAATACTCGTTGATAGGAAGTGCATGGAAGCGGCACTCACAAAATGGATCTGAGACGGATCACATGTCAATTCAAATGCGAAACGTTTGTGTACGCTTTGTTGGTGGTCACAGCTGGTCCAATACATATATATCCGATGATAGGCGCAATATTCATGATCATAATACCCTTTGAGGTCAAGTGATGTCTTTTCATGAATCCGATGTTTCTTTCCCGGACGACCGAGGATATACAAATACGTATATGAAGTAGTACGTACGAGTAGACGTCAACCCCTTTATTAGTAAATACCTACATAGTACATACATATATACTCCATACATATCTCTAGCCACATCATCCAAGATCTTCAAAGACGGACATTTGTGGAAATCTCTTCAAATCACTCGGCGGATCAAATAATATCTAATAACAACATGTTAGCAGAAGGTGTCGACCGACATTTAGCCATAGCAAAAAGTTCAATGCGACCGAGGGGATTTCCTAGTTGTGGGGTTGTTTGTGGTCTTCCTGTGTAGTGAAGGGGGTAACATTACAACATTGTGGGGTTGTCAGAGCTAAATCTACTCGTACTCCGTGCATTCATTCATTCATTCATTTTTTTTTGCCTCGGTACTCGCTTCATGTTCATGTTTCAATGAAAAAAGATCCCGAAGTGACCAAGGCGACTTGTTTATGTCTATGTACCTAATTAGCAGCCAACCATAAATCTACTCTATCTAAAAGAAGACATAACCCACCAACTCCCTTTAATTTCCTCTCCCATAAGACTCTCTACTCTCTCCTGTTTCGAGGAAACGTCGTTGGTATGTTGAAGTTGCTGGCAAAAGGTCGTACTCAGTCTCCGGTGCTTAGAAATAGTTTTACGTCTACAAGAATTTCAAGAGTATGTTGTGTATGATCTTTTAATCAACCTTTCCGAAGCTTACAAGATTTCGTAGACTCTAGGTATGGCACCAGCAAATGCGCGGAGCAATAGCTCTCTTCCAGCAGGTATGAACACATGCATTCCTTTTCCCTCCCCGTTACAAAGGATGTCATGGTTGACAATATTACACGGCAGGTTATAAGGAAGACTCATCTAAAGGTCCCATGCTACGATTTGAGGAATCACTCCCAAAACTTCCAGTTCCTACGTTAGAAGAGACAGCTGTGCGATATCTCAAATCAGTCCATCCCTTGGTTACTTCTGCCGAGCTACAAACCACCACAAAAGCTGTTCAAGAATTCATAAAGCCAGGCGGAATCGGTAGCAAACTCCAAGAGAAATTAATCGCTCGTCGAGAGGACCCTAAACACAAGAATTGGCTATATGAGTGGTGGAATGATGCAGCATATTTGAGCTACAGAGATCCAGTCGTTCCATATGTCAGCTACTTTTATTCCCACCGAGATGATAGAAGGCGGCGCGATCCATCAAAGAGAGCTGCTGCCATCAGTACTGCAGTTTTGGAATTCAAGAAACAAGTGGATGGTGGAACTTTGGAACCTGAATACATGAAGAAACTACCAATCTCTATGGAAAGTTATCAATGGATGTTCAACGCCAGTCGAGTTCCAGCAAAGCCAGCAGATCACCCAGTCAAATACTCTGCGGAGGAGAACAAACACATTTTGGTCATTCGCAAAAACCAATTCTTCAAGGTTATGCATGAAGTTGATGGACAACAATTGAATACCTCTGAGTTGGAACAACAATTCAAGTGCATTTACGAGAAGGCCGAAACTACACCAGCAGTCGGAATTCTTACATCTGAGAATCGCGATATTTGGACCGATGCTCGTGAAGTTCTTCTCAAGGCAAACCCAACAAACGCAAAGATTCTCAGAGACATCGAATCTGCTTCATTTGTTGTTTGCTTAGATGATGCTGCTCCAGTTACTCTCGAAGAGCGAGCCCATCAATACTGGCACGGTGATGGGGCAAACCGTTGGTTTGATAAACCTCTCCAATTTATCATCAACAACAATGGTACATCCGGTTTCATGGGTGAGCACTCTATGATGGACGGAACACCTACACATCGTTTGAATGACTACGTAAATGAAGTCATCTTCAACAACAAACTCGATTTCTCCAACCCATCCACCCGTTCCAATCTTCCCGAACCAACACCTCTCAAATTCCACATCACAAAAGAAGTCCAATCAGAAATTGAACGCGCAACAAAGGATTTCACCGAAGTTATCGCTGCTCACGAACTTCGTGTTCAAGCTTACCAAGGTTATGGTAAAGGACTCATCAAAAAATTTAAATGCTCACCTGATGCTTATGTACAAATGATTATTCAACTTGCCTATTTCAAAATGTACGGTAAAAACAGACCTACATACGAAAGTGCGGCAACCCGTCGTTTCCAACAAGGACGTACTGAAACATGTCGTTCCGTCTCCGACGACTCGGTGGCTTTCTGCAAAGCTATCTCCGATCATACCGTCGACCCATCTAAAGCTATTGCTACATTCCGCGCAGCTATTAACTCGCATGTTGAATATATTACAGCAGCCAGTGATGGAAAGGGTGTAGATCGCCATTTATTCGGATTAAAGAAATTATTGGAACCAGGAGAAGAGCTTCCTGCTATTTTCAAAGATCCTACTTATTCTTACAGTAGTAAATGGTTTATTTCGAGTAGTCAGTTGAGCTCGGAATATTTTAATGGATATGGATGGAGTCAAGTGGTTGATGATGGATGGGGAATTGCCTATATGATTAACGAGAATAGGTATGTTTTTTTTTTACGCCGTCCTGGTCATCACTTTTCCCTTTTCCTCCCCCCAATCTTACTCCTAGATTCCCTTTCTTCATGGATGAAGATAGATTTCAGAAAAAAACAAAACTAACGATAAAATAGCATCCAATTCAATGTCGTATCAAAGGGTCTCGGTTCAGAAAGAATGAGCTTTTATCTCAACGAGGCAGCGGGAGATATTAGAGATCTTTTGATTCCTACTTTAGAACCTGCTAAAGCTAAGTTGTAGATGTGCTAGGAAGATGGTGGGATGCGGGGATGAAGGGACGGGGATGAAGGAATTAGCTAGATGAGTAGGTTTAGAGGAATTTGAGAGCAGGGAGAAATGGATGAGAAAAAGAGAAGTAGATAGATGTGATATGAAGGGGCCTGATAATTATATGTAGATATTAGATATATTTCAATAGATTTCTAGTTTCTATATCTAGATAGGAATGTAAAAATAAAAATAAAAAGTGAAAAGTTTACTTATTTGATTACCTAGTTACTCTAGTTACTCCGTAGATCTTTTAATGACAGACAGGGATTTGTTATTATTATAAGAATAATATATAATAACTCGAGTATATATTTATACTTATATCTCTAATCCTTTAGCTTATTTATACATATATTTCTATATATACTGATTTTAACCTATCATATTCCATCTAAACTTTAAGAATGTATAATACAGTGTCTTCCTTTACATATCACATATTCACAAATGGATCATGTACTTTTTTCTCCCATCCGCTCGTCTTCTCTACTTCTTTTGAAACCCTTTACTATCTGCTTTCAATACCTTCCGTAAACTTTCTTCTCATCTACATATGTATCACTCTCTACCTCCTTCTCAAATACCAATTATGCGCCAACTGCAGGAGCTCCATCGAAAAGGGACTAGGAACTTCACTCAATCCCGGTCTCGCCACAGGATGTCTAAGGTAAACCGCACCACAGATCTTCTGGTTCACCTCTAGGTACCTAGGAATAAATGCAAAAGCACTCATGTAGGGTCTTGGTTGCCAAGGGGTCATGTAAGGTTTCGATTCATCAATTGGATTTTCCTTCGCTCGTTGAAGTGCAAATTTCAATTTTTCTCGGTAATCGGGTTCTTCTTCTGCATTGATGACTGCTCGAGCTTCTGCAGCAATTGTTTCCAAATCTTCAGATTTGGCGAGTTTGGTTGTGTAGGAGTTGAGGATGGAGGTTAGGTCGGCGACGGATGTGCGTTTTAGTTGTGAGAGGGTGGCTCGAACTTCGCGCTTGAGTTTGCGGAGGGCGATCTTGCGTTTGCCGGACGGAGAATTTTGGCTGTCGGTTAGGAGAATATCGGCGTGTTCCTGAAGAGTTCGAAATTCCATACGGAGTCTGTCCTTTTCGTCCTTTTCTTTGGATTCAGGCGTTTCTTTAGGAGTTGTGGTTTCTCCTCCTTCCTCTCTTGCGGCGGCGGCGGCAGCTTCTTTTTCTTTTTTGGCGGCGGCATTTTTGGCCTTTTGATCATTCATTGCGCGGAGGGACCTTCTGAGACCTCGGCCACTTTTGATTTGGTCTGCGGTTTTTGGAGCACCAGTTGCGAAAAGTACTCTATCAATGTCTACTTGAAACATATCTCCTGGGTTTAGAAGGTATCCTGGATATGGCATCTGATATTGTGTGAGCGAATAGTAAAGCCTAACCTCAGATGCAACTGATTCCATACCTTCTTCCCGTTAACCTTAACCTTTCCATGCACGACAAATTGTCTTGCTTGTCTCGTACTACTTGCAAATAACGCTCTGAAGATGGCCGTATCCAATCGTCTTTCAATAGGTGCGTAAACCATAGACATATAAGGTATTTGATTCCTGTTGAATTGTGCGGCACTCCCGGCACCTTTTAGTATCTCTAATCCAGATCCTCGTCCAGCAGCCAATTCAGAACCATCATGTTCAGCTAAATATTTATAATCCATAGGGATAACAGCTTTCGCTCTCGGTCTAAACATTCTTGTCCATTGGCCTTCTCGAATTTGTTCTCCGTGATATGCTCGACTCAACGACTTTGCTTTCCATTTTTGTTGAAAGAAAGTGTTACCCTCCGGCCTGGGCTTGTATCTTGACAGATTGTATAGATTGATTTTATTCCATGTTTGACGGATTTTCTAGGAGAACAATTAAGTGTCAGCTCGTCGTGTCTCTGGGATCGTTCAAAGTGCCTTGTTGCTAGGCGGGGAAAGACAATTTCAAGGCATAGATTTCTCACATACCACTTTCTTCAACTGATGAAACCTTGACCTCATGATTAAATGTGTATGAGGTGGTCGTCGCTCAAGATATAAGCTGCAATGATGATTCGATAGCGACGATGATGTTCAATACACAACACCATGAACCTCGAAATAAAAAGATGCGCTAATTTCACTAGCGCAGACTTTTAGTTTTCCACCAGCAAAAAAAATTGACCATACAATTTTTGGTTTTTGTAGCTTCTCCCACAAACCCAAACGAAACAAACCTTGAGCTCTTCGAACCAATATTAACCCAAGATTTGCAATCGTTTCTACAATTACTCAAATACCTACATTCAACTCTTTTCCTTCGGATTTCAAATAATACCATTAACTTACTGGCTAATATTCCATTAAAAGATCTGCCAGCCTCTCTTCAGAGTTCAAGGGTCGCGCATCGCTTTTTTTTTTAACTACCTCTTCACCCCGCCTCGTTCGCCTTATCGAGTCACTAAAGAAGGGTTTCATCCATTCAGATAATCAAATTACTTTCTGAAGTATGTATTAATTCATAAATCATTGTCGCAACTACTTATGAGATCTCTTTAGCTACATTTCATTGGAAAATCTATCAGTCGCACAATCTATCGCAAATAATCATGTCCGATATTAAGATGGAAGGCCAAGAGCCCGTCGCTGCAGCTCCAGCTATTACTAACGAGCAAGTGAAGACCGAACCTGAAACTGCTGCCGCACCACCAATTGAGTTGGAAAGCACATCAGCTACCGAGCCAGAAGGGAAGGAAGAGAAGATGAAAGATGCTGAGATTGAAACTGAAGTCAAGGAAGAGAAGATGGAAAACGCCGAGGTTGAGACCGAAGTCAAGGAAGAGAAAACCGACTCCAAAATCAAGCCAGAAATTAAGGAAGAGAAAGTAGAGGTGGCCAATGGTGATGTCAAGAAGGATGTGAAGAAGAAGTTCAACTATGACGAGCCAAGATTTTACGACAACGGGGTTTTGAAAACAAATGCCAATGAGATTTATGGACAGAACAACAGCAAATACGATGCTTCAGTCCTTCCTCCATCTGAGGATGGAGGGTTGATTCGCCGACAGGTGTGAACACTACTTCAAATGTCCATGAAACTTTTACTAACTTTTTGTCTAAAGGTCGAATTCTACTTTGGTGATTCTAATTTGCCAACTGATACTTTCTTGATGAAGGAAACGGGAGGCGCAGAGAACAAGCCTGTCTCTATTGCAACTATTCACGCCTTCAAACGTATGCAGAGATTCCAGCCATATTCTTTGGTCGTCAATGCGCTCAAGGAGAGCAAATTCCTTATTGTGGAAGGAGAAGAAGGAAAAGAGACTGTTAAGCGCAAGAAGGCATTCGACCCATCCGCGAAATCACCAAAACGCGACGCACGATCAGTCTACATCAAGGGATTCGGGGATGAAGAGCCAAGCTCTCAATTCGATATCGAGGCTTTTGTTGCCCCATACGGTGAGGTCAACTCCGTTCGTCTTCGCCGTACGGAGGAGAAGCTCTTCAAGGGATCCGCTTTTATCGAATTTGGGGATGAAGAAACTGCTCAAAAATTCCTCGCTCTTGACCCAAAACCACAGTGGAAGGGAAAACACACATTGGAGATCAAATCCAAGACTCAATACATAGAAGAAAAGAACGAAGAGATTCGAAATGGTACTTTAGTTCCAGCTCAGCATCGAGGACGTAATGGATTCAGAGGCCGTGGCCGCGGTGGTCGTGGAGGTAAGGATTTCGTCAAGAGAGAGCGTGATGGGGATCGTGATGGAGACCGTGATCCAAATGACTGGAAGAAGAGACGTGAAAACGACAGAGAGAATGGTTTCCGAGGTGGTCGTGGTGGTGGTCGTAATCAGCGTGGCGGAAGAGGAAATGGCAGACACAATGACAAGAAGGGTGGTCGCAATGATCGTGGTCCAAGAACCAACGATCGCAACAAGGAGCGCGATGACAAGAACGGGTAGGTTCTACTCCTTCAAATTTCCATCCTATGTAATATACTAACAAATAATCAGTGATGACAAAGAAAAGGAAGTCAAATTGGAAAAATCTACAGAATCTGCCGTTGAGCCATTCACAAACGAGAAGAAGAGAGCAAGAGAAGATGACGGAGGAAACGAGGAACACCAAAACAAGAAGGTTAATACTCAATCTGAAGTTACAGCTAAAGCCTAAATAATACTGGGTCGGACATTAATCTCTCCAATCGTTTCGGCATTGTTATATCGAGGGGTTTCTTTTCCTTGGTGGCGTTTTGAGAGTTAATTCAATTTATTCTTTTCGGTGGGAAAGGGGACATCTGCATTGATATTATGGATTTGACTCGTCTTGTGGCCATTGCACACAGGAACACGAGTGGTGATTTTTCTTGACTTGTAGAAAATGGGGATTTGAATTATTTCATTTGGAGGGGAAAACAAAATTGTTCATGGTTAAGGGGGATTAGCGATCGCGGCTCAAGGATTGATCGTTGAGGGTTGAAAGAAGGGGAAACGGATGAGTGGGTGATTGGAGAAAGGGCTTGTAAATACGTAGGAAGAGGAAGGGGAAAAGGAAAAGGGAGGGTAAGAGAAGAAGGGAGACTTTCAGTGAGGGCAAAGACATTTTGCTATAGGGATTGAAATATTGAAGGAAAGTGAATTGCACAGATCGCTTATTATGTTTCGATTTGTGAATGGTGAAATGGTAAAATATTGAACCAGCGCATATGAGGCATGTGTGGGGAGGGAAAATGGTCGTTGACCTGAATTTCCCCTAAATTACCTAATATGCTATTGCCATACCTAGTAGGCACAAATATCCAGACTCAATATCGGGGGAAGAGAAGCGGATCTTTTGGTTCTTCATTTGATTTCTTTTCTCTTCTTTTCTTCTCTTATTTTTATATTCTACAGGTATCAACGCATCCACCCATCTATCCATCCATCCATCCATAAAGTTTTCTTTTCGAATCCCTCACTCTAGGGATAATGGTGGATATTTTGAGGCTCCTTGATTGAAGTGAGCCATCCTTCATCTCCGCCTATCTCACCTCCCTCCCCTCCAAAGCCCATATATGCAATTTGCATAGTAATACACAACTGATCAATTCATTGATCATAATATCCCCTCATCTCTGTGACTTTTGAAAATGCAAAATGAAGAATTTCGTGTTTTCTTCCAATGTCGTTCTTTACTCATCTTGTCATATTTCTTCACATCTTGTGCGCAATCAACATCAGAGAATTTGAAGCACTATGCAACAATTTCCCCCATGTCCACATGTACAGGCTCCCACTTCTTTTCCCCTTCCTTTCCCCCGCTCGCAACTTCCATATCGCTCGGCAAAGTCTTCTGTCCCGGACTATAAAGATACCAGGCCTTCAAACCGGCAACACTAGCTCTGATCCTCGCCTCATCCAAACTCGCACCTGGTGCCTCCCCTAACTTGTCTCTCCCACTGTATATTCCAACTACGAAGACTGGACTTCTACTAAGTCGACCTGTTTCACTTAGGATTCTGGCAACGGGGGCTTCGAAGTCTTCTCGTGCGCATAAACGGGCGAGGTCGCGCACCGGTTGCGAAAATTGGAAGAGCTTGGAGATGTCGAGGTGACGGGAGAGGATATGTTGTTGAATAAATGTTTTTGCTGCGGCGCGACCAGCGTGAAGATAGATGGCGCCAATGAGCGATTTAACGAAAGAAGCGTACGCATGGTTCATTGGTTGAGGATCCGTGACTTGATTGGATTTCCTGACTGTGTCTCCGAATTCATCATCGTAAACGACTCTACTAGCCATTCCCCTTCTGAAATATGGTGCTTCTTTTCTGGTGGTTTTACCGCTTGAAGTGCGCGCTGCATTGGCATCCAGATGTTTGTATTGGAGCAGTCCCACATCGACTTCATTTCCGGGAGCAAAAGCCGGTTGAACGCCCCAATCCCGGCCTACGAGATGTAAAGTATCGGGACCACTGTATGCGAATACACTTGCGTAAAGCACAGCCATAGGCAAGCGGGGGTAAGTACAAATGAGATATTCGGAAACGTGGTAATGTAATAAATCGCCTCCAATTCTCGCCATTCCTGCATTGTTAAAAGCAGAATTCGAGTTTGCGGACGGCGTAATGAGAGTTCGAGCCAGTGTTTGGAGGGGTAATTTGGAGGGGAGAGAAAGACGGGCGTGGAGGGCTGCGACTTTGGGAGAAGGAGATGGGAGGGGTTTTCGGGTCATTGGTGGTGGTTCGAGGGGTGGTTCACCATCTTCGTTGATTAATTCTTCTGGTTTTGAGGCAAGTGCAGATGTGGACTGCATACGCACACAAGCAGGTATCGAAATCGATGTCGTAGTCCTTCGAGGGAGATTTTGAATGTGCCGCCTCGGATAAGTAGAATAAGATCTATATTTTGGGAAAAGCGATTGGGCGCTCCATCTTTCCAAATGTAACCTCTTCATCGTTTTCTATATTTCCCTTGCCAACGCTTCCAACTCGATTGTAGGATTGAAGGTAATCAAGGGATTTGGCGAATGGATTAACTGCGCGAAATTCGTCGAGAAGAAACAGTCCCGTAGAACAAATTCCAAAATTTCTCGCCCAAGCTCGTGGGACTGCGGTGGTTATTGCGTTAGTCCGTTTATGGTTAGTGTATCTTGATATCTGATGGAAGGATGAACGACATCATTCTGACAATTGACCAGAATCAAGAACCTCAAGAAATCCATCCCACATTTCGCAATTATAAAAATGGTATGTATTTTTTTGCTTAGTTCCATTCTCACTTACTCAGAAGCTAAACTAACAAAACCTCAGGGCGGCGGCGGCAAAATTCCGTAAGTTGTCTACGCAAACTCCTGAGCTTCAACTGCAATTCCAAAAAAAAAAACAACTCTAACTATCATATGCCAGATATCCCAAACACGTTTGGTCCCCAGCCGGAGGATGGTACTCGCAACCCGGTAACTGGAAAGCGAATACGGCGATTATGATGACGGTCATTGTGGGTATTACAGCTGGCATGTGGAAATTAAGCGCGGAGAGGGAATATAGAACAAAGTTTCCGGAGGAGGGAAGGTTTTTTCCTAGTCGATAGTGAGTATGGCTTTGTTCTTGGTTGAGGGATATGGTTGAGATTGCGATGAAGGAGGGGATGAGAAATTGTGAAAGAAGGAGAATTAGACTAACGAAGTTGTAGCTGGAGTAAACAAATCAAAGAGCACGAAGCAGAGAAGCAGAAGAGCATTACTGATCGTGTGATCGAAAAGGTTGCTGGAAACTGATTAGAGGATGGGAGAGAAATTGTACATATTTTGGGTTGTCATGAAATGAATACACTATCAACATTTGTGAAGGAAATATGATGTTTCCTTTGATATGCAGAGAAACATAGAAGGAATCGCAGTGCGAGCTTAGACCGGGCTGCATGTACTCGTGCTGATATCATGATGCTGCCTTGCGAAGTGATTATTGCAGCAATTAGCACTCAAGGCAGTACATATCGAGAGCATTCCACTTGACACCATATCATTTCGTTGAATTATTTGAGTTGAGAAATCGAAATTCTCTCCTTAGGATTGTGAGCATGTATTCATGATATTCCCTACTTTCCTGCTTTTATTAGATCCACACAATCAAAAATTACTTCGTCGATCCACACAAACTCCGATCCAGTGATAGGAGATCCCGTCCTTTTGATAAGTAGAGTCGTATATGGTATGATTTGGATCCAGATACCTTTTTGTATATTCTTATTGAACTCGATTATCCTTGTATTTGACAAAGTAATCACCATGATAAATTTCTCCAGATGTAATATGATTCGGATCTAATTACTTTCTTTACATGTTTTGCTTGTTCAATTTGATTGCTCCTATATCTTATAGAGATAATCATTACAATCGATTTCTTTCGGATGTAGTAACTAATTACTTTATTTGTATATTTTGCTTGTTAAATCTGATTGTCTTTATATCTGACAAAGGTAATCATTATAAAGGATTCCTTTCGGATTTAAATATCTAATTACTTTATCTGATTTTTTATTTGTTCAATCTCATTGTCTCTATATCTGATAAAGGTAATCATTATAATGGATTTCTTTCGGATGTAGTATCTAATTACTTTATTTGCATTTTTTGCTTGTCCAACTTGATTGTCTATATATTTGATAAAGAACCATTACAATAGGATTTTCTCCAGATGTAGAACAGATTAGTGAGGATAATGCAAAAACTTTCCCCTATTAGCTAGCTTCATTCTCTTTATTATCGATAACCTATTTAATCAACCTCCTTTTCTGTCAAATCCAACATCCAAATATCCAATCTTAAAACATTGGCTTCTCTCATCTCTGGACCTTCAAAGCTATGGCAGGAAAATTGACGGTTTACAAACCATTTGAGGGGAGTACCGAGGAAGAATTTGCGGCGCACGTTCCCGAAGAAGAAGATTTCTTATTATGTACCAACTGTGGATGGAATGCCAGCACTCAGCTACATACTGCTTATGAAAGTCATATTAAATGCAGGCCCAGCTCCAACAGAGGTTTGTGGTTCGTTGGCAATAAGTCTGCTTTGAAGGAACATGTATTCACGATTGGGGATTGAAAGACCGTTAGGGTGCTGAAGCTGCCATAGCCAAATTCTTGAGCGAGGATACAACTGTACATGTACCCAAAGTCATAGATTACTGGACGGATAGTACAAGTCATTTCATGTTGATGGAAAGAATGTCAGGTGAGACTCTAGGGGCAGCTTATATGAACGGTGACATTACTCGAAGTCAGCTTGCGACCATCGCGAAAGAGGTGGTCGAATATCTTGTGCAAATACGCAAATTTACTTCGACGAGACTGGAAGATCCAGATGGATCATCTCTAAGAGACAAGCTTTTAGGCTCTCAGCACAACAAAGTAGTATTCATGACGGAAGATGTTGACGAATGGTGGGCTCGTACTGAACCTCGATTAAAAGAAAATAAATCAGAAGAATGGAAGAAGGATTTTAAGGAGAACTATCCCATCAAAGGCGGACCCTACGTACTCTCGCATGGCGACTTGCATCCGAGTAATATTATGGTCAAAGATGGCATATTTCCGGTCTCATCGATTGGGAACATGGTGGTTATCTTCCTGAATGGTTTGAGTTGCTAAAAAGCAAAAATATACCTTACCCATTTGATACTTACTTTACTGAAGAGATGGAAAAACAAATTGGGCCGTTTCCAGAACAGATATCGGATTTTGTTAAAAAGTATAAATCCTGCTTTAGGAATTTCTCGGGAGTGCTGGTTGTGCCTGAGCCTGAGTTTGTTCCATATCGTTATATGGTATGTCCCAACTTTCGTCGATGGTTCGATGAACACAAAATCGGGTGGGAAAGGACGGTTTTGATCCGAGATATAGTTAGGCAAAAGGCAAGAGAAGCGGCTGAACAAGATGCTGAGGAAGCTGCAGCTTTCAAGGCTTTCAAAGCTCTAAGTTTTGAGGGAAGGAAAAATTTAAAGAACAAGGATTAGATTGATTCTTACATATACTGAATAGTGTATGGTTAACCAAAACAAAGTATTCGTCTTTTTATCATATTACGAATCCCCGTCTTTCCCCCCCCCCCAAACTCATCCAAGACTTCCGTTCTATCATTTCATGCTTTTTTCTCATTGGCTTGAAGCCAGTAGCTTTCAAACATCTCTGTTTTTTTTCATTTCCTTTTCCCTGCCCCTAAATCTAAACAGTTAACCAAAAAAAAAATCATTTTTTTTATTATATAGCAAATTTCCTAAAAGAAAAAGACTCTATTCTCTTTTATCACATTCTTCATTGGTCTCAAACATCCTTGTCTCTTCTCATTCCCCTGCTCTCCCCCAAATCTAGAAGGTTAAAAAAAATACGTTCATCATTTTTTATATTGCGAGTTTCCCCAAAGAAAAAGAACCTGTCCCATCATATCACTCTTTCATTGACTCTCAAATACCCCCATCTTTTCTTATTCCCCACCCACCCCACACCCCCAAATCCCCGCAACCAATCTTATCTCTTCCTACCCTTGCCCTTGCCTAGCTCTACAAAGGTAACTCGAGCTCGACGGACTTAATACTATCCTTCAGGTTTGAGGATGCATCTTTGCGGACAACGGAAACCCTGACTGGCTTTCCGCAATCCTTAAAAAGCACAACCAAAAATTTAACATGAAAGAACTCAATCTCTACCTTCATACACGAAGGCTTTGCTTTATGACCTTCCTTATCCTTTCGAGATATCTGCGCTTTAAAAAAAATGGTCGGGATTTGGCATTCATCGTCTCCGAAGGTGATGGTGACAGGTTGCTTGACAAATTCGCCTGCTTTGACAGCCCCACAACGAAGGCAATTCTTGTCCTCTGTGGGGTTGGTGTATGAACAAAGATAACCGGCCATTTTCAATGGTTATTCTGAATAAAGATCTGTGGTTTGATGTGTCCGCCGAGAGAGGTGGATGAGGATGGGGATGAGGATGCGGGAATCTGTGGATTGCTAGCTAATTGGAAGTTAGCGACACGAAGGCGAGGAATTATGAAGAACATGAACGGGGAAAAGAGATACTTACGTAGATTGGCCTTTTTTAGCGTGTGTAAAACAAGTAATACGATGGAGTTGTATGTCGCTCGGGACGGGGTTTGCTGTGAAATGCTGGTGAGATTTGTTCTTGATTGATTTGAATTTCCAATTTCTCGTGTCGAGAAGGAACTGATGAATATTGCTCCTTCAGGCTGCTGGTTATTTTTTGAATGAAGGGCGAATCCTGAATGATATATATCCGAAGAGGAAGGCTCCAAGTATTGGGATTTAATGGGTAAAACTTTTGGAAGCCCGTCTGTCTTGTTTCGGAACGTCGATACGATGGTAGATGAAAGAATCTATTGATCGGTAAAGCCACAAAACAAAGATTTAAGTGATCTAATACTCCCTCCCCTGTGTAGAGTACGCATATCGGAGTCCCAACAGAGATTATGGCAACTCAAATTTAAAATTTGGGAAGCTGCCAAGAAAAGAATATTCTAGATGAACGATAGTGTAGTGGAACAGCGAGACATTTGAGTAAGCTCTGATTCAAACCTTTAAAAGTCTAAGGAAGTAGAACTAGAAGGCTGAAACCTTTCATGAACAGGTGTTCGTTGTCAGACATCTTCTCATGATGATTCATATCATTGATGATATAATTTGACTACCTTCATCAAGTTCAACGTCCACCTCTTCCCCTGTCTGAGACACCAATCCAAAACCAGTACGAGAATAAATGTGCCCAATACAGCTTTGTAGACGTTGAAGGAAGAGTGAGATATTGTGTCTACTAAACACGTACAGCACACAATCTTGTTCAAAGCCACATCTTCAGTATACAACATGTAATGTCCCGCTGTGTATACTAATTCCATGGCATAGGATATATCGCTTTGAACCGGCTCTCTACTTTTTGATACCATGCTCTACATCCACTAGAAGGAATCCATGCAACAATATAAACTTACAATATTCTTCGAACACTAGAATAACTTGAGTTAAATGTCACTTGTAGACTTGCCCTTCAGCAAGAACATCCGAAGCGAACTGTATGAGAGATGTCTGAATTATTGAAATGTGAACTCATGTAATAGTCGGCGCTCTATGACTCAGCCTCCTCAGCCTTCTACTGTCGCAGTCGGGTAAAGCGCGGTGTAGCCCATTACTTTTGATGCTGTCGCAGATAATGCCTGTGATCTCCGATGATCTAAAAGCCAACGAAACACATCTTCTTTATGTAGAATCTTATCATCTCCATTATTCGCTGAGAAAATACTATCTCACTATTCTTATTTTAGTTTTCCGGTGTTTAAAATTCTCTTTGTCGAAATATAAGCGAGATGACAGGGTTTATCCATCTAAGCATCTTTCTTATTCTGAGACAGAAAGATGATTTTGATAGGGAGAGATTCTATCACGAATTTGAATGGTATCCAAGGAGTCCGGTCTAAAACTCTTATCTATTTCTACATGATTTCTATGACCAAAATAGTCGTAAATATAAGGAACCAAAATCCGTATAACCTTATCATGACTTGATTTTGGCCACGATAGATCTAGGAATTATCTCCAAAAAAAAAACCCCCCATACGACATAGAAACGTCACCTACCAGATCGTTCAAAAACAGGGGTCTCGGCGTATTGAAGAACCTCATAGATGCGAATCGCATGGATCATTCTTGGAATGTTCTTTCAAGACAAACGACCAAAAGCTCGGCACAGATACCCAACGATAGTGTTCGTTTAAAAAGGTGGTGGTAGAGGCAGAGGCGTCGGGTGGCTGAGATCGATGTTCGATTGTTGTCAGTCATGACCGTTCAACATGCATGGTTGGGAAGCGGTAATGCTACAGTATAATGTGAAACTTCTCGGTCGATTCCGTTAAAGAAAACCCATCCGGATTTAACATTGACAGGTTTCTGTATCTGATGATTGATATTATATAGAAATATGCATGTAGTGGATGTAATTATACCCGCTAATCGCGCTTGACATCGATTTGATGCGATCACCTTGAAAGATTAGAAATAATCATATTTTTTTTTAGAGATGAGAAGAACACACGGATTTATATCTAATCCCTAACATTAAAGGCCTCTCATGCTGTTATTCAACTTTTCAATCCCAGTCAAATTCATCATAACCGAATCACAAATCGTCTATTTTGACCAACCATCAGATGCTATTTTTAGTATATTCAATCAACACTATCAAAGCATGGGAATCAAAAATTGCTCACCAAGGCGTACCAGCTTCATCGGTTAACCGTGCCATAAGGAAAGGTCTTGGATTTTTGAAAAAGCTACGCCGGAGATGTCCGTCCTCCAATGTTCTATTTCCAAAGATTCGGTAATTTTGTTGGTGAGTTATTGAGTCGAATGGTTCACGAATATTATCTCTTGGGTGGTGTTGGATGGGATGACTTTACGCTGCCCAGGTTCTCCTCCTTTAGCTCGTCGAGAATTGAGGTAAGGGTTTCGATATGCCATAAAAGTCTTGCGTCAATCATGTAGGCTCGCTCTAGGGAGGCTTAGGCCAGCAGAGGCGGTTTGCGTGGAGATGACAATACGGTGATTGTTGATGCGGAGGTGGCTGGTACCGGATTAATGTCCTCGGGCATGATTTCTGAAATTTGAAGACTTGTGTATGTGTATTGGGAAGTGGAGTGAGATGATATGAGATAGTATGAAGCTTTGCTCTTAAAGAGAGTGGAGGTTCAGAAAATATACTGGTTCGCAATACGCGCAGCACGTTGACTGGCTGATGAATGGATAGGAAGACTTGGCCTACGCATTCCCTAGCTTAATAGGAGGTTTTTGCATCTAGACTTCCATAAGAAGAGGGAAAGTTGTTTCTGCCGGTGTTAATATCTTGCACGAGAGTAATGCAGAAAAGTAAAGCATGTCTAAAACCAGATCATTTATAATAAAGATGCTTGTGTTATTATCATTGAGGCAAAATACTAGTACGATATAGTGAATTTCTTTCCCCTAGAACCCGCTAACTGGTAGCCACTTTGCTTAGTATGAACATTTCCTACTTTGTGTTTCTCGCAGCTAATCTTCCGACCAAAGTGTTTGACTTCTGGTTCGATGATAGGTAGATAAAGCAGAAGGAATTATACCTTGATCGAGTAATAGAATACCCATTATGTCCCATTCATGAAATACCAACTAGATTAAATGATGTTGACTGCAAAGCATTATATTTAGAGTCATGTCAAATATCATCAATAACTGAACCTTGGTACTTTTGAATATTAAATACCTACTGCAGTAACGCTCGGTCGGACATTAATAAATAGAGTAGAATAAAAGAGAATTTTATTACTCAAGCAAAAAAGAATGACATACAGAGTAAAGAACGATACTGAATAATAAAAACAAGTGAATATTGGATTAAGGCACGATACTTCAAAAGCACAACATACACGAAAAACAATTACGATATGATTGATGATTTGCTTTTATTGAGTTATAAAAGAGCATCTACTACTGATTCAAGTCACACATTATTATCATTCTTCCTCCGTCGAAATTCTATCAAAGATTCATATAATATCGACAAAGATGCCAGCATTCGTTCCATTCCTAACTCCCATAAATCGATGACTAGCAATGCTTGATAATACTCTGCGTCAAACACAGCGTTGAACTCCTTTTTCAAATCTTGGCCTTCATCAAGGAGATGACGTAATTGGAGCCGATTTTTACCTGTATCATCGCCAGGAGCGGGCCACACATATGAATGTATAAGTTTTTTTATTGGTAGAAGGATCTCTATATGGTATTTCTCTAGTAAACTAGACGCAAGTTCGCCTATTGGTTGAGATGGGGCTGGACCGTTGCGCCACAAACACAACACCTCTTGTAATTTGGATGTGAGAAAGGCGACCTGCTTTGAGAGTTCCTCATTGCTGATGCATGGTCGAGCGTCGTCAACGGACGCATCCGTTGTTGGAGCGGTGGTGGATTGAGTGGAGTTATTGTTATGGGCCATGATTTCAGATTTTTAAAAGGTTATGTATGTCTTGGTTCTCGATAAATCCGGAAGGAATATAAGACTTCGATCTGTACTCGATGACGAGGCGAGGAAAAGAAGAGTGTGAAACTGATTTATGAGACGACGTGAGGGTATTTCGTATTGCGAAGTTGGTGATGTGCGTTGAGGTGTTTTGTATTTTATCGACCCGAAGTTCCCGAAGATGGTTTGATTAACATGCTATAAAGTGTAGATGTCGGTGTTGATACGTTGACGTGTTGGTACGTGAAGTGGTAATGTGTGTGTTGACGTTGGTATTTTAATGTTTTGATATGTGGTGCACTGAATTGAGGTCTGTTGGAGTGTTGGTGTAGAAGTAAAAGAGAAAAGTAAAAAAGGAAGGATGGAGCAGAATACAAGTACTACCAAAGCCCCGCACACTTAATACAGTATATATGACAAATAAACAAACTATGCATTAATTCATATGTCTTGGTAAAGAATATTGTCTTCAAAGTCATATCATAAAGTGATATTAAATTTATGAGTCTTAGTGATTGCAAAACTGACCAGACCATGACAGTAAATAACACTTGCAATTATGAAAAAGAAATTACCTCAAATCAGACCATGCACTAATTTCTGATAATGCCATCGATAAAGCTTAGCATAATTCGAGTCAAATATCTCTGGGCCGCCAGAAAATATCATATTGGGAGCCACATCCCAAGTCATCATCACTAGATGACTCTTAGCGACCGGGAAACTTCAACACCATATCACTCGCACGTACGTTCATAGAAAAGAAACGTTTTCGTGAATCAGAATTCCTTTATAAGCCAAATAACATGAAGACATTAGACTCACTCGAGTAAAAATCATCGCTCAGTTTCCGACCCAAAGAAACTTCTTTCAGCAGCACATTCACATATTGTACAGCCCCATGATTAGCCAAATGGAAAGCTGTCACGATTAAATCATTCCATAAACTAATTTTGATATCACCAGAGCCTCTAAACTCCTCGCGTACATGCATACATTTATCGTTCGTCCCTCTATTCATCCATCTTGCTTGGCCATAAACAGACAAATAACTTAATACAACCAAGATCTTGTATTCTGCGTTGTTCCCCAGACCTAAAAATCCATTTAATTTCCTCAATTCTAAATTTTATAAACCAAATCTCCCTCCGTATACATGATGTCATTTCTCTCATCCATCGCCCTCAGCGCCGCTGTTGCCTCTTCCCTCTCAAAACTACCTCCCGCAGCTCCACCAATACGTCGGTTAACTGCCTCAATGATAGCATTGACCTCGGCACTATCGTCTTCGAAGAGGGATGTATTCATCATTTGTCCTAATGTTGTGCGGAATACTTGGAGACGGTTAGGTGTAATACCAGCTGAAACATTGAGCGCTGCGGTTCCTGCGGCGAGTTCCTCTTCTTCGTCTTCTACGTTTTGTGGTTGGGACTGTGATTGACTCGAAGTACCTCTCAAAGCCTGAGAAGCAGGGAGAGAAGATGCGAATGAAGTTTGGGATTGTGTTGGTGCGCGACTTGAAGATGCTCGTGCTGGACGTGAACGTGCTGGACTTGCTGTATACATATCATCTTCCTCCTCATCATTATTCTGCACCGCACTTGAACCAGTACCATTTCGTCTAGACGAAGAAGCAGCCGAAGCTCTTGTCCTCACCGTACCAGGTGTGCGGGTTGCTCTTGTTGATGGTGCACGAGAAGTAGGAGCTGGAGAGTCATCGTCATCTGAAGATGAACTCTCGTTTCCTGAAGATTCATCCTCAAGAGGTCTGGTCTTTCTCCTCTTGGATTTCTTCTCATCCTCAAGCACTTCCTTGAAAAGTGCGAATCTCAAGATACTCTCAGCGGCTAATGCATCCACCTCCTCAACTCTGGTGCTTAATCTCGATTTTGCATGTGCAGTACTCAAACGAATGATAGTTTCCAGTGTTCTAACTGTCATTGCATTCGTCTTTCGTTGATTTCCTTGCATATCGTCGTTTCTTAAAGCTACGTATATATCACTAATTCTATCACTAGCTTCTTGGGTCAAGAGCGGCTTTATTCTGGTTTTGGCGTATTGAATGTATTTCTTCATAAAGGGAATACTCAGGACTTCCACTCTACGATGGGAGCCGCGGCCAGTCGTAACGGTGACTCCAGCGTGTAACATTTCGTTATATTTTTCGTAGACAGGTGTTACTTGATTGGCATCTGCTTCTTGTTCAACACCTACACCGAGTGTTTGATGGGCTTGTTCACGGACAGGGGCTCCTTCTTCCGTTTGGGGGTCTCTGTATCTGTGCATTCTTAAAACGTGTTCTGAAATTTGTCGATCGCGGAAATCCTCGATATCATCCGTCACTACGAATAGTAAATCGAAACGAGAAAGGAGAGAATCAGGGAGTGCGATATTCTTGTGAGGGTCTTTGTGGGTATCGTATTGACCGAAGATCGGATTGGCGGCTGCGATGACGGAACAGCGGGCGTTGAGGGAAGTATGGATACCAGCTTTTGCAATAGTGACGGTTTGTTGTTCCATCACTTCATGAATAGCCACTCTGTCTATATCAGACATTTTATCGAACTCATCAATACATACCACTCCGCGATCAGCTAAGACCATAGCACCTGCTTCGAGACGACGTTCACCAGTTTCTTTATCGGAGGTAACAGCGGCCGTGAGACCAACACCGGAGGATCCTCGACCTGTTGTTGCAATCGCAAGAGGGGCGGTATTCAGGACGAAACGAAGTACTTGAGATTTGGCTGTAGAGGGGTCACCAACCATAAGGATATTGATATCTCCTCTCAGATGTGTTCCATTCTCAAGGTTCTTTTCCAACCCACCCAACAACATGAGGAGAATTGCTTTCTTGATATGTTCATGTCCATAAATACTAGGCGCCAAGGATTGAGAAAGAAGATTGAAAAGATTCTTCTTCTTTGCGATCTTGTTGATGTTTCGAATATCAGTATCGGTGATGGTGTGTGTCGCAATTCCTCCCCCTGATTTCGAAGATAAAAGAACCACATTATTAGCCAATACCACCGTTTTGAAAAGTGCACTGCTATGCCCCGCATTTCTATTCCCCAAACTCCTATAAATTCCCACAAGTTGTACTCGATCACCAGGCTTAACTTTATCAACCAAATCATCATCCAAAATAACATCCACACCTCTTGGAAGTTGACCTGCTGGTGCTCTTTCCGGCATTTCTTGAATGGATATTGTTTGATGATCTCTGTATGTGCAGTAACCATATTCCGTAATCAAAGGATTTCCTTGTTCATCTTCCTGTGGATAAACACTCGATGTACTTGCTCCACTTGCTGTCATTGTTTGATCCTTATATTCCCTGAAATGGAATATCTTTTTCTTCTCATTATAGTGTACACTCTTGACAACTTTCGGCCTCACCAATGAACATCTTGTGACAATTCCCTCCAAACTAACCATCCTGTTCAAATGCGTACTTGACAAAGTCCTGGGATTACATGCGAATTGACCAAAACTTCCAGAAAAAGCACAATAGTACATAGTGTCCTCAGAAGATTGTCTAGCATTAGTATTTGGGATTGTTTGTACTATTTGAAATAGTGCGCGATCGAATGCTTGAGCGAAATCAAATGGTTGCTCGAGAAGGCCATTTGCCAATTCTGGATTATGTGCGCGAACTTCATCGATACTGACAATTAAGCGGCGTTGCTTCTTTTGAAGCATGAGTATGATATCGGATCGATAAGTTCTCGCTGAGCCATCCGCTATGGTTTATTAGGTCAGTATTTGCAGGTAAATAGATGAGATCAAAATGGAAACATACTTGGATCGAGAAATTCTTGTGCAGACCGAACACGATCGGCTACAGCCTCATCTCTTAATTGTGCGCCGTCCATTGCAAAGAAGAGATCTGGTTATCCTCAGATGCGGTGCTAAGATCAAATCTGAAGCTATGGTGGTTTGTTGTTGAAGTTAAAGAGGGGCTGCGATACTGGGTTGCTGTGGTATTGACAATCGCGAAATTTCAATTCAAAGGGAGAAACCGCGTTGAGACGCGTATTGGGCGCGTAAAGTGGTTTTCAACACCACGTGATTTAGTCGTCTTTATTATGATTCAACGTCGCACCACACACACATTTTGTAGTTTGATACCCACAGAAACTATGCGAATTTCTGGAAATTATCTGATATCAACATACATTACAAAAAAGCACTCTAGCCATTAAATCAAAATTAACTCAACAGATCTATAAAATTCAACCATCTTCATCAAATCCGCATCAAAGCCATTGTAATACTTATATAACGTAAGTCATGGCGTAATGCGTCTAATGGCGTAATGCGTCTAATTGCGGGGAACCACTCTATTAAAATCTCAATTACTCAACAATCAACTATAATACAATCTCCAATATCACTTTCAGATTCATCTTCAACTTCTTCTCCAATATCCTCTTCAGTTTCAGTCTTATATTCAATTACTTTCCCTTTCCCTTTTCCTTTTTTCATTATCTGTACTTTAGTAGCTTTTTCGGCTTCCATTACTACATCACATAATTCTTGCATAGAAATATGAAAATGACCCTTCAAAACTAATCTCTTTCCTTTCTTATGTATCGTACGTTTCTTCATAATAGCTCGTAAATTATTCGCATCGTGTTGGTGAACAATACTTTGAGCTCGAAGTTGCTCACTCCCAATCGTCAATTTTCGAATGTATTGACGAACCGGGGTTGAAAGAGTTGTATCATTTTCAATTGTTGAATTTAAAAGGTTATTTGCTGTTTGTAAGATTGCTACATCCGGGGGTGAGCTATTGACGAAGACTTGATTAAAAATATCAAATTGAGTTGGTTCTTTGGATATTTCGACTTCGGGGGTAAACTCTCGACCCAGTATATGGAACACTCTCTATGGATTAAATAGATGTAACCTAGCTCCCCGCCATGCCGATTCGATATTTTGATGATGGCATACATCGGCTCGAGCTTTAATATATGCCTCCATCCATTTAATCTTTTGTATTTGTATAAGTTGAGCTTGATTCAAATCAGAAAGTGCTGCGGTGAGCCGTTTTTTCAATGGACCGAAAACCGCAACATCAAGTGGCTGAAGCAAATGCGAGGTATGAGGAGGAAGTATAAGAAGTACAATTCGATTTTGAAGGTAGTGAGCTATAAAGCTTCCACTAATATAAGAATCGTGGCTATCGCAGATGAGAAGCCGATATTTGCCATCTGCTTTTGCACGAGTTGTAGGTTCGAAAACACGTTTTAACCATTCTAATCCATGAAGATTGCTTGTCCAGCCCTTTGTATTTGCTGAAAAGAACCAGCTACCAAGAACTTCCTTCGGAATCCAATTTTGAAGAACGTTTTTACCTTTAAAAATCTCGAGTGGTGGAAGAATGAATCCATCCGCACAAATACACTCTACTATTGAAATCCACTCTTGACGGCCTGGATATGCTTGATGTTTTGTACAAAGTGTAGAATCGATAATAATTCGGGTTGATTCCATTGTCCCAATTGAATATCCAGATTCATCCATATTGTATTTGTCTTTCTTCTCAATTCCATAATCCTGAATCGCTTTTTGATACGCGTCAAATCAAGTACTACATGTTTCTTTGATTGCATCATCCATTCTTACAGATTCAATTCGACGGCCAATAACAACTGTAAGATGAGGATGTCGTTTGATAAATCGTGGAACCCATTCATGATCAAGAAGGTGTTGTGGTGGGAGTTCAAGAGAGTCAAATAAGGGGCAATCCAAATTATAAGTCCGTTTTGAACGTAACTCCTCAGCCAATTCTTTTAACAATTGATGGCTTGGTGAATAACCGCTAATTGTCAATTGCTTTATCTATTTAAGAAGTACATTCTCTTGTATAGCAGAAAGTTTCTGTTGCGATTGATATACTTCAGAACGCGATGAACCCCCTTTGACGCGTCGCGTCACAGTATCTTTAGAAAGCCCCAGTTCTTTTGCAGCTTCATATGAAGACTTATACTTTCCATTTTGAACTCCTAATACTGCTTCAGCAAGTCGAGATTCCATTTCCTGCACTTTTAAACTTTTTCGACGGACCATTGTTGAATTGTTGCTTTTTTGATGGGGTGGTCCCCCACAATTAGACGCATTACGCCATTAGACGCATTACGCCATGACTTACGTTATGTTAAAAGGAATGACCTTACACAGGGAATAGTGGGAAGCTGATAGGGCAGATCTGAGGCTATATTGGTCTTGTATATGAATCACACATTATCTAAGTTCTACGGAAGTGCGAAGCTCTCCTACAGAGAGCTTCTCAATCTAGTCCTAATAGGACTAGTGCCCTGTGCACGTGCTACGCAGGAACCATTCACTTTAACAATATATATATATATTTATATGTATATATATATAGATATATCTATATAGGATTATCCGTTATTATTTCTCTCTTTTTTGATCAATCCTCCACTCATTTCCATCGGTCTGAAAAAAAGAACATTATATCATCTAATCAATCGTCTATCTCAAGCCCCTTTTCATCAACTCTCTTTCCATTAATTGAGACATATCACTCTCCAAGCAACTGAACAATCCCCATACAATAACTACCTAGAAGGCGGCTCTGAAGGGTTAATGTTTACTCTCCCCATGAATTCTCTCAATCTCTCTTCAACAACCACTCCATTCCACGTTTCCTCTATGTCCTCCGCTTCTCCTTCCTCTACCCCATCCCCATAATCCCTGACCCCCAATACCGGTACACCTACTTGTTCAATCGCAAAACTAGCCGCTACAGCTCCCCAACAACTAGCCTCTATGATACCCTTGCCCCTCGCCAACGCAATTGCAAGACCACCTAAAAATGTATTCCCGCCTCCTGTTGGATCTACGACTTTGCTTTTCTCCTCCTCTTCACCCTCTGGAGCACCTTGATGGAAAGCCGGGATCCATTTTTCGATTCCCGGATCTACAGGAGTATAATTATTCCTTTCGAATTCTATCTCCCCACTATCACTCAATAGTCCCGCGAATAAATCTTCCATATTCATATCTAGGGTCAATCCACCTCTAGATCTATTTGCTGGGCGTTTTCTCCGACTTTTACTGACGCGTCTACTTCTTCCTCCGTTTTTCGCAACGTAACATCCCAGTGCTCCGCATCTAACAACGATGGAATAGGATTGGAGGGGCATGGATGCGAGTAATTGTTCGCATGAACGCTCTACGGCTTCTGTAGAGATTTCCCCTGAGGGAGTATGGCCTAGATCTTGATCGCCCATGAAACCGGCTAGCTCGGAGTGGTTTGGTGAGAGGACGTCGATGTACGGGAGGACGTTGGTACAGTTTAGGAGCTCATCTGGTGTACAGAGATCTGGCACTGGTTCCCAAATAAAAAGAGGTTTTGGATGATTTGGAGATTGAGATTTGCGGAGTGATAGGATGCGTGTTACGAGATCTATACATCGATTTGGGGAACATATGAGATGAAAAGATTTTGAGAATAAAAGTGGTGGGTGAGACGATAAGGATGTTTCGTCGAGTCGGAGCTTCGGGGTGGTGTATTTGAAAGATCGTACTTCGTTACTGTCATAACCATTCCAACCGCGGGTTGTGAGACGGGTAAGATCGGTACGCATTAGACATGATGTTTGCCATTGAGCTATTTGTTCGGATATTGATGAGGGGAAATCAGATCCTTTGTCGACGATCCAGGAAATAGTTTTGGAGAGGGGTGGTGGGGAGAAGAGTCGGGCTCCAAGGGCGGAATAGGAACCGGCGCCACCGAGGACATCGTATACTGACGGATTCGGTGGAAGGTAGTGTATTTCATCTATGCCGAATGTTAACATGTGAATTAAATTAAATATGGTCATGTCATGTTATCACCATGAGAAATGAAGTATGAATTATGGTCATTTCATTAGGTATCTCATCCTTGAACATGATGGTAAAATACCGGATAAAACCGGATAAGAAAGTCCAATCCCTATTCTCTCGTAAACAGTAGAATTTTTAAGAGACTTATCGTTTCAGGAGAGATTTCACGACTTCATGATATACTCCAAAACTCATATGTCGTGGTTGAACCCTTAAGATTGGTGAGACCAAGTCCAATTAATGTACCTCATGCATGAACAACATGAACATCCCAACCGTTGCACGAATATGGTCAACAGTTATGATCCCAAGTAGAAACTTTGTATGAAATCAACGTAGATATCACTAGATATAATGTAATATGGAAAATGAAGCTTCGAGGCGCGAATATGTTAGTCGATTTTAGCATATTTACCCTTCAACCTCAATTCTCTGAGGCTTCTCAGGTGCCTTTTATGCATCTAAACTTAACCCAACTAACTCGACTGTACAATACCTAAGAAACACCCAATACATACCAATTATAAACATTCCAAGAGTACAAAAATCAATCTCTTGATCAGAAGGTATTTGATCATCTTTATCCATATTTGAGAATGTATACTGGGTATTAAAGAAGGTATGAATTGTATAGGTTAAGTTGCTGACGAGGTTGAGAATTAATTAATGAGTCTAAGTGAAGGTCGAGTAAACATAAGGCTGTAGAGTTGTTTGGTTACAACCCCACCAAGTTCCCCAGCCAGGTGTCACAATTCAAGGGGTTAGCGGCAGCCTTGTAATACGGGATCGTGAATTATGTAATCTATTGTAATCTTGGTCAAGTATTGTTATTGTATTTACTTCCCGTAGATGGCCGGTTTACCGATGTACCGATTTACCGAAGAGAAGTTGTGTCCCGTCCGGAGCATACTGTTACTGTACATCTAAATACCTAGCTAAATAGATCATGTTCCGGCTAAGGCACCGAAATTGAAGGAGCTTGGCTTGGCTGATTGATAGGCAGTTGGTGGCTAGTTGGTAAGTTGGTCGTTGGTCGTTGGTAGGGTAGGTACCGGTATTCGATATTCGAGTAGGTAATCATAGCGGATAAATAAAATCAATTCACATTTACCTTGACACCTTGCATCAACATGACATAAACTTACACATCTTCTCCCTCTTCCTCTCAATCACCCCTCTATCAGGTACTCTCTATTTATTCTTTGCTCATTAATTGTATACGAGCTTCATCTTGTTGCTCAATACCTACCTATACATCTACATCTTCGCAAATTGATAGAGAATCTCTATTTATCCTCTTGTCAAATTCTCCATCCTCGCTTTATTTATCCTCCCTTCTCCTTCCCCTTGCATTGCATTAGGACAGAACAACAAACAAACCACCTATCCACACCTTCTCAACAGGAATCTGGAACAAAAAAGACTCTAGCTACGAAAAGGTCCCTGCAGTTCAATATGGCTACAAATAATATGCATAATTTGACGACGCTCATAAAACGGTAATAATACTTCCTTCACATCTTCTGTCCTCTTTATTCAAATCATTCAACAAACCTCGAGTCCATTCTCTCAACTCCAAATTCGAAAAAGCACACGCACACCACCATACCCCATTTCTCATCCACAAATCCAACCATGTCATCAATCGATCCTCGAATAACCAGCAACGAACTAACCTTCATTATCTCCAGACTCGAAGCCGCGACCTCACGCTTAGAAGATATAGCCTCATCAACTATTCCCCCTCCCAGTACTCCCAAAACAAATGGTACAACAAGCGTCGCATCTCCTACCGTACAAGCCGCTACTCCTACAGTTGTAGCCCCGACTATTCAAACCATTATCGAAGATCCAGTTCCTGAATCAATCAGCGAATTCGATGCTCTAATTCAGGGGCCTGTGAAGAAATATGTTAATCTTAGTGATGAGATTGGTGGGGTCGTTGCGGAACAGGTAGGTTTTTGGACCTTTTTTTTTTTCCTTCAGATAGCCTGCTATCATAGTAATGGTCTAGCAGAAGGATGAGGGATGTCATTACTGGAGAGTCAGCGAAGCACCAAATCATTTGGGTTAAACATTTGGTTGGTGAAGGGTATTCTCATAGGGGCAAGCCCCCAAAACCCCCACAGCTCGCTGCGCTCCAATATCTTCAATACAATCAGTCTGCCTCCCTGCAGCGGCCCTCGGAGGGTCAGCGAAGCGTCATTCAATTGAGTGGATTCAGAAATGTATGCTAACGTTTATTGAAAAGGCATCCGGTGTATTGAAAGCATTTGTCGGGCAGCGAAGATACATTTTAATTACCACGAAGTCGAAGAAACCCGCTATGCAAGATGAACCATTCAAAAAACTCATCAAACCTACTCAAGATTCATTCTCTGCTGTTGACAAAATTCGAAAGTCTAATCGTGATTCACCGTATTTCATTAATCTCAGTGTTGTTTCGGAAAGTATTGGTGTACTTGCTTGGGTTACAATGGATAATAAACCATATAAACATGTTGATGAATCATTGGCATCGGCTCAATACTTTGGAAATAGATTATTGAAGGAATTCAAGGAGAAGTAAGTTAATTCTATTGCAATGTTATCGGCTGCCACTAATTTCTCTCCACAGAGATCCCAAACAAGTTGAATGGCTTCAAGCATTTTATCAAATCTTCAAAGAACTTAGCGAATATGCTAAGAATAACTACCCAAATGGTATTCCGTGGAATCCGAAGGGAGCAGATTTAGAAGATGCTATCAACGAAGTAGATTCGAACGCTCCAGCCCCTCCTGCTCCTCACCCAACAGCGACTAGTGGAGGAGCCGCGGCACCACCACCACCTCCTCCTCCTCCTCCTCCACCAGTTTTCGACGACATTCCAACAAAATCTGCACCAAAGCCAGGAGATGCAAGTGCTGGACTAGGAGCTGTTTTCTCTGAGTTGAATAAGGGAGCAGATGTTACGAAGGGATTGCGCAAAGTCAATGCTGAACAAATGACACATAAGAATCCATCTTTAAGAGCAGGTGCTACTGTTCCTACTAGAAGTGATAGTCAATCTAGTATTAGTTCGAACCGTGGAAAGAGTCCTGCTCCTGGTAAGAAACCTAAGCCAGAGAGTATGAGAACTAAGAAACCTCCTGTTAAGAAGTTGGAGGGTAACAAGTGGTTTATTGTAAGTTGTTCTGCCATCGAGAAGCGGTCTGGAGTTACTAATATTTGTTAAAAGGAGAACTACGAAAATGAATCATCGCCAATTGAAATCGAAGCTTCAATTTCGCATTCGATCCTCATTTCCCGTTGCTCAAAAACTACAATCATGATTAAAGGAAAAGCAAACGCCATTTCCATTGATAATTCCCCTCGTCTTTCCCTAATTATCGAGAGTCTCGTTTCATCAATTGATGTTATTAAAGCACAAAGTTTTGCGCTTCAGGTATTGGGGACATTGCCAACAATTATGATGGATCAGGTTGATGGTGCACAAATTTACCTTGGGAAGGAAAGTTTGAACACGGAAGTTTTCACGAGTAAATGTAGTAGTGTTAATGTACTATTACCGGATCTGGAAAGTGAAGAGGGTGAGGGTGATTACAAGGAGGTGCCATTGCCGGAGCAATTGAGGACTTGGATTGAAGATGGGAAGGTTAGAAGTGAGATTGTGGAACATGCCGGTTAGACAGATGGATGGCGTATTTCTCTTTGTGCGCATTAGGAGAGCGGCTGTTTGGTGGGCGGATTGAGGAAATTGAGAGATGGGAGAATTTGTCGTGACGGAGAATGTAATGTGGGATGACCGTTGATGGCTGAATGAGAGATAGAGAAGGGATATGTTATATTTTCGTATATTAGTTGCAATGTCGGATGGTGTTGAAGTTGTATTATACATTGCCATTATATACGTACACTTGACACTCTGCCTGATTGGCTGACTAGTAGATTTTAAAACGAGAATTTAAATGCATTGTGCTGAGCTTGGTTTATATATATTGTGTGAGATGTATTTCTGTCTTTATATGTTTATGCGATCTATTCTAAGGAGATAGAAACTAGAAAATTAAAAGAGCAGATATAATAAAAAGATCAAATAAAGTTATGGCATCAAAGTTATGAAAAGAGGGTGGCGCATTTTATTCTGAACTAGGTACATTGACTTGAAGTGGTTTTGTAAAGGTTTCTGCTATATGTTATTGTCTTTTTGTTTAGACCAATATGTTACGCCGAGTAACAGGAAACTCTCACGTACAATCAATATCACGTGATTAGCTCAGTGAGGATCAATAAGCTCAGTACTGAGCTGTATTGATCCTATTGAGTAGCCATTGATACGAAGGTTTATATAATCTAGATGGATTTCCTTTGTATAGCGCTTCGTGTTCAAGATCAATCATTTAGTATACTCTATTATTAGTTACGAATAACATACCATTATTGTCATTACTTAAGTCCCTGCTTGACGCTTAGTTATAAATTACCTCGAAAGCCTAGAGCACTTCCACGTGATCTAGACGGCAAACCTCGTAACATGTATTCAAGTCACTTAACTCAACCATTTGATATTGGATGTTTTAGCGTATTCAAACATTCATATAATTGTCAAATTGAAGGATTTATCAAGATTTATATCAATTATATCTCTAAAATTGAATTCTTTATAATTTTCAAAGTTGTATATCAACAATCGATTACTATTCAGAATATAAAAGCTGGTTTTCGAGAAGCAGATCTAATATTATTTGATCCTCAATCTATACTCTCAAAATTAGATATTAAGATTCATACTTCTACCTTTTTATCTACCTTTTTTATCTACCTTTTTAAAACTTACCAATTCTTGGATCTCTCAAACCCCTCACAATCCAATTGAGGCTCTTTTACAATCAACTCTAGTAAAAGCTCGAATGGCTCGTCATCAATCAAGCTCTCCTACACCTATATTTGAGACTATATAAGCTTTAGTTAAAAATATAGAGAGACTAGTATATGAAGTTACACTTTTGAATATTGAGAATCATATACTTCGAAAAGCAAATGAGATATTAGGTAAACATCAACACACTAAAAAAATTCAATTACATAATAAAGGAGTACTTACTGGACAAGAAACTGAAGATATATTATCACAACAAAAGATTGATAATCAGATTCAATACGACGAACGTCAAAATAGGGGAAATTCTAATGGGGAATCATCTACTAGTTGATGCTGTAGTAAGTGTGGAAAGACTGGTCATAATTCAAGAACCTATCAAAATAATACAATAGATGCTAGTTTATTAGATTCTTAATAGTTTCAATCGATTCATCCAATTGTTATTGAATAATATGGTTTTAAAGTGATAAATCGAGGAAAAAGTGTCCGACCCACTGATAAACCACGTTATAGATCTCTAAAACTATAAGTATCGATTTCTTAGCTACTAATTATAAATCCTAAGGGATTATTGAACCCCGGTTTTCTAGCACTTTCATAACATGACATGACAATTGTGTCACCAAATAATCATTAATAGAAGTGGATAATAGTTTTAATTTTTTCTCATTCATTAATATAACATCTCATCTCGATCATTAAGTATTCTTTCTATCCATCGTTTGTACTCGATAATGGTATGGTATCATAAAATCAGACCCCTAAAATCAAACCCCTGTGGCCTTTTCCCAAAAACGCCATTGAATGCTAATTGTCATGCCGCTCATAATTCATAATGTGATCCTCTTGTGTCCTCCCAAGCGAATGAATGTTCATGCGCTGTAGATACTCCAATCAATACCAGCTACATCTGGATAACACTTCACCGTAGCTGCGAATTCATCGTCTACTCCACTACCCTCACTACATTGAGGCAATAAGGCAACATCCGAACATCCAGCTGGTGTTTCCTGACTGTATCCTCTGTAGAAAAGTTGAATTGCATTTCCATATTGTAAAGTAGTATTACAAGCGTAGAAGGTTTCGCCTTGATATCCATGGAACTCGATGATAGGAGCAGGGAATGTAGTAAGTCCAACAAAAGGTTGACCAGCTCCTGCGTTAATTTCTACAACTGAGCGACCGGAAGATGAAGTAGCGGGATCGGAAGGAGTAATGACGACGGCTTCAGGGAATGAGCTACCTGCACTGCCTGAATCGGAGAGGGTAGAAGAGGTACCGAAACGAACTTCGGTGGCGGTACCGTTTATGTAGAAGATGCGAGGATTTGCTTCAGTGGTGTTTTCGGCGAGCACGGCATATGCTGTTCCAGCACCTGTGTGATAGGATTCGAGAACGAAGTTGTTGATGGCTAAATCGCCAGAGGTAACATTCGCTACAAGTTTGAAGTTTTTGGATGTTGATTGAGGTGGATATGTGTAAGTTTGTCTTTTGATGGTAGGAGCGGCGGATGTGAAGGAGGTGAGAAGAGCCATGGTGCTCAGGATGTTGGTGGTTGAGAATAACATTTTTGATGTCTTTGATTTGCTATGTGTGTAGTGGTCCTAATGGAGGAAGGGTTGCAATGAGGATATGTAAACCTTATATAGTTGATGAATATCGTATAGCTGGTTCTAGTATCTTCGAATGGAACGGTCAAAGATTCTTTGATGTAAACACTGCCTTGATGATGAATGATAAGTTGATAGTAGCTTGTATGATATTTTGAGGAGAATCCCCTCGATACTTATATCACATCAAAATACCATCACCCCACAAATGATCTTGTACATCACCAGGGAAATATCTTGGAAATGGCGGGTATTGGATAATGGTACTACCACTAAACGTGTTGGTGGCTGGTTCATCGCCCCATGATGCTTTCTAAGTTTTCGACGATCACGATCATCATCCAGTTAAAATCATCAGCAGCATGACATTTAAACCTAAATGCAAGATTTTTATATTGAATAGATTAATTGTCAGGTACGAAGGAGAAACCCTGATAGAGGCTGTGAATGGGATTCATGAAGAACCCCACAAACTCGGAAAAAGATTGGATAAGCGGATAAGTGTGAGGGGAAAATGTGGGAAAAGATCGGAAAAATGATGTTATGCCAAGCTCGGTAAATTTCTTTCAATCAATGATATTCCTTCATCGGAAGATCATCAGCCATTTTCAGCCACTACGGCGCAGGGTGCTGTGCTACGCTGCTGATATTTCTTACATGTGTATGTTCCTGGATACGATCATCACCAGGGGCACGGATTTGAATGAATGAGGGGAAAGGATTGGATGAGTAATAGAAAGATATCTTGTACATCAGCTCGGCAGATACGGATGAGTCCGAGAGCCATGAATCTATCCATTCCTTTCGACGATGACGATATTATTCATATGTAAGCTTGAGATCACAATCCTACTTACTGCTATACACTTTAGTTGTATCACAAAACTATCACCGAAACTAACATCTCTTCACATGAACATCCCAGGTTACCTACTAGCTCAAAGCTAACAACTGTCCAAGTTACATGCGGCACTCATATAGTTTATAATTCACACACCAACACAGCCAAGTCTTGTATATAATTATAAAAATATAATACCCCGGGACAACGAGGTTGGAGTACCACAAGAACGGATCGCACCGCCATCACAAGAATATACTTGCATCTTACTAAGCCCTGCTACTTAGCTACATATTCGTATCCGTAACCTTATACTAACAAGTTCTAGAAATTCCCAACTGTTAGATATCGTATCTGCGCAACCTCAATATTAGCACACACAAAAACTACGGACATCCCCGTTACCCAATATGGTATTCAGTAACAATAGAACGATATTTATGCAGGTAATCAATGGCACAACTCCGATTCCGAGGTATCACAGATTTTAGGTCACATTACACATCCTACATCCTACATCGAAACCAAAAACCTCCTGGTGCTCCGCCTCTTGTATTTTTGACAGGTTGGTTGGGTTTGCATTAAGGTTACACTGCTTTAGTATATTTCTATGAGTATATTCTATATTTCTAGCCTGCGACTTGGTATTGGGTACTCTCGGTTCTGATAGATAGATGGATGGATAGATGGATGGGTTGAGAAACCAGCCACTACCTACACTATATATCCAAGATACCTCTGTAAACATTTTCATTTGATTTCATTTCCTGTCTTTAAATCTCGTTTAAGGTCAAAAGTTTCATAAAGGGGTAGGTATAGGATTTCTTTGTTCATTCTGTTTAGATGAGTAATCTTATTAGGTATCTATCTATAACTAGGATTCTCTCTCAAAAATCCCATGTCACTCACTATTTACCCCGCGTATACAAACAGACAGTAGCCAATCACAAAATCATATTATGCAACTTGTAGCTCAATTGGGGTATCTATCCACTAACTCCCATTCGTTCCAAACTCCTCGATCTTTGATATACCAATCCTATATACCATATAACCAACCCATAAACCAAATCCCAATGTAGATACAACACATCATTTCAAATTATTCATCTCCTTCATATCCCTCCAATGTCATATCCAAATCCATCCCCTCATCCCCATCATCCCACTCAAGTCCAATTTTTCCAAACAATGCCCTCGCCCTTCTCCTCTCGTCTTCCCTTTTCTCCTTACCCCTTCTAAGCTCCGCATCCCTTTGTCGTCCAAGAAACCTTCTATCCGCCTCCGTATCTCCACCTCTCACTTTACCCAACCATTCCTCGTCTCCATCCCATTTTTCCGGTACACATAGATCTCCAATGTATAATGCCACCATTCCTCTTAGTCTTATTAGAACCGGGGAATCCGAATATGGAGGAGTCGTCATCAATTCATCCATTCTTTGGGCTACTACTTCTGTGGCTACTAATGCTGTTCGTCGAACTTCATCTCTTTCCTCCCAGCGTTTTTCTTTTCGTCGTTTATGAAGGCGGTCTTGGCGTCGTTGATGAGCTGCGAATGCTTTATCCCCAGGATCTCCTTCTTCGTCATCGTCCATGTCTTCCTCTTCATCACTGATATCACTATCACTAATGTCCCCTTCTTCGTCTTTTTCAGCTTGCTTGGCAATCTTTCTTAACCCAGCTTTGTGCTCAAATTGTATGCCATAAATTTCGCATCCAAGCATCGCAGGCCAGAAATCTAGAGCATTGACTGAACCATGGAATTGTCGTTTGTAAGGATATTGAAGAATGAGACGTTCATAATAATCTTTCACTTTGAGGAGTCCTTCAGCCGTACCATATCTCTTTTCTTCACCTTCTTCGCCACCCCTTTTTCCTTTATCGTCTTCTTTTGGTTCCCCGTCACTATCAATATTCGCTTCATCACCACTCGCTTCCTCAGCATCTGCCTCCCACCATTCCTTTCTCTGTTGATTCACCGCACCTCTTATCAATAACTCAGCCCCAATTCCCCAATAACCCGTCTTTCTAATCTCTACTCCCTGCCCAGCAATCTGCATCCTCAAAAGTAAAGCCCAAGCTCGTCCCGCCCTCTCCATATCACCCTCTTCTAGATTCCTCATCATAATCGCAACCAGCACGCTTAAATGTTGAATCCTTAAATTCGACCTCCCAGTCTTCCTTTCATCTCTTTTCCGTCTTTCCCTTTCCCTTCGACTTTTAGCAGATTCTTCCTCCGAGTCATCCTCTTCATTAGCGCGGGTATTGGTAGCAGAATCGTGATCGTCAGAATTGATAGAGTATGAAAGCGGTAAACCTCTATGAGGCCAATGTTTAACTCCAATTTTGGATGGTAATTCTTTATCGAGTCCCAAACCAGCTAATCGATATTGCATCACCTCTGCAGGAGTTAAACTCAATGGGTTTGTAATTTCCGCAGACGGCTCTGATGGTCCTCTATTCTCTACTCCTTTCCCCTTTCCTGTATTACTATTTGTATTCGCAGTATAATCATTATTGTAATCGTCAATCGGTTCGCTATTGCTCTCACGTCTTTTGCGCTTTTGCGGTCGTAGGGGGAGGGGTGCAAAGTGGACTTGGGGAGTTGTGGTAGATGTTTGTGATGTATCGGCAATGGGAAGAGTAAATAGTGGCATATTTACATATAAGAATAGAGATGTTGAATTTCTGTGCTGAATGATTGTGAATTGTGAGTAGAAGTCTGGGAATAGAAAAAGTTAATGAGGCTATTCTCCAGCCTTGGGACAAGGGATAAAAGTGTGGGGATGTGGCACATCGTTAAGTGTGGCTTTAAGGTCACGAAAAGGTCCCTAGCTATTTCAACTACCGAACTTCTTCGCTCAGAACAAAGCGTCTTTTCATACCTAATAAGGGATCTAATTTAATTTATTATACCTTTTCCAGCTCCAATTCTTTATAACTTGCATCATATTATCAACCCATAGTTCTCTTAAACATGTCCAGACTTCCAACGTGACCTGGAGTCTCGATGAAGTTGTAGTTGGTATTGATCAATTTACAATTGTGACCTTGAATATTATTATCTCCAAGATCCTCGCCAAGGCTACTTCTAAGCATTGTGATTATTTAAAATCTATTAGTGCTTTTCCTATCTTCTATCATCGTGATCCAGAAGATATAAAAGTTGTGGGTTCGCTCAAGACTGAACCGTTCAAGCTCAAAATTGGGTTTGATGCCATCACTGAAGGTATACGTCGGAATATCTGCTAAAATCCTATCTGCTACAATTCAGGCAAAGGGATTTGTATCGCGTTAACTCATCCTAAGTCTTCTTTGGTCAGGAGAATATGCAATGCACAAAGGTATTGCAATTTTGACCACGGCAAGGTGTTCGTCTGGGTACTGATGCGCAAGATGTTGGTGCGTGGTTCCCTAGTGAGTGCTGAAAGATGTGTTGAAGAGAAATATCTGGTGCATCCTCCCCCGGTTGAGGTTGTAGAGGAGGTGTTATGGTTGCTACAGAGGGTGCTTGACAGGTTAAAAAGGGGGCTAACGAAGTTGGTCGTGGACGCGGTATTCAGGTCATGGAATTCTGGGTCTCGAAAAGAAATAAATGACACCTTTGAGCTCTTATTAGTTCGTCTATATCAAAAGTTTTGCGTTTACATTGTGTTGTTTTCTTTGTGCTTTTCACCTTGCTTCATTGCTTACTTTGCTTCGCGTCGCGTACTCGAGTAATCTTATATTCATCACCCCTGATTGATTTTGCAGATGCAGGAACAGATTTTACCATGTAATCACTTCTCCAATTGATTACCAGAGTCTTAAGTAAAGACCCATTCTACCCGCAAATAACGTGATTCCTCACCGAGTACCCCTACCAAAAGAGCGGTGTGTCCACAACGGCAGATTTTCTCCACTTATCTAATTACACATGCCAGCGAACCATCATCCTTCCCATCCATTCGCCTCATCTGTACGTACAGAATATATGGGATTCATTTCTTTACCTCAAAGAAATACTGATACATGATTGGTTATTTGGTCCCAAGTAAACAATATTCAGATATGCAACAAAAAGTATTTGCTGATTTAGAGTGAATATGAATAGATTTGCTGATGGGCTTGGGGATTGATTGGTTGCCGGTTTGAAATAAATAGTTGTTAGATGTGCAACAAAGTTTTGGAGAGAGGGGGAGTTTGCATATAGGGTCTGTTTCATATGCAAATATGGATGTGAATTTTGGGGAAGTGGGTTTTTGGTCTGGAGATGAGTTCATGGTTTGGATTTCTGGTTACTTTACTGAGATATTATCTTTGTGTCGAGAGGCTTCGAAGCTAGAGATTGGAAGAGGAATGAACGATTTGGATTATTTTAAGGATGGAGAAGGGGACAGTAAGTGCTATTAAGACCTCTTATGGAGGTAGATAGGGTATATCTTTATATTTTACGGCAGGGAGATGGCGGGATGGGTGACAGTTAGACCGAAGTTCGTTTAGTCATCTACTTCCTATCCTCCAAGTGAGTTGGGGGAATCAGGTCAGCGCAAGATGGACACAGAAGGAAAGATGTCGTAGAATAATATCTCAACTGTGATTTATGTCTACCGCCACCATCAGGAAATTTAATCCCAAAAGTCATTGTTATTTCTTACTCTTACTGGAAGTTCGATTTCCTGCACGGGAATGTGGATATGCTGCAGAGGTCGATGAGTAACTCTAGAAGAGCAAGGCATAATGTAAATGATTCGAGATCACCAGGGGCATCAAAATTGTTTACATGGAGTCTTGCCTTAATCATCCACACACTGATATCGAAACGGAGTTTTCAAAGTATATAAACATATAGCTCCGAGTAATTTCAGCCATGCAAGAAATAAAGAGATTTATAGAAGAATGTTTTATAAGTATATCTTAGAGATGGATGAACAAGGCTTCATCATTCGTTTCTGTTAAAAGTGTGATGTTTACAAGGAAAATACCATACCAATATTCATCGGAATCAGAATCCAATATGCTGAGAATAGCGACAGCGGAAAGATATGAATGATGATAAACACGTTAAGTGATAATGATAGAAGCCATCCACTGTTTGAAAGCTCCGGCTGTATTGTCGCCCCTGGTGTCTATGCGAGAAAGCCTGTGGATCTACTGTGTTATTTTATTGAGATTACTCAGGTGGTAATATTAGAACGACATGATAAACAATAGGTCTAGTATGTAGAATTATATTATTGATATTATTCAAGAGTTGACTTAAAAAATATATATAGAGGTACACGCTAATTGGTGCGTACCACATATTAACGTATAATATGCAACATATACACTTAGAAATAATTTCATAAACTCTTCTTAGCGCATAAGACACGGCCGCTAGGTGACCTTAAAAAAACGACCGTTACCTAACTGCGAAAAATGATCGATTGCCTTTAAAACCCCGTGGTGATATTGAACTTGTCATTCACTGGGAAAGTAACAGCTGTTAATTAAGTGCCGAGACGCGGAGACCAAAGGAGGAGATACTTAGTTGGATCAATATGGAGTGTTCATACTACAAATCATACTCGGACTTTCTCTTGAATGTAAGTGAATTGAGAAAGTGGACAAAAAGCGGAGTCCCTGGTGAGTAGATTACTCGGTTTCTGTCAGAAGTTTTCACAATCTTGTTATATAAAAGGTGTCTAGAGATACTTTGAAAGTCTTTCAGGTTGAGCAAATTTGCGGATTATCTTGAAAAGACGACACGCTGTCTTTAATCTGATGAGAATCTTATATTTTCTGATTGATATTCCCTTGCTGTTCTGAGATAATTGATGGTCATTTATGGCATATTCTGACACATATATCGGACGATAGTGCTACTATAAATGACAATGATTATTCCACAATCAATAACATATGCACTTTTTCATCAGATTTCCTAACCACTTCTCATGTCAGGCAATATATTAATCCAGTAAGCTATTTCGGGTCTAATCTTGTAACACGGCGCATACTTGCAGTCGTCCCGGAGATGAAGTGATGTTGTTTGCCAATTATGTAATGCACAGAGGAAACTTTGGGTATCAGACTGTGCCCAGGTAAGCGAAAGAGCAAGAAAGAGAGAAACGTACGTTGATTTTTATGGTTTGTAAAATAGTGCAGTTCGGGGATTATAAGACGATTTACAAGATGAGATTCGAACGATTGTTGTATATTTAGAGTAGCTCTTAGATCCATCCAAACTCCGCAAACAAATGTATAATTACAAGTTCAACTCAAAAAGTAATTAGTTGCGAGTCAATGCAATTCTAGTACCCATGTGGCTATATCCGTTCCTGCATGCAGTATCTTTGCATATATCTACTCGATATATGAAGACTTCAGTGTCAAATACAAATATGCACTATCGTAGAGAGCGTTTACTGTCGAAATTAAGAATCATAGATGAATAATTAGCTTTGGAAGTGAAGAAATCTGTGTTAATAACCAATTGGTTTAAGGCGTCAGGATATTACAACGTGACTGCTCTCTAGCTAGATGAGTCTTCAGAGCCTTGGGTACTCCTTTATTAGGTCTCTCGGAAGTTTTCTGCTATTTTGCTTAGTATCTTGAGTTATAACGTTGAGCTCTCATATACATCTCGGATGTGTAGAGTTTTGTGCTTGTAGTTAGTACCTCCGCCGTAGCTATACCACGTGGAAAACTCCAATTTCTGCATCATCGAGCTGTTAATACCTACTTAATTATTTTTGCGTAGTGAATGACTTGGTACGGAGATCTCAAACAGAGGTGTCATTAAAACGCTGCCTTCTACATTTCCGAGCTATTGACATGGTGAAAATGAAGATCTTTTGGTGAAAAGACAAAAACGAAGGAAGCGCGGTCATGCTTGAGACATCCGTAATAAGATGACAATACTTCGGAAGTTACGATGTTGAAGAAAAAACACATTTAATTTGCAAAATCGTCTATTATAATAATGATAAAATTATAACTTGACAACAAAGAGGCGAGATTGTAAGTCGAAATATCGTTGGAAAATGAAAATCATGTAGAAAGACAACAGAGGTAACGACACATTGTCGTCATTAATACCTTTCCATGACTGGCATTTAATCCAGGCAGACGCTTGGGTACCAAAAATACTTCTAGATAGTTCTTGATATTCTAATAAACCATATCCTAAATCCGGAAAGATCTTAGTATGAAAATGCTATTTCTGCAGGACCTCGGGTTGCTCTGACTTTCGGTTTCATGGCAATTGAATTTTAATTATGTCGTTGACGAGGGAGCGACCCTTAAACAGATAATTGAGGGAAATCACGAGATATAACTCAATTAATTTCGAGCAGAAAAGCTCGCTTGGCAAAGAAAAATGAATCATAGATCGCAAACATGACTTTCTCTAGAGCCCTAGTAAGTCTTAAGTGAATATGGTCCGACAAATCTTGCCAGAGTGTATTTAAAGAAATGCTGGAGAAGAACTCTATAACAAGTGCGATTTGGCGACCACAACTTTCAATGCGCGTGTGATGGCATGAAGAGACGGTGAAGAATTAGCATAGTGGCCAGCCGCGGAGCACGGGAAGCATTTACAAGTGGAAGCCGCAGCCTCTCAACACTCCTGTAGCAGATTAATAGATAAATAATCCTGCCAGAAAACTCTAGTAATCCCGATGAACCATTTGATTAGGAACGATGTTGAGCTGACCAGATATCATAGCGGTACGTGCTTAAGCAAAAAGTATCTTCACGACGAGGTGCCAATTTTCAAATGTCGTCGCTAGTGAGGACAATAACGACGAAAAAATGACAGACAAATAGCTAGTCCTTGTTCAAATGCCTTTTACAAGAGGTCAATACTTTCGGAGGACTGTGAGCATTGGTTCATGGAGTCACTCCTACATAACCCTGTCTCTAAAACATCCCATCAATATTGGTGTAACCAGTAAATAATTTTCAGTTAAATTGCAGAGGATGAACTTTCCTCAAATGGAGCTACCATTGAATTTTGTAAATACGAAGTTGAGAAGGGTGCATGGGGAAGATATCCAACGTCACGATCCAGTGGAGTGCCCCAAGGCTAGTTTGTGATTAAGATTCAATAAGGCTAATGTTTGCTATGATCAGGTATATTAAAGTTCAATATGACCTGCCCTTTGTCCAGAACTCCACCAAATGGCAAACCAGCCACATGAAAAAAGACTTCGTATTCGTGGATAATGCAAATGCGTCAAATCGTGGAATTTCTACCATGTGTATTTTTGACAGCAAACTCCATGCAGCCCAATACAATAAATCGAAAGAATATCCGTAAAAGAAGAAAAGATTAAACATAAAGTATCAACTCCAGCGCGTTGGTTTAGAGTAAGATTTATTCTTGTGTTTTATATTTCGAGAGCTTGCTTCATGAGCTTGGCCAAATCACGTGTCTAGGTTGATAAGTCAGCAAATTACCCCGCATATCGTAGAACTTCATCTGAGGAATAAACTTACAATTGGATCTCTCATCATCGTGAAATGATTCCCAGACGTGCTCATACATTTGACATTTCCTTCACCAACTAACTTTTCCCAACCATTATGTCCCAGATCTTTGCGATCATGAGTCAACCAGTCCATAGAGTTTGGCATCCTCACTTTGGGATCCCACTCTGGCTTTAGATCATCTTCGTTGTGAACAATACCATCGCGAGCCCATATCGTGATAGTTTGTGGCATATTTGTCGTATTTATGCAGGGCAAAGAGCCCAAATGATCGGAATAGGCTGTAAGTTCTCGGACAGTGGAGAAGAAATGGGGAAGTAGCCATTTTGGTAATGACTCAAGTCCACCGTCGCCGAGGAGACCAATCTTGGCACAGTATTGGTGAAAGGAAGCTGGTAAAGCCTCAAGGCCTACGGGGAACGGAGAATCAATCAAGACAAGTTTTTCGACTTTTTCGCCTTTGGCGATCAGTTGACGTGTGCATTCATACGCAAGTACACCTCCGGCAGACCATCCTCCAAGAAGATAAGGTCCATGTGGTTGACGACGCTGGATTTCAGCGAGATAAATTTGAGTGACGGCAGGAACTCCAATATTGAATTCTGTCGGGTCTTTCATGAAGGGGCAATTTAGACCAAATACGGCTAGATCCGTGTCGATTTGAGGAATTGGGGTATATGAAGAAGCAACCCCGGAACCATCTGGAAGGAGGAAAAGTGTGCGAGTTGCCGTCTTCGGGTTGCCTTGTAGAAGGATAGACTTTGATGGTGGGTATTGAGATAGATTAATGGGTTTGGCCACCTGCGTTGGAGGAGCTGGTTGGATCGATGCATGAGACACTTGGGAGATCTTTGTCGTCTTCTTTATCTCAACAACCTTTGGCTTGGTTGCCCTTAGGCCCAAGGTTGTCTCGATTTTTTCCACGCTAGTATTCTCGACCAGCAACTCGGAGTTTAGAGTCAAACCAGTCTTTTCTCTGAGTGCGCCCAAAATGCTTAAGCTCATGAGAGAGTCCATTCCCATGGTAGCAAGATCTGTGTTATCAGTTATCTCCTCAAGCTCGACTCCCATCTCTTCTGCGATGGTAGTTCTTATTATCTGAACAATCATTGCGTTCTCACTGTCACCATCGACGGACGAATTTTCTGAATAAGCATCATTAAGATCAATGTAGTCATCCCCAATATCACTTGAATGGCTAGAAACCATTTCAGGGGTCGACATTCCGGAACTCTCAGCACTGTTCTCGTCTTCAAATCTCGTCATGTAAGCTTTCAAATGATCTACAGTAGGCTCATGCTCAAAGACACTGCTCTGGAAGTCAATTTCCAGATCCTCACGAAATCGGCCAGAAATGCTCAAACCGAGAAGAGAGTCGACGCCCATATCGGAGAATCGCATAGGACCTGCCAACTCGGCAACATCGCATCCAATCTCCTCAGCCATGATGGTCAGTGCTTTTGCAAAGATGCCTTTTGAGGTCTGTTTGCTGACAACTTTGGAGCTAGCTTTGGAGACCACCTTGGATGGTTTCGGCGTAGCAGTCTTTGCTGAAACCGGGGCTCCTTTGACTCCAGCACGAGCAGGGAGGGATTTTGGTGCGAGTAAAGTCTGGAGAAGGGTGCGGGGTACACGTTGGAATTTGATACCACCAACAACTGCAATGATTTCGTCGCCCTCGAAGACATATACATCACCAGCAACCATTTCACCTCCACCTGGTACCTTCTGCATCTTGATATAAGATCTGTACTCCTTGTCGGCAGACATCGTTTTAGCAAATCTCATCGACTCCCATCCATGGGAAATGTAGACATGCTTGGTGGAGTCAACAGCGTCGTTTGCATTCATTATGAATCCCGAGATGTGGCAAACACTGTCAATCCAGTATGGACTCATGAAAAATTTGCCGTCCTTGTCGGATGTCTGAAATTTTACTTTGGCGGTTGCCTCACATTGTTCGCTCCACAAATACACTTCATCCATTCCGCGATATCTTTGATCGTAGTCGACAAGTGCGCCAAATAGCTTGTAAGCCATTCCTCTTTGAATCTTGTGAACTTCTTTGTGGCTCATCAGATTCTCAATTCGGCCTTGAACAAGGAACTTGCGACGATCCCAGTCCTTCAGCCACGATGATGAATCTTCAAGAGTTACTTCACACTTGGTTTGTTCAACCGGCTTGCCATCTGCTCCATATGTCCGGAAGTTGACTGTTCCACGTCGGTGAGCAAGATCGAGCTTGGTCTCAATTTGAAGAAGATGAGTTTTGGCAGTGTTGTCGAGGACCAATGGCTTATGTGTTTCCATACTTCCAACGTTGAAGCCCACAGATTTGGCATCCGGCTGAGCAAGCTTGAGTGCATAATCGCAGATGGTTAGCGCCATGTCACCATAAATGGATGACGGGAAAAGTGGCTGGCCATGAACCAAGTGCCCGGAAATGGCCGCTCGTAGGTTGGGTTCCATAAGGTCAGACTCCGCAACAACATTGATGTTATCACCATCAACATCCTCGAAGAGAATCTTCTGTACGGTGGTTGTGGAGAAGCTTTGTTTTGCCTCAGAAGGAGCGACCAATTGTTTATCGCCTTTAGTGAGACACCAATTTTCGCGGTAGTCGATCCAATAGATCTTCTCATCGAAAGAGTATGCAGGCAGATCAAGAACCTCATGAGCATTCTTAAAGTTGATATGGTACTCGTTCCAATTGAAGTCGAGCCCGGCATTAAAGAGAGTTGCTAAAGAAGCAGCGGTTGTTGTCCAAGCATCGGCATTTCTGCTCAATGATGGCACAGTGATGGTACTTGTGCCGACGATGGCCTTTATCATGTTGGAACATACTGGATGTGGGCCAATCTCAACAAATAACGTCTTCTCATCAACGATTCCATCTTTCAGAGCAGAAGTAACACCTCCTAGGAAGTCGACACTTTCCCTGCAATGTCTAGCAAGGTACTCTGGACCAAATACGCCCGAATCTTCCACTACCGTTCCAAGAAGCGTAGACATAACTGGGATCCTTGGTTGATGGAAAACAGCTGATTTCGCAGACTGAATGAAATCCTCCAGAATAGGTTCGACCTGAGCTGAGTGGAATGCGTAAGGTACATTGAGCATGGTGTTCTTGAAGCCCTGTGCGGTCAAAACCTCCTTGAGGCGGTTCATGTTATCAACGGTACCTGAGAAAACTGTTTCTTCCGGGCCATTAATGCAAGCCTTCTCAACTTCAATATCTGACAAGAAAGGTTCCACTGCAGCAAAGCCTGCCCGAACTGCCAACATGCCATGACTTCCCACAGTACACTTTGAAACCAACAGTTGCGCACGATTGCCGACCAAAGAAATGGCATCATGTGTGGAGATAACACCGGCGACCTGGAGAGCAGCATACTCTCCTAGGGAGTGTCCAACAACGGCGGTTGGCTCGATGCCCCATGATTGCCAAAGTGCAGCAACGGATATTTCTACACAAAGAATAGCCAGTTGGGTCATCACTGGAGAGGCAATGCTTAGGTCAGTTATGCTACCATCAATGAGTCCAATGAAAGATGGGAAACCTTGAGTCTGCGCCATCTGATCAAAATCCTCGATGTCGTGGCGGAATTGTTTCACATCATGAAAGAGGGCCTTGCCCATCCCAAGATAATGTGATCCTTGTCCAGTGAAAGCAAAAGCGACTCTTGGCTTCACATTCGATACCGGAGTATGGGGGCCTTCTGTGTAAGAGCTTAACGCATTTTGAACGCTTTGTAGGTCCGTGGCGTTAACTGCGATACGATATTGGTAGTGATAACGACGAGCAGATGTGGTATATGCCAGACTTGGCAAACATGAGCTGGGTTGATCTCTTGACCAGCTCAAGATCTTTTGCACGTTGTTCCTGAAAGATGCAAGAGACTTCGCTGTAACAATTACAACATGCGATGTTCTCGGATCGGTTCCTTCTAGCTGTCTGATTGGTGCGTCTTCGAGCAACGTGGCAGTATTACCACCTGCTGCACTGAAGTTATTCATGAAGACATATCGCTTGCCATTTGTAGGTCTAGGAAATGGTGTTGGTTTGAAGGCCATGTTAAGATTTCTATCTTTCAAGTCTTTTGGGAATGTCTGGTTGATTTTCGTCTTGATACCACAATGTGGTGGAATCATGCTTTTTTTAAGCATCATCATGATCTTTACCAGAGCAGTTGCACCCGAAACAGCTTCTCCGTGGCCAACGTTGGCTTTGACAGAACCAACGAACAATGGCTGGTCGAGACGACGGCGTAACTTATTTGATGGTGCGAAAATAGAAGAAACACTGTCCATTTCGACTCCATCACCTGCTTGAGTTCCAGTTCCGTGCATTTCGACGTACTTCACGTCTCGGATATCGACTCGAGCTTCGTCCATTACTTTCTGGAATAAATACTTTTGCGCGCCTGCATGAGGGTGGGTTATGGAGATGGCTTCCGCACTGTGATTCGTTGCGATACCAGCGATGACTCCAAGAATTGGATCCTGATCAGCAACTGCATCGTCAAGCCGCTTTAGGATTAGGGTAACAACACCATCACCACGGCAATAACCATCAGCGCCGTCATCATATGTCTTACAGGACCCGGTTTTGGACAAGAATTGACCTTTAGACAAACCGGAGAAAATATCTGGATTCGTCATAACATTCATACCGCCTGCGAATACGGTATCGCAGTCTCCAGCTCTTAAAGAAGTCACTGCTAAATTGATGGCAGCCATACTACTCGAACAAGCAGTGTCTACGCTGTATGATGGACCACTGAAACCGAAGTGATAGTTAATTCTTCCGGGTCCAAAAGCTCGAACACCACCCGTGATGAAATATGTATCAATGTCTTGAGCGGCGTTAATTTCACGCCAATCATCCGAAGTTTGACCATAGAAGGTACCAATCCTATGTGCTTGTGTGGAAGGAGTTCGATCTCTCACGAATCCTGACATTTCCATAGCTTCATAGGCAGTGGAAATGGCTAAACGCTGCATTGGATCCGTTTGCATAGCTTCTCGGGGAGACATGTTGAAGAATCGAGGGTCGAACTTTCCTGGCTCATTGATGAAGCAACCGAATGGGGAGTGAGATTTGTTCTTTCCTTTCCCTGAGGGATCAAAGTGCGCTTTAGCATCGAATCTATCGGCAGGGATTTCTCGATGAACATCAAGCCCCTGTTCGAGGAGTGCCCAAAATGCTTCATGATCAGCTGAATTGGGAAATCGACCTGACATCCCCACTATTGCTATTTTAGACTCAGACATTCTACCCGTGAATCCTCTTGGAATGGTGTTTTCCATGGTGTATGAAATATGATCCTCCATTGACAACTTCAAGCCACCACCATTCTTGAGTGCCGAGATGAGACTATTCCCGAGAGCAGTTGGTCCCATGGCAAGAACTCTAACCTCGTTTTGTTTAGATTCACGAACATGTGCAACGGCGATTTTCACCAATCGTTCCCATTTGACCTGCTCTGCCAGAATTTCCATAATGGAATTTCTGAATAGGTCGACGGTTGAAATACTCTCCTTATGTGCGGCGGTGCCAACTAGGGGGAGGACTGACGAATAGTTGCTTAAGCTTTTGACGATTTCTGGTGACAATATCCTCTCGACGTCTTGTGGGGTATAAAGATGAGCAGCATGGTAAGGTCCTCTAATGCCAATTTCGCGTCGTTGAAGATTTTGAAATGCCTCGCAAGTTTCGAACAACTGAGCCCGAATGGTAGGTGTTCCACTGATTGTGATTGAGGTAGTACCAATGGCACTAATGTACAATCTTGTTGATTGAATAAGTCCTCTTGACTCATTGAATTCTTCCAAAGCACGCTCTGCTGCTTCTGGACTTAATCCCATTACGATTGTTGACCAAGTCTTCTGTCTGTCGCTCGCACTCTCCAACTGATTTCCAACTGCTGCAACTCTTGATCCCAGCCTGAAGGCAATGCGCACTGCTTGTACAGCTAGGGGAATGAGAGATGTAAGTGATTTACAAGATGCGACTGCGGAAGCAGCAAGCAAGCCGGTACAGACTGCAAGTACTTCTGTATTGGAGGGCTCTAAATATGCTAGAGGATGTTCCTCAAAAAATCTGCAAGCGTTTGTTAGCTTAGTAGCTCTATTAGATTACGGCACAATGTTCTATACATACCCAATGAAATGCGTTAATTGTGCCAAGCAAGTGATGGCACTTTCGACGGCCAAATCTGGATGATCTGCTTCAAAATATCGCTCAGTGAACTCGGAAACGCTCGAGAATACAGCAAAATGGCGTCGAGAAGTCGACGGAAGGGATGAAAGTTCATCTTGAAGAGCGGCATGGGCTTGTTCTAGGAAGGTGCTTAGGATGGGACAGTTCTTTCGACGAAGTGCTTTCTTGAGAAAAGATTGGCAGTCCACTGTTTGATCTCCGAATAATATAACATCCATCTTGAAAAATTATGCGACCCGCGCTATTACTATGGAGTGCTCGAGGTCGTGGAAAGTTTGAAAAAAATTAATACGTTGGTATGAAAGATTGGGAGAACGAAAGTGTGATGTGCTAATTCATGAGTACTACACGATATACATATATACAGGTTGAGATCTTCACATGCCCACAGATACTTCCCGGAAGCGACATTTTTTAACCTACATCTCGTTTCAACTGCATCTACCCAATCCACATAGTATAGGTTCGTGATTGAGCACCAATGTGGCTTACTCTTTTGGAATAATCGCAATATTCGGAACGCTCAAGCTCAGGAATGCGCTAACTCCTCCTGGTAGGGGTGGACGAGATTCAAAAATTTGGGTCTCTATCCTAATTTTACGTTTTTCGCAGGCATGACACTATTGAATGAGACCTGAAACACGGGAATGTGTAGTCGCGGTTTTTACTACTTGCTGGAAGGAGTGGAAGGAAGTGGATATTTGCTCTGATAGCTCTTGCTTGATGCTAATAGCGATGGCCCATTCGTCAGAGGCGTGAACGTTGTGAAGAAGTGGAGATTTGCTTGGGCCAGATACGATTGATGTCGAATCAGTATGGCCCAAGACTCTTTCCACTTCTGGTAAAATAAGCAGATTTTTATTACAGTAATCCTCGTAGACAGCTTCATTTATTCTGCATGTCAATAAAAGCCCAATGCCATGCGGCTGATAATTATTTTCTATCTATTGAAGTTTCCTTGTTATCCAAAGGGTCGACCATAATAGAGCAGATTATTTGGTGGAGTTATCCAGGCACGGATCCCCACCCTAAGACTAGGGGGCGTTCTAGACGCTTTGACACCACGAGATTGAAATACTAAATTGGTACTAGTCATAGTTCCGTTTCTTCTTCAGTATCCGCCTTTTCTTTGGTCCCCTGCTATCCCGCATTGCCATGCAGATCATACACAGGGTTTGTGGAAAGTAGTGCAGAAGATTATATTTTTGGGCTGACCTCGAACGCTTGTTGATTAGAACGAAATATCCTGACTTGATTCTGTGATGGAATGATGAGTTTTGCGCCATTAAGGTGAGGGAACCCTCTTGATTCTTGAAGTTTTTTAATTTGATTCCATCGAGAAAACACTCCCAATTGAAGGGTTGCAAAAACTGCAGTAGCCTTTCCACACGGGTGTCTTCAACATTCACGCAAGTCATCGCCGCCATGTCCGAAAAGATCACTGACATTGGTCCCGAGCTACACAACATCTTTGTCGGACGATGTTTTGACAATGCATGTCGAGCTCTCAAGAGCGATTTGTAAGTCTGCTCGGATAAGACCCCCCTTTCATTTAAAATATGCAAACAGATTAATACGACATACAACCGTTAGTGCTGTATCAAGACTACAAAAAGCTTCAGGAAAAATGGGTACTGGATTTTCCCTCCCTCATTTGTAGGCATCGGGCGTGGAAAGTGGATACATAGATATATGGGAATCTCATAATTCCGACATTAAATATGGACACAGGTTCGCTTCACATCATGGCCTGTCTACTCGAGGAACCACCTCATCACGATAAGATTGCACCATGCAAATCAATCTCACTAAGAGTGTCGGTAATTCTCTATCAACTCTTGAAGCTAAATTTTTGGTAAAAAATTATCATGTTTCCACTGTTATCCAAAAACGAAACAATTCAATCTTGAACGACCAATGATAATGGTTCATCTCACGGTACTCAATCTGATTCGTGAATCAATTGATTTTACTGGGCCATATTAGATTCTCTGAATCGCGGTCTCTCTTGCTTCATCTCAGGTTATCCGGCTGTTTCACTTTGGCACTAGAAGCTGCGATGAATCGAGTCCAGTAAATCTACTAGGGCAATACGAAGGCGAGGCATCACTGCGCTCTTCAGGTGCCTAAGGGCACATTCGATAAAAATTCATTTGCTTCTAGGCGAATCTTCATGATTACTTATTTGCATTTAGTGACTATCCATGAGAAAATCCCTTATGAAGTCAGCCTTAAGGCTGATCCGATAGATTCCAATTGGGCTGTAACTTTAAGTACGCTGATCTCCAAACATGCCATTTATGCCAAGAACCGTATATGCAATGAAGAAAGCCGAAAGCAGAAGACGCTAAATCTTAATGAACGGACTAGGGGTCATATCGCCACCATTTCGGTTAGCGGATAACCCAGAGAAGAGTCCTACCGCAGCGACATGATCTTCGTTGCAAACCCGCATGTAGAAAGAATTCCACGCGGGTTTGTACTGAAAACATTTCCGAAATCGTCGGAATTAAGGTTGATGATGTAAGCCACAGCAAGATTAAGACAAACGATAACGGGTGCATGGTTGATCCATTCCATACCGTTCGAGAGCGTTTGTCGTTCTTGATTTGACAGGCTGACGAATAGGCTGATTTAGTATTTTCTAATTATGTCTTGTGCTACTCACACTTCTATCGCTCTCCCGCGCAGGCTTTGTGCGTATTCATATTCAATTACAATTTCAGCGTGCATTTTGAGTGTTAGTTCAGACCCTACGCTAATTTTTTTGTCTGTTGGAAACAGTTTGGAAACCACGGCCCTTTTTACGATTACGAACAAAAAAATCAAGAGTGAGGTTCCGATGAGGTACGAGCAACAATACGAGGATGTCCGAGATGTCCGGTTCTACCGTGATTGCCGTACTGTTAATATGCCAGTCCACCAGCCTAGGAATGGAATTGGCATCCGAGTCAAGTCAGCCAGGCGTTCTTCATGACTCTGAGTAAGAAGCAAGAGCTATGATCGAGCTGAGTCCATGGCTTTTACACACAGACTGATCAGAAATTTACGTTGTCTGTGAACTTCTTTTCCAAATTTCTCGCCAAAAACACCGGGCAGGATTACACCCAAGATAGGTGTGCATACGATATACAGCTTCACAGATCTGCAAAAGAATGATATTTGCAAGAATAACTTCTTAAATATCAGCTTCAAGCGTTATTTGTACTGACCTTCTTCACTTATTTAACAAAGCACAAATTATCAATACGAGCTACATAGTTAAGGATTGGCCATTTTTGGCATACCAACTATTTACGATGAGTTTATTTTTAACATTGCAGATAAGCGGAAAATGAGAGAATCGATCATGTAAGGAGCAGTGCCGTAATGAACTATCACTTGGGATAGATGAAGGCGATCAGTACTGGAGTTCAGTAGTGTATAAGTTTATATGCGTGTATTATCTCACAAACTGGTAAATTGATTTACAACATAAGTATAAACGTACATATTCCAGTTACAAGATTCTCCAAGATGACTAGGGGACGGATTTCTTACGTATAGGCAAATTTACGGGCAACCTTCAACAAGCTGAACATAATACACGTCATTTGACATAATTATGGCAAGGGAGCTTTGGGAACACTATCCTCATCAGATAGTCGGCTGGCAGACGGATGCTTACAGAGTCTTACGGGAAGGAAAAGTTTATTTTGACAGTACCATGCCGAGCTCCCATAAGTCGTGCAAAGTATTTTCATTATGAGACAGCCGCTGTCACAATAGCTGAAGCTCAAACTTTATATTCAGAAACGTCACATTTCAGGTACGCACCTGAAAGACATCCGCACGGGACTATTCCATACTTATCTTTGAAGATCCGGATGGCATGTGCACAGCTTCTATCAAATACATCTGCAAAACACCGATTTTATCTTGATTGAAAGGTTTCTAGCATCAAACTAGCATCCTATGAGTACTTTCCAGCAGGATCCTTGCTCGTAATTCAGTTTCCATTTTCTTCACTCCTTTTACAGGTAGTTCGGGCAAAAAACAGTCCATTTTGGGAATAATCTAAGGACGGCTCAATACAGCTGTTCCCATTCGGGCGTTCACAAGTGTGTACATTGTATCAGAGATCCTGGGACCTTAAAATGGCTCTGGTTGAAATTTTTCCTGTGGCTGGCCTAACCTCAGTTTTGGGAATGTATCTTTCGTGAATACGAGAGTGATTGCAGATCATTCGAGAGTATTTTTTCGGATGTTGCAATGTTATGTTCTTGGGGAATGTAGATTAGGAGACGGTAAAATTGGCTTGGAGAGAATGCATTATGTCGATTCATACATTAAAACTTGCTTTTGTTTGCAGGTATGTTAGTTGACACTCGATGGATAGCTATAGTCTATACTAGACAGCTGTCTAAGTGAGAATGTGCCAAAAAATCAGCTAAAGGAATAGCTCACATATATTTGAAGTAAGTTCTGCCAGTGCAAAGATTTATTTACCTCCAAGCACTCGTTACTACCACTTCAATTATTTACTAAAAAGAAGAAAAATCTGGATACTAGCAGCAGCGTTGCTAATTTTATAATTCCAGCCTGACGTTCATGGAAAGAAGAAGCATTCACCTATTGTCATTTAATAGTGGAATAACCTCTACACAAGCTTAGCCAAGTGGGTATTGGATGAACATTCGCTGTTTTGTAAAATGTAAAGCAAGAAGTGATAGATCGCTGAGGCGTGCGATAAAATGGTATTGGGTTTCTTGAGACCAGAAAGAGCATCAGATTGAATTGATTCTCTAGCTAAGCAGTTAAGCTGCGAGTATATATTCAAAAAATGAAGGAATCGGGTTAGGTATTCGGCCTTCGTAATTAAAGTGCTTTGAAATCAAAATATTGAAAGCAAACAAACAGTATACCAAAAAGGAAAGAATGAATTAAAAGTTGAGTTTTGTTTGCTCCTTATATGCATCATGCAATATATATGCATATGCTGCCAAGATCCCAGGAGGTCAACAAATGGTCACATAGGTTTCTTTTAAAGCGATCGGCAGACATCGAGATAGGAAGTCCTATTGTGGCTTATTATGTATCAGCTGGGTCATGTCTGTTTATAGATAGCTTTTCAAATCTGTTAATTCTGTCAATGTGCAAGAGGCTGCGGGTTTCTTAACCATATCTTTCCCAAAACGTGAGTTGCAAGTGAGACCAGGGGCTTTCTTTAGCGAGCGGTTATTAATGTATCCCATTTCGAACATCAGCGGTAATGCTTAGGCTTCTAAATCTACGACTATTCTGATGAGCACAGTATATATTGTTTGAATAATGTTTCTCCTTTTTCGTAGTTCTTTCTCCAAGTAGTTCATGCATATACTCCGGACTTGGATTGTGACTGAGGACTGAGAAGAAGAATAACATTGATGTGGGAGATGACTGGTTAGATGGTGCAATATCCACAAGTCTATTATTATATATCCAATCCATGTTATCACTACTTGATACTTGACAGCTGCTGAAATTGCATTTCCTTCGTCAACGTCTTACTTTAATTCTCTTTTAACGGAAGGGCTTATGAATTCTGACCTTTTCGTTCGCTCATGTATTGTCGCAATTACCTTGAAGGGGAAGCGGAAGTTGGATTTGCTCAGATATAGCATAATTACATTCTCTACTTTGTCGATCAAATGATTATGTTTTTTTTTTTTTCTTTATTTGTTTGATTTTGTTTTTTGATCAAGTAATATCGTCTTCTACTATATAGATACACAAGATAAGATCGTGTAACGCTGGACACTCTATACGATCAATCCTAGAATAGCGACTAATTATCCTGATGGTATCCTTGCATGTAAAGACACACACAGTGCCGAGTACAAACGTACAAAAAACAATGAATAGCACATGGAATGAACAGACCCTCTCTATTTTCCCTAACTCGTCTCATCACGCTCCATATCATCTATCTTATCAAAGAAATTCATGATTTCCCTCGCCACAGCCTCTGGCGCTTCAATCGCATGCCAATGACCCACCGCGGGAAGGATGTGAATACACTTCTTCTCTGCGGACACACCAATATTAGCATGAATTTTTACACAGCCTTCGTAAGAAGCTGTCTTATCTTCACTGCCGGCCAGAATCATAACCGGTACTTGAATTTTGGCATAATCAGACTTCTTAGCCAACGCTATAACCTGACATAAAGATAAGTAACCAGCACTGCTCGTGCCGAGTATCAAACTCCGAATGAAAGCACGTTGGGTATGTGATGCTTTGGAACCCGTAGCGGCTTTCGGTATAGAATCCGCGAGAGGTTCAAGTCCATCTATATGTCACAACTCAGTCAGATAATTCTAGAAACAGCATTCAATACTATCAAATATACATACCCGTCTCAACAGTCGCGATCCTCTTCACGAAAATCTCACTGAGAGCCGGGCTGGGATCAATCGGGCCCAATAAAATCAATCCCTTCACAGCCCGCGGGTACCGGATAGCAAATTCACACGCAATCATCCCACCCATCGAATGACCCACCACCCAAACCTTTTCATTAACCGTCGTACCGGAGAGGGAATCGAGAAGCGCAGCTGCATCATCTGCTATCGATCCTACTGTTTGTGGTGAACCACCTAGACTCGAAAGTCCTGATCCAGACGTGTCAATTGCAATGCATGTTGACAGAGTAGAAAGTTCCGGAGTGATGGTGTGGTAGAAACTAGAAGAGGAACCAAGACCGTGGATAAAAAGTGTGGTGACGGGAGTGGTCAGGTTTCCGGTCTGCGGTGTTATGGTGTAGAAGATGGATTTTCCGTTTATGGTTATGAATGGCATGGTGGAAGTGGAGGATTGGATTTAGATGATAATGATGATTTTTTCATTCTTGAAGATTTTCGTTTGCTTTTGGAGCTGGAGCTGCTTCTATGACATACCTTCCTTTCATCGCGGATAGGGCACATGCCGATAGTTTCGGGGAGCTATCCTCTACACGTGACTTCGCACGTTGTTAGGGCTCAAATGTTACCATGCACGTGATTTCAACAGCAATATATCCATCTGTCAACAATAATTGTGCAGAGGTAACATAGGTTATAAGGTTATCCACACATTTCTCATTTCACAATTCTATACCATAGAACCTCGCATACCAAACTAAATAAACCCTTACTCTAAGCTTACATTACATCTCCCAAAACCAAACAATTTTGTGCAGGGCAAATCCGGACGTCCGGTGGGGAATTCCTAGCGGGCGTACACAAAACAATGCAACGTCTTTATTTCACATCCTCATGCTCCGAATGATCTACAAGGGGAATATACGACGGAAATTCTCACAACTTTTAACTTTATATACCTAGTAATTCTATTTGCGCCTCAGGCGAGAGGTAGACACGAAATAAAATGTATTCTGTATGCGGGGGGTTGAGAGTCTGTCGGGTAATTCGTCGGATCGGGTGATGTCCGAGTCAATTATCCGCTTGTATCGGATTTGCGTCCGAGAGCTGGGGTTCTTTCCGAGGCAATGGATACTATTGCTGAAACGTGAGCATTGATGTTGAGTCTTTTATCGCGAGTCATGAGATTGTAAGCTTTTCAATATTAGATAAAATATTATAGAAAGATATTGTAGTGTACAAGTAGGTATCTACTTTATGTTTAAACCCCCATCAATACGTTGTGGCTCGATGCAGACGGGAGTGTCTTCAATCATTCCATCCATCTTTGCCCTCTTGAGATCTTCAATCATGACCTGATCTCTATAGATAAATGTTGAGGGATACCTGGTTTGTAACTATGAGATATTAACAACTAGGAGGAAGAAAAAAGAGTCAATAATACCTCGAGTAACATTTCAGCCTGACGTATCCCTAAATCCTCTGCAATGTATTTAAGTCGTCCCCGTAACCATAAGCGCTGGGAATTAGTCGCGAAATCTGAGGCTGCTGCTGCAAATACTGGCCATATTGCCCAAACACCCGTTACTCCCTTTCCACTTATTCTACTGTCTTTCCCACAGGGGAAATACGAGTTTTCGACCACAGGAATATCAGTATGTAGGGTGTCACAGCCAAAGAAGAGCGGGATGCTTGACACGATATCGTCGATCAGTAAACTTGCTTGTCGCGAAGCATTCACATATTCTGGTGTGAGCCTGTAATCGAGGCCGGAATTAAGCCATGCAGTACATCGCAGGATAGTCGTGATAATAAATAATCTCGAGGCGCGTGCAATGTTATGCGTGGTAGCCATCCAAAGCTCACCATATATATCAATTTTTCCTGGATAGCAAGTGGCAGACTCAAGGTCTTTCTCCGATATGTCGTCAATCCAAGCTGCCATTCTAGGCACCCATTCGTCGGGAAGATTTGTGTACCAATCCACGTATTCTCTCTCGATTAGTTTTGCGTTCTCCAAGTGGTCTACTACCTTTTTGACATTTTCTGCTGTGCGAGCTTCGAGAGTGCAAATTCGATGGGAGTCTGCGCGTAGGTTTGCAACTTTGAGGTTGAGCACTGATACTTGATGTTGTACTTTATCATCCGACGCAAACGATGTCCACCAATCGACACCTTCCTTGACATCCTTCGACCGGCTGATACATTCGATAGTCTATTTACCATCAGTCTTGCTTCATTAAATGATATGGAAATGAAATGCTACCATGTGCCTTCTAACAGCGTCAAATAAGGAGCGCCCAATCTTCGTATCAAGCTGGCTTCGCCCCCGAGTCTTCACCAGCGCTACAGCACCATTGATGTGAGATAACCATCCGGTCAAAGACATGGGGTGTGAGCTAAGTTGCTAGTCTGGGTTAGCATTATGTATAAAATGACGATGAGATTATTTTACCTCATACAAGGATAGTAAAAAAACTGCCGCCAAAGTAGCATCTTGCTTCGCTTTTTCTGGATCTTGAAGATCTTTATTAACTTGATTCAAAGCTATCACATACTGACTGTCAGCTAGAGGAATTAGCTTCCTGGCATCTGGCTGGTTCGCGAGAGCAACATGTGCGACGGCATTTAACGCAAGCATAAGTGTGGTTTCTGTTGATCTAGCAGCATACACCAGTGGCATGAGGAAATCCAAATTTCCTTTTCCTGTGACTCCACGTGGAAGCAGAACAAAATTAGATAAGAAAAAGCATGTGGCTCGTTCATTAATAGGGGGGGATAATTGGCAAGAGACAGCCATTTTTGGTGACGCGGGCAGCTCAATATCGACTCTTGAGACGGGCTTAAGCAAGCGGCTTGGCTCTGTATGAGTACCATCAGTAGATAAGAGGCCAGATGGGCTTGTGGTAGTGATCCAGTCGATAGCTTTGTAAATGTTTACATTATTTGGTGTATCGATTTTCCTCCTCGTTGGCCGACTGCATTCACTTTGGCATGGTGAGTGGCTGTATGAGTCTATTGTGAAAGTTGGGGTGCTTGCATCGAAAGCTATAGAAGCTTTCCGCTTGGTGGCCTTGGTTTGGTCTCGAAGCTTAAGCTCATATTCATCGCGATATCCTGTGGCTTTTGTCAACGATCGGGCCTAGATCATTTCAAATGGACCCCAATCCTTCCAAGGCATTCTCGTTTTGACTTTAGACATTTCATACATGACGGTTTACCCTCATCGCACTGAGATAACGATCAGGACCAACGCCTAAACTCTGATGTTACCATGAGATGAAAAAACACACCTTGATCCGCCTAGCTCTACATATGTAGCATCCCTTTGATGGTTTTCCCGTGTTGACCATGATGGGCTTGTCTGAATCTTTAGGTTTTGTACAATAAACTGGTTGGTATGTCAACAGTCACAAGTTTACTTTTTCTAGTGCACAAGTGACGCGAGGTAATGGCGCTGGTCAGTGATATAAGATTGATACTGCGAGTCGACATGCTGTGACTGCCAAATTTGTCGACACTTCATAAGCTCAGTTACATCAGTTGTTTCCCATTTCTGTTGCAAGGTAGATTAGTCTGTGGCACTTGCTGGAATAACGGTATCTTCCGAATTGACAAGAAAGCATCCAACACTGTAGGGTTTTTGGCATCACATCCACACATGGGACAGATATGGGACAACATCAAGAGACTTCGCCAATAATAATTCCAATAACGACGAAAAATTTGAACCTTACCCGTATGGAAACTTTATTCGAATCGTGAGATGTTTCAAACTCTGACATGTTTGCTGTTATCCCTCATACCACCTTACGCCCGGGCCGTCGTAGATCAATGAGCTTCTAGAACAATGGAGGAATAGAGATAATACGATTACAACGAAGTGCTAATCAATCTTGGAAACGGTGAGGATTCCTGACTACTCCACAATACCAGAAGCATCTAGCTGGTGGACAATAGCGGCGATGTTGACTGCTTGTGACCTGAGATATGATTCTCTGAAGCTTGATGGTTGTGGGTCCCCAAAGCACACGTGATTCATATGGGCAGAGGAGGATTAGAGTTTCAATCTACTCCGTATGCACTTGAGACGAATTGCAATCAGATGATACCTGTACATCCATAAAGTTTCAGAATTGCTTCCCAATCACGTGAGGAGTCTGAGCACTTCTACAAGTCCTTGCTTGTTGTTTGAGATATGTTAAATGAAGAGTGAGGAGACAACACCGGGATCCCCTGAAGAACCACATTGGTTGGGGGCAGTTATAAATTGTCCCGAGAACGGCCTGAGGGCTATCCAGAACCTCTGGTGCAATCATCAATGTGATGGAATGACTGCGTGTCCGCGAAGGGTGTTGGAAGCAAAGAGCACAGACATTGTGTCCTAGTTTCAGGTTCTCTCGATGTTTTCATGTCAAAATCCATAGGTACAGGTACTATGCGTTGGGAAAGGATGAAGTAGAAGAGCGTTGTCTGATAACAACCTTATCCTCTGAAAATTAATTTTGACATGTCATTAGCGCCAGTTGCCGTATCACGTGATCATTCCTGGCCAAACCCCACTTGCGATTCTTGTTCTCCCATGATTTTGATGGTACTTATTGAAATTATTCCGTTCACATCAAGTATATTTTGGTATTGAGGATTTCATTTTGTTCGTACTTGCGATTTCACTTTCACCGAATTAACACTGTCATCGCTGTATAAATGAATACCTCTCCAACTTCAAAAGTTTCCGAAATAACTCCTTCATATGGAGGTCAGGTGTGCCCGACCAACCCTCGTCGAGCCCCAAAATCCCGCCAGGGGTGCCAAAGATGCAAGGCTAAGCGCGTAAGCCTCACTTGTTACTTGTTAGAAACACAAAGGTTTCAGTACTGACTTGACAGTAGTTGAAATGTGACGAAAAGAAGCCGCATTGTCTTCAATGTCTCAAAAGAAAGGCAGAGTGTTGCTATGCTTCACAACGACTAGTTTGGTCGACGAAACATGAAAAAGTTCTTGTTGGAAATACTCACAGATCACTACCACCTTCAGCAAAAGCTCTGGAGAGAGAGCTGGTGGTAGACTCAATGCCCTCCGTGAATGCATTCCCTGGAAAAGGACCTATGCAATTTAATTCAAAGCAAGATCATTCCGAAATGGTTGAACACGATGGATCCCGTGGAAGAAGTGGAAGTGAGTCTGTCCAGGGTTATGATGTCACGATCAAGAAGAAGCTTGCTCCAGTATTCACTGATAGTCTTTCTGCCATTCGCCATCAATTGAACAACTCGAGTGTACCCGAGTTTCTTGTCCATCTTCCAACCATGCTCGTGGAATACTATTTCGGCTACATTTGTGTAATATTTTCATCCTTTGACGGCATGCTCAATCCGTTCCGGTCTACTGTTGCCCAACTCTGGGATGGATCGGCACCGATATACTACGCCATTCAAAGCATGGCCGCTGCGTACCTTTCGCATGACTTCCCACGTATGTCTACCGTAGGTATTCAAATGCAACGAGAAACATTTAGATGCTTGTATCAATCGAGCCGAGCTGGATTGGAATCCCACGACAACATCGATAAGACTCTCCTCACTGTGCTCCTGGTTGGTCAAACCACAGCATGGCATAATCCCCGGGATTTAGGTCTGACACACCTGAAAACTGCCAAGAGATTATACAAGCAACGGCTTGTTCTGCAAGGTATGAATGTTGATAGCAAAACGCGCCGACAAAATGAGTTCTTTGAACAATGTATTTTATACTGGGATTTACTAGCTGGATTTGTCGAAGATGAAGAGAATATTGTCATGCTAGGGGAAGATATATTGGTAGGAGGCCGCATGACCCCAAATACAAATACGGAAAATCGCCAAATATTTCCTCATCCATGGACTGGAGTTGCACCGAAGGTACAAGCTTTATTCGCCCAGGTAGGAAGATTGATTCGATCTTATCGCAAGTCAACGTTCAATCCAATTCCAAATGTTGCTCTTGATGATCCTTTCTTCGACTTCAGTTCGTTACCACTTCAACACAGTGTCTTCCCTAGCATCGAGTGGACTAACAAAGCCCGGCTTTTGGAAGAGCAACTACTGGCTGTGAATTTACCATCCGAAGCCGAGCTTGTGGATGCTGGTGACGAGAACACGCCCGTCAGGCAATACATTCTGCTAGCAGAAGCATATAGGTGTTCTGCTCTCCTAGAGATATATCGCGTCTTCCCTACTATCTACCTGACTCGGCAGCCCGACTCTCAAGAAATATTATCCTTGCCAGTTTCACATTCCGCGGATGAATTCTTGATATCGCTTGCACTACATATCGTATCCCTCCTCGGGAAGATTCCATCAACATCCGGTACTCGATGTCTTCAACCCATTGTCATGATTATCTCTGCAAGTGAGCTCCGGTTCTCCACAGCAGCAATGGAGACATTTTCCATCGATGCAACTTTCGGATTAAGCCATTACGAAGGTGTTGGTCACAGCCATGGTTCGGCATCAAGTGGTACAACGATGTTGAATAGCATTACTAACTTTGAGGTGGATATTGCGGCTGCCCGTCGTTTTATTGTTACTCGTTTTCAAGATTTTAAACTATCATTGCCTGCGAAACCTATGGCAAAGGCATTGATACTGGTTGAAGAGACTTGGGCGAGAGCTGACCTTGGACAGGAAGTGTTCTGGAGTAGGTGACTTGATTTCTTTTACAATTTTGATCGAAACTTAAGCCTCGAATTCTCGCTATTTTCTTCCTTATCAACGTTTAAACTAACTTATTTCCACTATAGTGGATGTAATGTCAGAAATGAATCTGGAATGTATATACGGCTGAAAATTTCTCGATATGTTCTATGTACACCTTGTTTACATTATCTTAACAGGCTGCATGTAAGTACTTCCTACCTTGACAAGAGTGCCTCTTTTTTTTTACCAAGTCCATGATTAGGGTTCTTGCCTGAAGATTCTAAGTTGCGATTCTGGACCCTTTTGACTTGATATATTTTCTAACAACCACAGCGAAAAATCTGACTGTTTCAAAGATCTTAGCTATCCGTACAGGTGAAAGATTATCTGACACTTCCTATTCCAATATTGCGACTTAGTGAAGCCGGCAATCAACCAGTTGTCTGGCACATAGTTAAGCAGTTCTAGCAGATCTACGCCACTAAGATGCACACAGCCTGTCTTGTCATCTCAACTATAGGATTTTCTAGAATATCCGGGTTGAACGAGTGATACTTGTCTAATGGGGACTAGCACCACCAACACAACAAGCGCATCTATTCACTAACCTTTACCATGGCAATGGGTTCTCAGTGTATGTTTGGTACTCATAGGCCTTTTTGAGGCTGAATCTGCAGTTGGGATCCGCTCGATGAAGGCTTCCTCTCCACGTCAATAGTATTTGAAGCGGCGAAGAAACAGCTAATGAGGAACAAGTCGACTTCAACAGCACATCGAAACCTTTTGATCCGACTCATGCAACCACTCGTTTTTCTGGTCCATAATTCGGCACCTCACTTAAGAATAGATAGTAAGAACAGATAATTAGATCGCGAGTTGACTGGCAAAAATATCATTTAGTGATGTGGATTAGATTTCTTTTTCATTCTACATGTCCCTAACATTCTACCGTCTATCGAACCAAACAGGTACTCCTGTAAGCAACCCTCAATTCATGATGCATAACTTTTTCAACTTCTATTCACATATTACCGACTTACTTTCCACCACCGTTAAGTTGTAGAATTTGTCCTATCCAAATATTAGTCATAACAAAAGGGACTTATTCATCGATAGGTCTTACCATTAATCCATTCAGATTCTGGACCTGCCAAGAATGCTACAACTCTTCCGATATCCTTTGGAACACCGACACGTCCCAGCGAACAGACAGCAGCAAGTCCCTTATCAATGACGTCTACATCCATTCCTTCAGTTCCGCCGGGAACATAATGCCATGCATTTCTATTTTCATATCAGCATTGATCATGAATTCTGAATGATACAAGATACTTACTGCTCGTACATATCAGTCTTGATCCCACCAGGAGCAATACCATTGCAGGTAATCTTCTTTTTTCCACAATCCTTGGCAAAAGACCTAACAAATCCTTCAACAGCTGCTTTACTGCCAGCGTACAAAGCATGGTTAGGTACACCGGACATATTGGCAGCAATGGAAGACATTAAAACAATTCTTCCATAGTTCTCGAGGTGGATAAGAGCTTGTTGAGCAACAAAGAATTGTGCTCTAGTATTAAGGCCAAAAACTCTGTCGTAGTCTTCTTCGGTGACGTCTTCTTCCTCCTTGAAGATCTCAGTACCCGAGTTGCTCATAACAATATCGAGTTTACCAAAATGTGCCTTAGCCTCTTGGAACAAGCGCCGAATTTCTGGTACCTTAGAGACATCGGCCTTAATAGCAATTCCTTTACTACCGAGCCCCTCGATTTCCTGAACGACCTGCTCAGCCGGTCCAGCGGAGTTGGCATAATTGATAACAACGCTCGCCCCACGGGCGGCAAGCTCAAGAGCAATACCTCTACCAATTCCACGACCGGAACCTGTCACGAGGGCGACCTTTCCCTCAAGGGTTTTAAATGGAGCTGGTGACACAGACATTGTGTTGTTTTATGGAAGTGTAAACGTGAAAATGGGTATACAATATGAAAGTAGAAAACGCACGGGGGAGGTTGTACAGCAATATAAGAGATGTGGGACGATGTATGAAATTCTATTTTGAAATGGGCAATCAACATCTTATATCATTGGACAAACCGGATCGCGACAGCTCCTCGGACCTTTCGGTCTTCGGCCATACACAAGGAAGTGGCGACAATCTAGGGACATCCGTTCCGCCCATAGGCAATACTCATGCAGCGTTGATTTTCGATTATATTGACCCATGCAATTCCGATGCGCTGAACGGAGGTGAACAAACTGCAAAGTACCCGACCTACGCGATTTATCTAATTAGGCTATCAACAAACAACAGGGCTTGATACCTCGAGGGCTCCATACAAACAGATGTTTTTCGAGTATTTCAATAGTCATTCATCGCAATTATTGATGGTATGTTTCAATATAGTCCGCACAGCAATGCACAGATTCCGATAGTAGCATTAAGTGTAGTCCGCTCACCCACTAGGGTAAGCGAAGGCTTCGTAAGCTGAAGGTCTGATCATACACCAACCAAGTCAGTGATTAAGGCTGATTCGTTCTTCCTTGAGAAATCCCGATTCTTTTCCTACCATCCGATCTAAGTCATGTCAGGTTTCGTTTAGTGGAAACTACATGACAATCAATACGAGTAAAAGTCCAAGATGTTTGACGGTGTCGAGGGGCCGCTTTGGCTGGGCTTTTGACACCATTTTTAGGGGTAAAATATCCCCACATTGAGGTTCCACCGGTGAGCCCATGCTTTAGATCGACATTGATAGCTCCACGATCTGCAGAACTTGTTCATTGGACAAAAGGATCCACTATGAACAATCTCAACGTAAATACACTAATTTCACAATCAATAAACATCAGATATCAAGGAACGGAGACTTGCATAGTCCAGTCAATGTATCAATATGCGACTGCGAAATGCAACAGACGTAGCTTAGCAAGCATTAACATGACCCTAGTAAAGTCCGGATTACGATTATCTTCTCAGCCTTAGCTTACGGAGCTCGAATAATTGCAGCGATACGACATGCACCCACCCCTCCAACCTTCGTTTTGGCTGTTTCGATTCCATTCAGAAAAACAAAGGAAGTCCGACCAGATCCCCGTATTGACAGCGTCTTAATATACCATTACTAGGATATTAATTATTTTGTCCATTAGCAAAAGATATCAAGGGTCATGGCGTGTAGGTTCGTCCCGGAGGGCGTACAAGCACCCGGACTCTGGAATGTGGCCTAAAGAGCGAAGCCGCGAGGCAAGAGGGGTTTTGTGAGCTCAAGTTCAGGATAGCTCCTGCTTAGATTGGCATGGATGAGATCGTACTTAAATGTTGTCGAAGTCGCTGATCTTTTGGTTTCATTCTGTCATTGCGTGCACTTTCCTCTACTATTCGAATAAATACATCTCTGACAAAATTACACTCCCGAACCAAATATGGCTCAAAGCAGAATTTCTTTTGAGGGTAAGCAACTTCCGAATTGTCTCTGTACAATACATTGATGAGGAATGATGCTAACAAGATATAGATTACCTCGACCTCACAGCATTGGTCTTCGATTGGGGTGATAGCTACGATGCAAAGGTACATACATAATCTTCCCCAAGATATTTCAATGCCCTAACAAACCACAGGATTGGAAACGACTCGAATCCATCATCGCCCCCAATCTTCTCGTCGACTACACCACCATCGGCAAATCCCGCTGGGACTCTATGCCGGCCTCAGAATTCATGGCCATGGTAACCGATGATGATTTTCTCGGCGACCCCTGCGTCAAAACCCAACATCTTCTCGGCGCCACCCGCTGGGAAAAAATCTCCGATGATTATGTAATTGGTCATCATCAATTGAGAGCTGGTCATCAAGTCTACAAAGATAAGGATTTGAAGGAGATTAAATTGAAGGGACACAGTCATGCGACTAATGAACATTATTACAAGAAGATTAATGGGGTGTGGAAGTTCGCGGGTTTGAAACCACTTGTGAGGTGGAATGAGGGGGATGGGGAGAATGATTTCTTGAGGGTTTTTAAGGGGAGTTATAAGCAGTAGGGAGATGAGTATTTGATTGCTCGAGGGGTTTGAGGTGTTTCATTGGACAGGGGGATACTACGCGGATGAAGTATTTCTTTGATTTTTCAATCGATTATTCCTGAAATATGAATGTCTGATACTTAGTGAAGAGTACCTCCCTCCTCTAAACATGAACATTGTTCCCCCCAAGTACCTCGCCAATGCTTTTTCCATCATTGGCTAGGGTTTCAACCCATTTATTTTTGTTGCATATCTAACTTTCGTTATAATATTTTCCTTAACCAAAAATTTATACGCTCAATTGGTGGCGGCTTTGCAAATATAAAACATGTATCCTCCCTTCTTCCCCAATTAGTACTTAACTCACCATTAAACCAATATGCAGGATAGATAAACCTTCATCTTCTTCCTCGAATCGTCCCTATAGCTGTAAATTACAAATAATCAATTAGAGTCTATCCACCTATTAACTAAAGTTTACAGTTGCGTCATCATCAGTTTTATAGGTAAGGATATGATATGATATACATTTTTACTCTTTCATATCAGTGAATCCAAGGTTGTCTGTTGATAGCTACCTATACTAATATAATAATAAGAGAGACGCGGCGAGAAATTAGTTACTGTAAGAAGTAGGAGGAAAATAAGGGGAAGTGAGGGAATTGCGAGGAGGTGTATGGATACATAAACCGCGCCTTCGCTATGCGACTGGGTTTCTTTTCTTCTTCTTTAGGCAAGAATCTAGAGAAGGCGAAATGCTAGGACAATACTGCTGAGGTTGAACTTGGTATATGGTGTATAGGATGTTGAAAACAAAATGATTTCTTTTCTATCCTAGATTTGGGTTTTCTCCAATCTTTGTTTTCTTTTTTTGCTCTTGCTGTTGGCTAGGTATTGTGAGATGAACATTATCACTTTCCATAGGCAGTAAGGTTCCATAAAATTTTTGAATTTCCTGTGCAACCGCGATAAGCCAGCTTTCATTATTCAATAACATGCTCTCTCGTTGCCAAACGAGGAGTTTCTTGCTCTCATTTTTGTAGATCATAAATACAGCGAGTGATATATAACGCCTTATAAAAAGATCTAATACATCCTCAGACTATATTAAAAAGGCCATCCAACAAAACGCTAATTACAAAAACAAGGCGAGCGAGAAGAAAGAAGATTAAGAAAGAATCTGGAAATATTACTTGCTTATAACACTTGTGTATAACTATTCGTCGTTTATCAAAATTATATCAATAGTCATATAAAATACTTAAATTCTTTTATTTTTGAAATTAATAATGTGTAGTATATTTTTATATAAAATTTAAAAACATTTATACATTTTATTCTTTAAAACTGTTACGAGGTTTGCCGTCTAGATCGTGTGGAAGTGCTCTAGGCTCTCGAGGTGGTTTATAACTAGGCGTCAAGCAGGGACTTAAGTAATGACAATGATGATATGCAATTCGTAACTAATAGTAGAGTATACTAAATGATTGATCTTGATCTTGAGCACGAAGCTCTATACAAAGGGAATCCATCTTGATTATATAGACCTTCGTGTTCTGAAAGTCGATCGACTCTTGAAGGGCCGATCGATTCCTACGAAGTCGGTCGGCTTTCGGATCAGGTGACACTTGTCACATGATCCTGTTAACTAATTGGTCACCTGATGCAGGTGATGTTACGTCGTCGTAACAAAAACTTTTATTTATAATAATATTTTAAATTGAATTTTAAGAACTAGCAAACATAGAAATTCACTAGAAAATTAAACAAAAATCAATAACTCTCTGAAATATTTTCTTTTTTCAATTATATAAATTTTAATACCATAATATAACTTGATAAATGAAAATACCAAAAATAAATACTTTTATATATGTTAAAGTGAATGGTTCCTGCGTAGCACGTGCACAGGGCACTAGTCCTATTAGGACTAGATTAAGAAGCTCTCTGTAGGAGAGCTTCGCACTTCCGTAGAACTAAGATAATGGGTGATTTATATAGGAGGCCAATATAGCCTCAGTGTAACGATACTATACTGGAGGCAGCGGCTGCCTAAGGTTTCGTCTGGTTGGTAGTTGTGGGTTAAGGCTTTATCACTGGTCTTCACTTGGAAGTGAAGTCGTTACTAGATCAAGTAGAATGTAGGTAAACTAATTGATAACTAAGTTGAGCACGAAGCTCCTTAACTACGAGACTAAATGAATGTTTATATACCCTATATCATCTTTTGAGGACCCTTGGGACCCTAAGGTCCAAAAGGTCCTCGAGGTCACGTGAATTAATGAATCGTGACGCTCAGATGTGACAGAAAAGTCGTAAACGGAGTCAATTCAATTACTTAGAATCTAAAACTAAAGAACTAAGAAGATTCTAAGTAAGAAGGTCTTTATATACAGGGCTAGTGCACGTGAGCCACTAGTGGGTAACAACCGTCACGTAACATCAGATCTGCCCTATCAGCTTCCCACTATTCCCTGTGTAAGGTCATTCCTTTTAACAATATAATTAAAAATAAAACAAAATGAATCTTTTGTATATGATTTGATTTATAACAAACAGCTCCACACAGTTACTATAAGTAAAATCCAAAATGAATATCCATTCACTCCCTTCTCCCTCCAATTAAAATATGTTTTTTCTATACAGATATTTAATTTGTTGCATATCTGAAAACCGCGGTCAGACCATGGTCCAGTCTAGATCCAATCCAATCCACCACTCCAACTTCATCCAGCTCCATCCCTAGCCTAAAAAACCTATACTAATCAAAAATCAAAAATCCAAATACAATAATAGTAAAAATCCATTCACTAAACCTACAAGATTAGAATCAAGATCGTATCCAGGTCAAGGGAATTCATTCATTCATTCATTACAGCTAATCCTAAACATCCACCAGTTTACAAGCCAGCGTGATAGCGTAACTTCCCTACAGATACTAACTAACTGACTTTACTTCCGCATAGATCTATTCGAGAACAATTATCTCTCTCTATTAATCTATAGAAGAAACAAAGACTGACTGCCTATACTATCTAAATGCTCTTTTCAAATCATACATACAAGATCCAATGTACATGTATGTATGTAGCGAGAGTATCATCACGACCAACCCACATCCAGCAAAGTATCTCCTTAAAAATGGCGAGATCTAAACAAATTCCACCATTCCGCTATCCCCTCAAATCCATTCCATCAACACACCCATCTGTCACGATTCACCATTAGGATTAGTGTCCTGAGGCAAATAGAGGATCACGTGATGGATAGACTGGGTAGACCAGTCTATCCAGGCTATCCAATAGCATTCAGAAGTATATAGTCAGAGTAGTTTCATAGTATAGGAGCTTCGTGCTCAACTTAGTTATCAATTAGTTTACCTACATTCTACTTGATCTAGTAACGACTTCACTTCCAAGTGAATACCAGTGACAAAGCCTTAACCTATAACTACCAACCAGACGAAACCTTAGGCAGCCGCTGCCTCCAGAACAGTATCGTTACACCATCCTCCATCAGATCTCTATAATCAAAGCCCAAATACACCCAACCCCCACCCCCCCTTCAACCACCCACACACACTCCCCCAACCCTATAATCCAGCAAGATACAAACAAACATACAGACAAGACAGGTAATTCCATCCCATCCCCATCCCCATTCCTAGCGCTCAAATACATAGATACCTATCCAACAAACCCCAAAAAAAGCAAAAATCAAATACCAAATTCTCACTTATTCACACTTTCCTCTACTCTAATTGCCAATATTCAAAAGAGAGACTCATGAAAATTTATGCATACCTATCTAGTTTTTCTGAGGACTTGGGATCCTTCTTGGTGGTTTGTTCTACGTTGGAATTTTCTTGGGGGTTCCTGCTTGCTGGGTATTAATTACGTTGGGGCTATGTAGTTTGTATGGAGAGGGATGAGATATGGGATATGAGATAGGAATTGTGTAGGGGAGGAACTTTGCTATATATACCTAGTAATATTACTAAAAATGCAGAATTCAGATGTGCAATAGGGGATATTGATTCTGAAATTTAGTAGCTAGAAGATTGTCTCGCTGAAAGGACTTGGATGTCAACGTATATAATGACCGCTAACGAAATCAGGACATCACCATCCACATGCAAACTTCAACATTCGGTATAAAACTTCGCGCCCTCGAATCCAGCACTTCCCTCTATCAAACCATTTACCTTTTCACCACCATAAAACCCATAAAAAACCTCTCCATCTCCTCTATATCTTCCAATTCCCCAATCCAACTAACATGTTGATCCGGTCTCAACACTACAGCACATCCTCTCTTCTCATCAACACCATACCCCTCATACGCCTTCCCATGCCCCTCCTGATACGACATATCATCTACATAGACCTTGTTGTAGTCATATCCATCCCTCTGACTCAAATGATGGAAGATATCCGGGAGATCTAAAAGTTCTATATGTATTCTTGGTGCGCTGTGAATCATGAGGACTTCGATTACTGAATCGATGGCTTTGGTTTCGGGTGTGAACTTTTGGACTAGGTCAGGTAATTCCTGACCTAGAGTGGTTATTCGAGACATTTGGACATCATTTGAGATATCCCCAGCAAAAATAACAATTCTCCAGCGTCCATCACTCTTTAAACGTTCTTGGAAATGCCAAGGTCTCGCATCCGATTGGTTAAGAACTTTGAAACTAGGCAATCGTATACCAATTTTGATATTAGAAGCCAGATGTTGTTTACCTGTAACTCTAGCTGTAATTTTCTGGGCTACATCAGTCCCATCTCCTTGCTCTGCAGCATCCCCCTCTTTCGCAACGATGATGCTAGCACCGTAATTCACGGCTACACCACTAGCAAACAAACTCCCCTTTTTGAAAACGTCTTTGAATTCATCCATGCTAATACCTGCCTCATCCGTGGCATCTTTTGCTGGACGACCAGAAAAGAGTCGAGAGAATTTATGATCGAATGCAATGAGATCTTGGGCAATCCGTCGACGTTCTGATTGATAAGTCTTCAGGATTGATCGATTAGCGGTTCCATTAAGAACAGCAGCTATTTTCCATCCCAGATTGTAAGTGTCTTGCATGCTAACATTCATACCTTGTCCAGCTTTCGGTGAATGAGTATGTACTGCATCACCAGCTAGAAATATACGCTCGTTCTTGGAAAAGTTCGAGCCGACTCGTTGACCAATTTGATAAGCTGTCCACCAATCACAATACTCATAATCTAGCTTGTATGGTGCTATTGTTCCTCGAGCGGCTTCCAAAATCATCTTTGGATTGATGGCCGACCGCTCAACCTTTGCCCCCTTTTCTGTAGTAGTGATTTGAATGTAAAGTCTGACGAGCTTATTTTCTCTTGGTATAACCATCATACTTCCTGAGCTTGCTGAGTGAATAGTACATCTCATTCGAATGTCGGGAAAATTTGTGATTGGAATAATATCGAGTACACCCCAAATGTAATCTGTTTGTTCACCTTCGAGTTTGAATCCTAGTTGCTTTCTGGTCCAGGAATGTGCGCCATCGCATCCTATCATGTACTTTGCCTTTACGATCTCACTGCTTCCTGCCAAGCCATTTTTATGTGCGTTGTTTAGGAGTTCATCGGTATCATCAGGCGCCAAATTACTTCGGAAGAGGCCATCGGAAGTTGCTCCTCCATCCACTGTTGATTGATTCTGCTCGGGATTCGCTTGATCTTCACTGAGATGCTGTAAAAGAACTTCAATAGGGTATTCGTTCGGATCGTCCGCTTTTGTTCCGTCGAAAGTGAGCTTGTCCGGAAGAACCCCGCGCTCAACTCTGATATTGCTATGCTGTTTTAGAGAATCGAGAAAGAAACGTTCTATTCGACCTAAGAAGAAACATCCACGTTAGGTCATTTGGCAGATTTGTAGCAGACGAAGTTTACCTTGGTGCAAAACTGCCTCGTGAAAGCGACTAATGCCTGGAATAGTATCCGGTAGTCTATCGGATCTTCTCAGCCTTCCTTCAGAATCTGGGTTCCAGAGGCAAACCTCAAGTATATGATTGCTTTCCTTCCATGCCCTATCTGCAAAGTCAAACGAGTCGAAGATTTCTAAGGAGCGACATTGAAGCCCATCTGCTTGACTGTTGAGCAGTTAACATTTATTCATGAGCTCGCCAATGTTGAAAGACCTTGACAATACGTACCCGTTATAGATCTTGGTACCCCTCTTGTCGATAATCCTCGCATTGATCCCACATCTCGCCATCCACGTTGCGGCCATTAGACCAGCTGGCCCGGCTCCGACGATGAGCACATCGACATGAGAGACAGTATCTGTAGCCATTTTATTGTAACTGGCGAAGACCTACCGTGAAGCCTTCAAGTTGTGAAAATTCCCTAAGTAACGAAGAAATATGAGAAGAAGAATAATAATAGAGATACTCAAGTAGCAGTGGATGAGCTTCAATGCGGGGTTAGATTTTAGGGCTACGATTGGCGTACAGGTACAGAGCGTGGAAACTTTCGCTATCCCGGTGACGACGATGATGATAGAGCCATGGTTTTACCGTAACGGGAAAGTGGGGTGGGTCGTTACGGGCGTGAAAATTGCTTTCGAGCTTCTCGAACTGATATGCACTTCATTGGCCCAGGCCTATGTGTTTCCATCTACCGAATGACCTACCCGCGTTGGATGCATTATTCAAATATTCAACAGCTTCAAATGCTGAGCGGGCGGCAGTACCCACATGTTCCTCCCCCGACGCAGTTGGTGTGTAATGTTGTTTGGTAAGAACAGTTGGAGAACGATAATGGAGTCGTTCTATGTGCATTAGTTTCCCTTTGTCGTCTCACAAGTCTGAAGCTTCCTATTGGCTGTGGGCAATGTACCACCGGCGTACCTTATTATCTCCCCGATCGCTTCGGGTCCATATTAAATCATGTACCGTTCGCGACCCAAGCTCCTTCAAATGACATATTCCATCAACACCAAAATTGATTCACTGTGGAGTCGCGGGGATCTAACACATAACAATTGTAATATCTGGAACTGCTTGTCTCATCAGTTGTCATCTATTAGAAATGTTGGGAGCTTTGTGGACCAGGAACCTGTGCCCTTTGTTGGTTCACCTTACGCCGCTTGATCCGACGGGAGTGCAGTACCCTTCCGATGGATATAAAGTTCAATATCATCTAACATTCCCAATGAATTGAACGATATATTGCTATCATTTCACATTTCTCAAACTCGCAGACATCATTTACATATCCAAGATGACGAGCATAATTGAGCACACAAGTGGCGCTACCTCACACAAATTCGATCCAAACTTCACACAAAATGTAATCGGCGCAATGGGACCCAAGACTAGTCCTCGCATGAGGGAAGTGATGAGCTGTCTCATCAGACATGTTCATGATTTTGCGCGAGAAGTGGAACTTACAGTAGATGAGTGGATGCAGGGAGTCGAGCTTCTCAATGAGGCTGGAAGGATGAGTGACAATAAGAGAAACGAGGGACAATTAGTTTGCGATGTCATTGGCTTGGAATCGTATGTTTTCATTCTCCAAGAAGCATTGATATGTACTTCTAACATTCTTATGAATTTTCAGCCTTGTGGATGAAATCACATTCAAGAAAGCTACAGACGCAGTCGACGCTCCTACCGCAAGTGCGATTCTCGGACCGTTCTTCCGACAAGATGCTCCTGTGCTAGAGAACGAATCTTCCATAATTCAAACGCCAGTCGATGATGGAGAGATAGTATATATGCATGGAACTGTCACAGATCATAAGACCAGGGAGCCTATAGCTGGTGCCACAGTGGATGTGTGGCAGGCGTCCACCAATGGATTATATGAACAACAAGATGATGACCAAGCAGACAATAACTTGAGGGGAAAGTTTAAGACTGACGAGAATGGACATTATGGATTTTACTGCTTAAAACCAACTCCATATCCTGTACCTTTTGATGGTATGTGGAACGTCACGTCATTCTAGAGAAACCATGCTAAAACCCCCAGGCCCTGGCGGCAAGATCCTACAGTTATTGGACAGGCATCCTTTTCGACCCGCGCATATCCACCTGATCGTAAGTCCTAGCCTTCATAAAGAAAGATTATCTCTTTTTCCAAGCTAATATTGAAGCCACAGGTCCAACATGATTATTACAAGCCTCTCACAACCCAGATCTTCGACTCAAAGGATAAATACCTTCAAAATGATTCCGTCTTTGCCGTTAAAGATTCGCTGGTTGTTGACTTCGTACCTTTGAAGAGTAATCTCAAGGCAACATTGGAGCTCAACTACCCTGTCATTCTTGTTCCTCAAACCGGAGCATAGAAAGTAGTTGCAGTTCACTATTGGATTGTGGGGGCATCTTGGATTTTAACTGTGATTATCTGGCAACTAAATGTTTGAGGAGCTTGATTATATCGAATGTTTACGAACAAAATTTTAGAAATCTATTAATCTTTTTTTCATTTTTGATTCCTGTCACGTGGCACCTATTAGATGGGTGGATTTGTGTGGTGAAAGACTCTCTCCTATCCACAACTTGTTCGTTCCAGGCCAAACACTGACAGTCTTTAATGAATACTTGACTACTTGACTACGGCTTTTCAACTAAAAGACTACTTGTGTGCAAGGTCACTGGAGTTCTTACGACCCTAGCTGCCCTGTTTCCTTAAAACTGATATGCTTGCCTGGTTGTCAATTTGGTAATAGGGTCACGCAGTCCTTATTTTCCATGAAGTCAGCTGAAAGATATCCTATCAACTAATTGATCGTCTCTTTTTCATACATTAAAGCCCTGTTCTGTCTTTCAAAATCCCGTACGGGGTAGAATGTCTACCATACCGATAAGACTTTCGTATACCACGATAGAGCGGAGCTTTTCAAGATTAGTTGCTACAGTAATGACTGCCGCCTAGTCCATGATTCACGAGGATATCTTTATGGAACTTCGTTTCATATATGTTCTCCCTTGTGAGTTGAATGATATATGGAATTAGCTGTATGATAATGTGATGCAGTCTCTTACGGTACAGTATGAGTGGCTCTGGCATTTCCGTCCTCCCTCGTCCCTCAGGCAAACACCTTGAGTAAAATTACTCGATTAGCGGCTATTTGGATTGTTTCGAGCATGTGACACAGAGTATACTAGAGTTCGCCGTACAGAGATGATAATGTTCTCTATAAAATGCTTTCATTATGATCTCAATACTTTTTAGAACTTTGTTTCATACACGAGACTTACCTCTTAACGACTACATAAACCACCACCACAGAATTCCATAAACATCGAGTCATCTCAATCCCACGCCTTACAGAAACACTATCTCAAGGGCACATATACATGTCACCTTAAACCATAACATGACCTGCTTCAGAATTACCCGTAGTCCGCAAGACCAACATTTACCGCTGGCTGTTGGCTTCAAGAACGGTATCGTTAAGCTTTTGGACACTAGAGGCAGTAATAATACCCCCAGCAATATCACAATAACACAAGCTAATTTCAACAGAAATCTGGTCTATTTCAAACTACGTAGTCTGCGAAGATGGTATCAGTAATCCAGCCAATTCAAGTAAGTTGCTTGTCACCTACAGAATAAAAGGAGGGTAGGTCAACTAACCCACTAATAGGGGAACAACTGTACGAGGAATACCTCGAGTGCTTCCGAGACAGAATAAATATGTTCAGTAGGTGGAGTGCTGAAGCTAGTTTGCATGCTCAAAAGCTGATATAATATAGATATTAATACAGTTGGGTATGAAGAAAAAGTTTCATGGGCCCATTATATCGAACTAATCCGGCTTCATGGTGCTTGTCAGACTGTTCGTCAATATAGACCCGAGCTCCACCCAATGTTTGATTCTCGAGGAAATGAAGATTCCCCTAAGTTTAATCCGGAAGTCGACTCGGTCGATGCGACTAGCGTGTTTCGACCACGCACTCTTGCTTTTGGAGAACAGGCATTTATCACTGCTAAATATCCATGGACGGTGCTGGTTGCACAGGCAGAGGATATTAATACTATGACTAGCTGGTGTCCTGCTTTTCCTCTACGAGAGATATACACTCAAAGTCAACAGTGGCAGGGTCTGCCAATTCATGTTAATAGTATTCGCGGCAGTGTCGAGCCCACTTTTGCGCAGCAGCAACACTTAAATGCGGGTTCTCCAAGCTATCCAATTTCTCGAACGTATGTTTCCAGACCATCAAATACAGTTTATAAAGCATTAGAAGGTAGTAAACATACCCAAACTATCCCCGCCAACGGTACAAACTCTGGAACGCAGAAGACCCATCAAATTTCGGAAGAGGAGAACATCTCAGATGTCCAAGCTGTCGCTACTTCAACCCATCAAGAGAACAACACCAACATTCCAATCGAATCCAATTCCCCCATCCCCGAACACCTAAACTGCGCCATCCAAATAAAAGTACCCAGCCTCGCCACACCCCAAGAAATCCTCAACACAATCCGCACCGGCGCAATCTACTCCCTCAACCGCGTAGCCACCTCAAACCACACCTCCCTCATAGACATAATATTAATGACCCATTCCAGCGCCCAAAACTACATCACCACAACGCGCAACAACGAAAACCTCCTCATCCGCAATAAACGAGTAATAGCAACCTGGCACCCCAAACCCACCGGCCCACGCGAAAAGAAAAACGTATCAAGAGTACTCAAGATCACTGGACCAGCGGAGGCATTCAATTTGAGGAAATTTATTCGCTATGCGAGGTCTTTTTGTTGGGTTGATTGTGTGAATCAGTGGGAGCGGGTTGTAGGGGGGGAGTGTGAGGTGGTGGTTGAGTTTGGGAGTTTTAGGGGGCAGGCAGAGGTGGTTCTTGAGGGGGTGCGTGCGGATCCGGGGTTGCTGGGGTTTAGGGTGGAGTTTTTGAGGGATCCTTGTTATGGGGGTGAGGGGGGTTGAGTTGATGGGTTTTGGTGGTGCTGGTTAAGTGTGGGAGTTTGAGATATCTAGCTTTATTGTGGTTTTATTTGCAGCTTTCGGGGAGAATCTCTCCATATCATGTATATTGAAAAAGAATAAAGCCATACATAAATTCCCGTTTCCTTTCCATTCTAGAATTCATTCTTCCAGAATCGATAAAATATGTAACAAATTTTAGAATTCCAATGTAAGATCTTCTACAAACAGCTCCAAAACAAATCCATAAAATTTAAATCTGAACCAATGTAAAAATGTACCATTATGTAGTAAATTCCAGAGCACACTCTAAACAAGTAGTCTTAGAAAAAAACCAAATCTTTCTATTCAATATCTCAAAGATTGAGCTTTTGCGAATGAAAAGGTCCTAGAGAGGGGAATGATAAATTTGGATTTATTACATTATTCCTTCACATCTTCCGCTAGGTTTTTGAAGCTCGAATATTGAATGCATTTTATAAATTCTACTCATTTATAAAACTATAACTTCTCGAGAATCCAGATATGACTTGTACTTTACACAATTCAATATATCCCACCACTTCGTTTTTTGAAGTATATATATAAAAACTAATCTTACAAAACAGTCACATATTCAAAATTCAAACAAGTTTCTGTGTTCTAGTTTCCGAATTTTCCGAAAGATACTCAAGCATTTATTCACCACTCTCATTCATCATTCATTAAATGTCCAATAAGAGACTTAGTTAGACAGCAGTGCTGCAGTACCCATTTCTATTCACCAAAACGAATAGAGTAATTATTCTGATACTTTCAAACTCAACCTCTTTCCTCTTCTACTGTCTTCCCCCCTCCACCTCAAGCAAAATTAACTAAGAGCTCATTCTTCTACTCCTTTAAACCATTTCCCACCTTCAAAATTCCAAATCCCAATTCACCACTAACCGAACAACCTCGAATTGACCAATAAGAACTCGGCTAACCCCTAAAAGAAAACAATATACATACCTAAGTATTCACCATGATCTCCCTATTCACTTCCATATTAACTCCACATGTCAACTCCACATGTATACTGCTTCCAAAGAAAAAAATATATATCAAGGTGTGAACTATTAGCAACCTAAATTATCATCATCTTTCCCCACCACAAGATCTCCCTTACACAAACTCCTTTGCTCAATTTATTTATCTGTCCCCGAAAAATCAACAAGCACATCGAAACTTCTTGCTCTTTCATTTGAGAGAATTAAGTGCTTAGAGTTTAAATCTTTTGATGAGCGCGAAGCTATTCCCAGGAGAGCGGAGCTGCATAAAAATCGGATAGCTACATACATAATGAAAGCACCAATAATTACAAATTCGAATCAAGAAGGGGGAGAAGTCCTGATTTTATCTTCATTGAATGCTCGGATTTCCTGTTTTACCTGCTCGGACATCTACCCATGAAACCGAGTCCCAAAATTCTTGCTCGTACTAGAGCCATCTAAAAAGCAGTTTCGAGGACATATCTGGGATACCTTTACTATCTCCTCAATAAATTTGTGAAACGCTTATTCCGCTTCAACTTTCGATATTGGAAAATGTCGAATTTTCCAGCATCATTTGGTCGAGGCAAGATCTTCCAACATGGTGCACGAAAGGATAGTATGACAGCTGTCCAGTCCATTTGAAAACATTTCTCGATGCTAACGATCTATCCGCAGGGCTTGCTGAAGAGGTCATGAACGCTACAATGGAAGGTGCAAGAAATGCTATGGAGAAGAGTAAGAGCTCAAGTGGTACCGAGGAGTCGTCTTTTGGTAAGTTTTTCAACTCCTTTCAGATGTGGAAGACATCCTGACATTTGAAAAAGAAACTCATTATTATTCCGATGTTGAAACTTCTGAGGAGGAATATGATGCTCCTCCACTAGACACGGAAATTCCAAAGAAAGCATTGCTACCAAGCGAGCAACCACTTATCCCCTTCGAACCGGCACGATTGAAGAGGGGCGAAAGAGCCATGATCACACCAGAGATCCAAGCCATGCTTAACGCGGCCGGTGTGCAACCGAATCACAAATACGAGGGCGAGATCACAGCTGAAGTCCTCAATGATTTACTTACGCCCGAGAACGAGAATTGTGCACTTCACATAACCTGCATTCATCCCAAAGCTGAGATGAAGGACCTATTCCTAACGATCCATCACGGGAAGGTATATTCTGTTGCTTGGAATGCTCCAAATAGTGAGTGGGTGAACGCAGCCGCACGACTTTGTTTTTGCGTACGCGAAGCAGCAGAGAAATATCTCGAGGAGAGTGAGACTGGTGATGGAATAAAAATTCTCGGACAGAGAATAACCGTAGAGTGGAACCGAAACAAGAAATGTCCAGTTCCAGAGGATCACCAATCGCGAGTTATACAACTCCGCGGACCACAATCTTTTGGATTTTCGGCTCAAGATTTGTTAAATTTCTTCGGCAAGGATATGAAACTCCATATCATCTCTCGAAGAGAGTGGAACCACAAGACTGATCAAAAAGTTGTCGAACTGGCATTTTGCGGTATTAGAGCCCAATCAAGAATGGCATTTCGATGCTTTAAGCAGAAGATCGCTGCACAAGGACTTGGAGATCATTTTGATATTCGATTTGCGCCTGATCTGTGTGATCCGAATGCGGATCAAGGCAAAGATATGTTCATGCCGCGGCCACGTACTCCTCGTATTCCACAAGCCATCACACCACCACAACCATCATCACAACGTACTTTAGAGAGCATCCGAAGCTCAAATTGGCGTAGTGGGCAGAGGTCGACCTCCAAGTCTATTTCCAATGGTGCTCAAAACACTTCTAATCGAATCGGACCAAAATATGAGAAAGGTGCTGGTCCAGACGCGAAAAGTTGGAGACGTGCAATGTGAGACGGTTAGGGCGATATAGAATGGACTCCTATGTAAGAATGCCCGTATGAGGGCAAGTCACATGTAAAACGATTTAGGGTGGGCATATATTTCTTTTTGATAAAATGTGCAGTGCATTAGGGTTTCGGAGAATGGAGTGCTCTTCTTTGGCCGTCTCTCCCCTCCTCTGTTGACAGCTAAGAAATTCCACCAAATTGGGTCTTACAATTGAAGCTTCTTTGAGTGAACATACACCACTCACTCAACAAAAAGACAATCACTCCACTCAATTCTCCAGTAGAAGACTAAATCGTCTTCAGCTCTTTACTGAGGCATAGACGGTGCTTCTGTCTTGGCAAACTTGGCTTAACATTCCCCGTTATGCGATGCTTTCAGGAGCTGAGCACTGATTTTAGTGCATATGAAGAACAGTCCTGCGCATGTCCCAGCATAAAACTTTTATCGTTTATTACCATCATGAAATCCTTATACATAATCAGGGCCAATGTGATATGACGATTGAACCTTTTTGCTGTTAACTTCGACTAAGGTTTGTAATTTTACGACTAAAGTCATATTAGCTGAGCCAAAAACCTTGAAAATTTGCTTTTGGTGAGATGTTGACATTCCTTCAAAGGATACCCAAAGACTTTATTCTTGAGAAAACGGGAGTCCTTATTCCCCCAGAACATGTATCTACCAAAAAGAACCAACTTTAGTGGGCGACCAGTATTCAGAACCAAATAGTACGTACGTGGCGATACTAGAAAGCTTTACAACTATTAAGCATCAACCAAGTAATACCTCAAAAATCTACCAACTTCTGCACAAATCTCCGAACTGGCACAAGTAGTAATGATACATTCGTAGACAACCAATTGGATATATCATTCCAGTAGTCATAGCCCTTAAATAAGAACAGCCATGGAATACAGGATCGATATGCTCCTTGAGTAGTTCGCAAAGGAAATAGCGAGTAAAACCCTTGCAATCATTCATCTTAAGAACGAGTTGAGTCCAGCATAATCCATAGCGAACCTGTGCTTTTTCATTGCAACCTACTCCTCAAAAGCTGTTTCTATGATGTCTCCAAAAATGTAATCATACAATGGAGCTCGAAGCATGAAATATTTCTTGCCAAAGCGTTTCGCTTAGACCTTTAAAAAAACAGAGTATGTTCTCTATTTAGGCTCTCATCCAACAAGATTTAAAACCTTAAAGTTTCTCATTCATGAGCTCTGAATACATGTCTCCAGTCCCTGATAAGCTCCAAATAATTCCAGATGTCACTTGTGAAGTCTATTATCGCACAACAACACAAAGGTCTAGCATAAAGTCATAGAGGTACTGTCTCTCCAACATGCAGCCTCGGAACAAACAAAATCAATCACAAGGCTATATCTACAAACAATTCTTTCTTCACATGACTCTGTCACTATCCACCAGTACCAGGGGCCACCTGGAGATATCCCGCCTCATCGTTCCCGTCCCCTCACAAATCAGGAGAATGGTGAGTGGGGCAGAAATATGGCTTCTTGAGGAGAACGTTTGTTTCTCCTATTTTGTTTTGATGCAGATGCTGCTGCCTGATTCGAGATCCGCCTAGCCAATTAATCAGGTTTCTTCTTCTTACAGATGGGTACCTGCGTATTGATCTTGATTCCTTGCTTACATCCCAGTTCGATTTCAAATCTCAAACTCGAAATCTCCAGATCTTCACCTCTTCTATGCTACCAGATTGAATCAACAACAGATACTCATCAAACCTTGGGGACTTTTCTCGACGATAATATCAAATAAAACTTCGTTGATATTTGATCTATCCTCATTACTCTAGATCATTTCGCCAATTTATAACTCTTCAAAGTCCAAAATGTTTCATCAACCAAGTTCCTGGGAGCTTTCTCTTAATCGAGCAAAACAACACTTCCGTGATCATCAACAACACGGTTACGCAAAATCTACCTGCAGCATCTTCCCCGGTGAGCTATCAAACTCGATGCAAAATAGCTCTAAAGTCACGAGCACAGCCACATCTAACTACAAGTGGCATGACCGCTGTATGTATTTTGTCCAAGTTGATACTCTACGTTACTGACTTTGAGCAGGTATGAACGAGACACCCCTCAATTTATGGCTCGAGTCTGTTACTGGGGTCTTTGAAACGGAAAGAAACACCTCTCAGGGACATAACTTAAGAGTTGCATCAAATCAGGGTATACATATAGTAGGACAAGCACAACATGCTGCAAACCTCTCGCCCATTCTCAGTGCCACGGCAGACACTAGGAATGCGGCCGCTGCAGCTTCTCGTGATGGCATTAATGCGGGACTTCAAAATACTATGACCCAGCACCTCGGAATCAATGTTGAATTGTCGAATTACCATGGCCCTCCCGTATCCGCAAAAACCCATACCCGAACCTTGCCGACATCTTCAAGCCCAAGTTTATCGTCCTCGTTTGCATCAACTACATTCACGGAAACTACCACACCGAAGCTCGATAACAACCACTTTGATACCCCTAGCTGGGATGAAGCTATCTCTGCCACTCAACCAGCAAACATGCCAAAACATTTTCGCGAAGAGGGACGACCCACAATTGCATCACGAGGCAATTCGCAATTAGACGGGTATCGGGAAGACGAAAAAGTAAACAAAATTACACGTGGATTTGTGCCATCTGCGATCCTTAAAGGTAGTCGCCGTCCGCCCACTTCTGACATTGTTCGAAAAGCTGCAGAGTTCGGTATTACTTTTAATCCCAAGTACAAAGGCGAGCTCACTAACTTTAACCTCCGCAATGCGATGTGTCTTGACCATGAGAATTGTTCCGTGAGAATTCATAAGATCCCTCCAGAAGCTAGTCATTGCGAGATCTTCGCTTTGATCACCCATGGCAAGGTATTCTCATTCAACTACATTCGTCCAGTCGAAAATCTTTTCACTCACGCTGCTGCCGATCTTGTCTTCCTGACGAGGGAGGCGGCAGAAAAGTTCCTCCATGACGCCAAGTTCGGCCATGGCCTTTTTATCCGCGGCCATAGAATCACGGTGTTGTGGAACAGGATTAAAATATTGCCTGCGGAAGGTCGATATGAGAAAATGTCAAGAGTTGTCAGGATTAAAGGTCCAGCCGATAATCTTTCAGAGAAAATCCTCGAAGAATTCTTCCGAAGTAAATTTGAATTCGATCTTATCACAGGCAAGGAATGGTTTCAGTGGGATGGTAGCAAGATCGTTGAATTGGCATTCTCGTCCATTCGTAGTCAGAGTGAGTCGGCTGTGAAAAGCTTCAACATCTACATCAACCAGAACATGCCGAATGCTGGATATCGTATCTGGTATGCGCTTGATCCATGCTCCAAATCCGATCATAGAGGCGGATTCTGATTGTCCGGTATCTATGGATATTTCTATCAGTTGCTAGCCATCCAATCAAAGAGGAAATGTAGCCTTGGTGGATTTGGAGCTGTCAAGAATGGTTGTGATTCCATTCCTAACAGAACATATTGATTGGACATATGTCACGAAAGAATTTTTCATCATGCCCAACGTTCTGGAGTCCTTGCGATCAAAGTATTCGGCTGTAATAAATTCCAATTGGAGAAAGCATTCGTCTTATTCACAATATTTAGACCGGTAACCTCTGTGGTCTGACTCCATCTTTGCGCGGTCATTATGTAGCCTTATTTTAAGCTTTTTAGTTTTCCTTTTTCTTTGACGCGGTGTGTAATGGTTATGTTGGCTAATGGAGGTGGTTATCGAAAGCGCAAGGCTGCAACAAAATTCAACGTGGCATAATAATGGGGCCAGTAATGGCCAATTCAAGTCGAATAAGGTCTTTGAGTGAGCGCGGAAAATAGTGTGAAGGGTGTGATAGATCAAACAAATCTACATGTACGGGTTGTGAGGCCTGTGATGAACCATCCACTTCCCCAATGTTGACTGATAGTTTGGGTTTGCTTTCGCCCTTGAGCTCTCAGTTGACCAAATTCAATCGCCCTAGCGAGCATTTTAATTAGTAGGTTTTAGACTCTCGTCACATCGGTATCAAAGACAGTAACCGAATCAACTCCCGCTTTGAGCAGCCACATCATGAAAACATGCCAGAGACTACGCACCGCACTCACGGGATAATTGGGAAGCTCTTTTCATTCTATCATCTATCTGTTCTAAGGAAATAAAGTAGCAAGCCTATTTGCAAGCTCTTTGAGAAGTTTGCCTAATTTGAACACTAGATAGGTATAAAATGAGGTAAACAGCAAGTTATAGAAGCCATAGTATTTGGATCGCCAAAACCAACTGAAAATTCCCAGCACGTACTACAGATTTCGGAATTTAGTACAGATTTCACACTTGAGACTTTCTTCCGGGCTAGCTTGCCGTACCCCTTCAAAACATTCATACATGTGGTGGTCCAACCTTTGGCGGGTTTGGATAATAGAAAGCTGCCACAGCGACATTGATGTACACGAGTACACAAAGAGCACCTTCTAAGTAGTTGGATCTGCAATCTTTCAAGAAATTTCCTACCACCAAAATGGACAGAATCAAAATAACGATAATGAAGAGGTCGAAATTCAAATCCATTGGGATGTCAACGATCCAACCAATAATGACAACCAAAGGGGCGTTGAAGAGAGCCGTTTGAATGGTAGCACCCAAGACATGTGAAAGGGCCAGGTTCATTGAATTATCGTGAGCTTCATCAATGGCGGTTAAATGCTCGGCAAACTTCTCCACAAGTGGGACCAAAATTAGACCGACGAAGCTATCGGAAATGCCATCTTCATCAACGATGAATTCAATGCTTTCCACAAGTCTGATGGCAGTGAAGGTAACCATGCTAATTGCGACTATCAAAGCCACCACGCATTCAGTGAATGTCAATTTTTCCTTTGTAAGATCCTCTTCATAGTCCTCTTGTTTACGTTCATCAGCCTCAAAGATCGCGTCATATATAGACTGATGGGAGCGCATTTGAAAGTAGACATATAGAGCATACGACATGATAAGGAGGATAGAGGTCATGCGTGAAATATGGACGACAGAATCTGCAAGTACGACAGGATCATACTCGGGCTGGGCGCTTTTAACGGCCATGTTGAACGCTGCAGGTACAATGAGACCGAGTCCACTGATTGACAGGTTAAAAATGAATTGGACGAGATATGGGGATAACACATACGCCTGCAGGAGTAGATCACTTCCGACTTCACTGATTTCTTCATCAAACTCTTGTTCATCATGTGTCAACCCTCCTACGAAGAAGCACATTCCTAAGCACAACAATTGAGTGGCCAAAATGGAGCCCATTATTGCGGCTTGCATGACCTGGAATTGATGTCTGCTAAGAAGTACCATGAACATCACAATCTCGACGACAGATCCCAATGTGGTCTCGAGCAGAATGCCAAATACTTTGTCCAATTTGCGAGACAATTCTTGACCAGCAAAACCAATAAGGTTTGCAGAAGGGATCATAGATAGATAATTGAGAATGAATATGACTGTATGCCATTCTTCCCGAGCATATGTGACGACGATGGCAACAGGAACAATAGGCCAGAGAAAATTGACGGCTTGTGAGGCCCCACTCGAAGATTTCCAGCAAAGTTGGATGCATTTGATCGGGCTCAATCCTTTCCGGCCACTCTCACCTTCTGGAGCAATACCGGTTGTGACCCTGAAGCCTAGGTGGTTGACCTCGAAAGCGGGAATAAGTCGATCTTCTTCAGTACTGTCTGGAGAACCATTATCTTGGCGAGATCCGTTCCTAGCAAGAATAGCTTCATCGGGCAAGTTTGAAAAAGAAACTTGAATTGAATGCTTCAAGGGAGGTCTCAAACCACCGGAAGTTCTGGAGCTTTTCGGCGTGAGTGCGCTTGAGGATGGCATTGCGGGAACTGACTTGTGTTTTGAGCTGCAGTTTGAGCTATTGTTTTTGAAGGGATCAAATTAAGAGATTGTGACAGATAACATAGATGCAGTAAATATATGAGAAGGACTCATGTCGTTCCTGCCATCCATGAGTTGTAACTGCCATTTCCACAGCGCTCAAAGGGCCAAAAATGACCATGACGGTTTCCACATGTGAATATCATGATTGATTTAAAAGGTTGAAGTTGTGGAATGGCTGTATAATTCTGGAATCTCACCTGACCAACATCATCATTATCTTCATCATCATCATCGCCTCAATTGACAATTGTGATAATTAATCGGGTGATTGATGAGCTCGAGGTTGCACATTGCATCGGGAAAGGCCACGGAAAAATGTTTTTCCGCTCACATGGCATCCCCTCGGATTTCCCCAAAAGAAGTTCAAAATCGGTCAATCCAATAATCAAGACAGCGAAACTAGACATGGGGAACGGCGGGCCAATAATCCGTGCTTAAAGTACCAAGACGTCGTAGCCTTCAGCCTCAGATGCCTTTTTGATCCTTTTGCACATGAGGGGAAACACTCATTGCACTTCCCATTGGTTCAAGTATCATTTCATGCACGCCAAAGCCAGGATATAGTACGGATGACATCTATATGCTTTGGCTTTGGCTTTGGCGATTACACCAAGAATATAGCCGCTAATCTACCTGCACCAAATCAATTATGAACTATAAACTATTTATTGCTTCGATGCTCCATCTGGATTGCAGGCTTGACATCATTCACGTTTCCACTTTAACGATCACCGTATTTCAGAAACATATTTAGAGCCCGTTCGTGGCATTCGAGCTTCACATGATATCAACCTTGACACACAGCTATCCCGCCTCAATATGTCTACTGCAATTCCCGATGGATCAATAGTCTTAATTACTGGTCTCAATGGCTACATTGCATCTCACATAGCTGATCAACTGTTGAAAGCTGGATATCGAGTGAGGGGTACCGTTAGAGATGCTTCTAAAGTCAAGAACTTGATCGACCAGTGGGAGAAACTATATGGAAAGAATAGGGTTGAGGTGGCAGTTGTACCAGACATGTCTGCTAAAGGGGCATTTGATGAAGTTGTGAAGGGTGTATCTGGCATCGTTCACGTAGCGACATCAAACATGGTCTTTACACCAGATCCAAACAAGGTGAGATTATGCTCAATCCACTAACAATACATAACTAATCTTTGGGTCTTAACTTAGCAAATTCCAGATGCACTTGTCTGGGTAGACACTCTTCTTAAGTCTGCAGCCTCGGAACCGAGTGTAAAACGTTTTGTGGTCACATCCTCTTCCTTGGCGACAACCATGCCGAAGCCCAATAAGGAATTCTATGTCGATGAAAACACATGGAACACAGAGGCTATTGAAGCAGCACATGCTCCACCTCCATATGAACCCTCAAGAGTGTGGGCTGTTTTGGGGGCTAGTAAAACTGAAGTCGAGCAAGCAGTGTGGAAGTTTGTAAAGGAAGAGAAACCAGGCTTTGTAGCCAATGCTGTTCTTCCAGACACATGTATGGGTCTGATCTTGGATCCAACACAAGATGCATCTACTGGTGGCTGGGTTCGAAATCTTTACAGAGGGGATAATTCTGAGATGCTAAATCTACCTCCGCAGTATTTCGTGGATGTGCAGGATGTAGGACGTCTTCATGTTTCAGCATTGGTAGGCGATGACGTGAAGAACGAAAGACTACTTGCATCTGCCGAACCATTTAATAACAACACTTTACTGAGGACCTTCCGCAAAATTCGACCTGATGCGAAAATCATGGATGATTTTCACGATGACAACGTCAACGATTTATCAAAGGTCGCTAACCAAAGGGCTGCGGAGCTTTTGCGAAGAGATTTTAAACTTCCTGGTTTTACAAGCTTGGAGGAATCTTTGACAAACAATATTCAAGGGCTCTAGATAAATCATTGATGAAAGGGGAGTCAATCTGATATTTCTATGCCGGTTAACAACTTGTTTTCATCCTCACTCGTACCTGCTTGTTGTCTTTCTCTACCTTTTTACTTTATAATTTACTCGAATATATTCCAACGACTCTCCTTCAGAAATTATCGAATTGAAAATAGTATTCCACATTAAACCCCTTGTTGTATTCTTCAAATGAGGACATTGATCTATCATCTGCGTGTCTCTTCGAATTGTTAATGGAATCGGCATTTATGTGTTATTGACATGGCATCTTCTCCTAGTGCAAGCTTCTGAATCAATTTCTATTCACGCTTGCCTACCTAAATTTAGCAGTGCATCAATGGCATAGTATCCTGGTGGCTTGGTCTTCCCGGGTGTTGAACCTCCAAGCAGCGTCAAAATTCAGCGGCACATATGATCTTAAGTTTCGATGGTAAGATCATTACTATAAAGCTAAGGAACCAAGTGGGTTTCGGGTCGATATAATTGTACAGGTATTCGAAAAAAGACTTTTTCAAGAAGTCGCTGGTAGGGGGTGCACCGCATCAGAATTCAACTATATTTAAAATTGTTTTACATCGACCTCATTGTCCCTCTTCTAGAGATTTTCCGCACTTAACCAATTAGAATAGTGGTATCATATCTGATGAAAAGTGAAATATATATAGTGACAATTAGAACCACAAATTGGCAATAAAATATCGCGTGATACATGGAGAATGCATTACCAAACTCTCTTGCCAACCTAGAAGATAGAATGAGCAGGATTTTGAAAGCCTCTCTTTACATCAAGAAATGGCAGCTACACATGATCTTAGCCCACTTTTCCGGTTTTCCATGCTTGGAGAAATGGAAATGATAGGGATGGAAGATTTATATGCCTTGGAAAATATCCTTTCTCATTATTAAGGTAACCAAGTGGAGAGCTATGATTTGGTAAGACTTACTATAGATATTTATTTGAGATGATTGATATATTATTATAATGTATGATGTCTGGATGATGTCTTAGTATTGAGGATGGAGTATGAAAGAATATACTATATTTGGATTACTAGAGCGTGGGAAATGAACGACATGAGTGTAGTCCGTGGTCCTGCTGAGTAGAAGTTTTATTCCATCGATACTAGTCCAATGCATATCTCAGCATTTAAACTTTATCGTCAGACATATTGGTTAAAGAGAAGAGAGTAATTGTTACGAGGTTTGCCGTCTAGATCACGTGGAAGTGCTCTAGGCTCTCGAGGTGGTTTATAACTAGGCGTCAAGCAGGGACTTAAGTAATGACAATAATGAAATGCAATTCGTAACTAATAGTAGGATATACTAAATGATTGATCTTGAGCACGAAGCTCTATACAAAGGAAATCCATCTTGATTATATAGTCCTTCATGCTTCCATGATTACTAGTGATCCTTCATGATCATTAGTGATCATCTATATCGTGATCCTTAGTGATCCTTAATGATCACCAGTGATCACCTATACCGTGATCCTTAGTGATCCTTAATGATCACTACTGATCATTAGTGATCATCTATATCGTGATCCTTAGTGATCCTTAATGATCACTACTGATCATTTGTGATCACGTGCCTTGGTAGTTGTGTAGCCCGTCGTAACAACATCGAATCGAGTCACAGAGTAAAAACCCCAATTGTAAAACAATAAAAAGTATAAAAAAAAAGAAATATTGTTTTTCTATATCAAATATCAAATAACATGATCTTACAAAAGATTAAGGATCTTATTTCAATACTAGTAATTGTATGTAGTAATTATTTAGTACAGCTCTTATTTTTGTAAGATTACTGTGAATGCCAGAAGGAGAGTTGGAGAGTTGTATCCGTATCCGTATCTACATTTATATTTATGCGAGTCCGATTATAATATCATGGATTAGGAATAAGATAGTAAGTTTGCTATATAAACTTGAAGTCCTACTATAAGGCCTCTCATAGTCAAGACTTATAAGATTTGTTCGATCTATTTTAGGGATTGACAGGCTTAACTGGGAGTGCTCTCAAGGATATTAATACTGGCAGAGTGTTTTCTAGTGTAAAATCAAATAAACTATAGGATAGACAAATGTAGAAGAAGCTCATAAAAATCCGTACTTTTTCTCTTTCTTCCTTTCTCCCTTTCTTCCCTCCCTTCCCTCTCAAGATACCTCCCCCCGCCTGCTCTACCCCACAATTCAGTCAACATCCCACAACCCAACAACAAACTCCAATCAACAACCTAAGAAATAAAACAAAGTGCACCTAACATCAAATAAAAAACAAACAAAGGAAAAACCGCCAATCCTACTCGATTTTTCACAACTCCACTACCACCTAATATACTAATACCTGCTGCCATACTCCATCCTACTAATACTATGTATATAGGAATTCGAGGAATGGGATGAAGACCTAGAGCGCTGAGGAGAGCGGCGATAACAAGTGGGAAGAGTGTGTAACCTATTATGCAAACGGATTGGGCGAAGGAACTGTGGGAGCTGTCAGTGAGATTGAGGGGTTAGGAGCGAGGATATATGGGAGAGAAAGGGAAGATGGAGAGGGAAGTGGGTGTGGGAAGATGGAGAGGGTAGGGAAAAGGAAAAAGAAGAAGAGAAATAAAAACCAAACATACATATTCCCCCCCAATAACTTAATCTGCACCGTAACCACCGCCTCACCCAACCAAACCATAGCAAAAACCCCACTAAAAACCTTACTCATCTGATCACCTCTCGCCCTAAAACTCAACAACAAAGACAAGCCCAAACAAAAAACCAACGGACCCCATAAATCCCAATCTCTCAATCCCTCACTCATTGCATTACCCTGTGTAAGACCTTCCACATCCGTAACTCTTCCAATCATACCCCTCAATTCTTCTCTTGCGCCTTGTATACCATTTTCTCGAAATTGTGAATAAGCTCCTCGTAAACCGTGGGAATCAATCATCGATCCACCAAATAGGTATTTTGGGTATAGAACTTCGCGCATTTTGGACCAGATGGCTGAGAGATCTCGAGAGAGAGTTTCCCAAACTGATTCATCGAGTGTGTTTGTTGGGGCTCGACGATCTTCACCGGGGATTCGGGAAGTGAGATAATTTTGATTTGATTGAGAGGTGGATTGCGTGGTTTGGATATTTCCTGTTAATGGTGTTCGGGATGTTGTGGTATTGAGGGGATCATCGAGATCATCTAGAGTTGCTAGGATGAGGGGTTAGCATGAAGATAAATGTGAGGTGTGGAGGCGGATGTTGGAAGTATACAGTAAATGAAGGGAGTATCAAAGAAATATGAAGACATATAGACCCTCACATCTCCGTATAGATGTGACATGATATCAAGGGTAGGTAAGAGACGGGCTGGTAAACACAATTCTAGCAACAACTACCAAAATTAAAATAAAACATACCATCATCCGGATCAATCAAATCATCATCTTCCTCCATATGCTGTTGATTAAAATGTTGATAAGGATTTGAAGACGACGCCATGATTGATTGATTGATTGTTTCTATGCTTGTTTCTGTGCCTGCTTTTGACTGTCGCAACGAAGCTATCCCTCTCTCTTCCTTCGCTGTGGTAAGACCCTAGACTTAAGTTCGCACAAACTACTCTTTCCCTTCTTTCCTTCCCTTTTGTCGAAGAGCTTAAATAAACCGCTGAGTTCACAAACTTCAATGGACCAATACAATCGTCCAACCAACCAAAAGATCTCGCACAAACGAACAAACGACTTTGAAGTAAAGTAAAGTAGCGTAAAGTAGCGTAATACAATTCACCCCAATGAATTTAATCCGTAAGCAGAATAGAAGCTTAACTAAAAAGCAGAAGAAACAAAAACCGTATTGCGATAAGCTTAGGTATCAATGAAATGAAGCTATCCCAATCAAAATTCCACCGTATCCTCAAGTATCCTTAAGCTCTACGTATTGCGCGTTCCTGGCTGTGTGTGATTACTAAGCTATTTTGGGGATAGGTTAGATAGATTATCCGATCCGGTAGTAAAAGAGGTCCAAGCTTCTATAATTATAATGATGATTATTGTAATTTCACCTGGTGATCCTAAAGTAAAGTAACTAGATATATAACAGATTTAATCTTTAAGATAAAAATTCAATTTCCCTTTATTTTTTCTATTTTTCCATTTTACTACTTTTTCATTCTTTTCATCTAAATCCAACGAAATCCTATCCTATTTTAAAACAGACACTCACTCATTCGATGAAAAAAAAACATCATTCAATTAGTTAATGCCCTAATAAGTTACGAATGAATGAACGGACGAACGAACGAGTCTTATTACTTTACGCATGCTCGTTGATTTGAGATCTGAGATCTGAGCTGGAGTTGGAGTTGGAGGGATACTTAATGAGTACCATTTCCATTCCCATTTCCATTCCCATGTGCATGTCCATTATGATGATTCCCATTTCCATTCCCATTTCCATACCCTCCAGCACCACCATTCCCAACTCCATTTCCATTCCCAGCCACCGAACCCGCAGTACTAAACCCATGATTCTGATGAGCATAACTCATCTGACTCTGCCCAAGCGGATGATAACTCCTCATCCCCGCATACCCATCAGGTTTTAGCTCATTTCCACCCATCCCACCCGTCTTCCTCCTCTTCTCCCTCCTCTCATTCCTCTCCTCTCGAAAGACACTTCCTAACGATCTCCCCGTTTCCTTTCTCTTCCCCAATCTCCTCTTCCAATCCACCTCCGCCTGGTTAACCGGCGGCTCAATTTCCCCGGGACCATCCGGATTCCAAACCGGGAGAACCTGCGGTTGAGATCTCGGTCCGGGTATTCCATGTCCGTAGGCGGAAATATTTCCATTGATACCGCAGAGGGCCCAGGCGAATACTGCAACTTCGCGAATACTCTTGATGGCTGCTTCTTTGGAAGTACCGGGTTGAAGAGCTGATGCCTGCGGACCATGAATGAAATTATTGCTGAGAGCGGGTTGATGCACGTGAGGTGCAATGGGATTGATACCCCATGGAGCGATAGCTTGATGTTGAACTGGAGATGTGACTGGAGCTTTACGCAAAATAACAACCAGACCATCTGAAGTGCACGATATGACGGCTTCTAATTGGATAGATTGAAATGCAGTTAGAACCTCACGAGTAAGTGGAGTATTAGTAGATCTTTGACGATTGTTTCGTCGGGTTACTCCTCCTCTGCTAGGTTGAGCAATAGATCGAGTGGTTGTGCTTGATGGAGTAGATGATGAGTTGAAGTTTCCATCAACTGCATCATTTTCACTTTCATCTTCACTTCCGCTGATATCACTCGCATCATCTAGAGCTTGATTGAGTTCTTCAATCTCATGAGGATGACGTGGATCACGACACCAAAAGATGAGATGAGCGATGGAATCATTTCCTTTGGCACTTTCAATTGCTGCGATAGATTCCGTCAAACATTGTTGTTGAATGCATTCGTAGAAACTTTTACCAACCATGTATTCCTTACTGATACCGAGAACTTTTTCAATAGCATCAGTGGAATACATGACTGTTAAGCTGCGAGTGAAACGATTGAGAATCAGAGCAGCTCTTGGTTCACGTGTAGAGACGTCGGTATTTGGAACTCGAAATTTGAAGGAAAGATTCTCCAACATGTGATATCTCAAATCCTTTGGAGGGGCAGTGAATCGTTTGACGAGACTCTTGGAAGTTTCCTTCTCTGAATTAATGTCAGTAAAAAACATAAAGAAAATAGACGAAAAGTAAAGAAAAGCAAAGTAAAGTAAAAAAAAAAAAAAAAGGAAAACATACTAATACTCTCACGGATCGTCTCCAAATGATCCAAATGCTCCTGATCCTTATCATACGCACTAGTACAAGCAACCAAAACATCATGAACCACAGTAAAAACACATTCACACTTAACGAACTTAGGCTTCCCATGCTCATCCCGATCCTTCTGTTGAATACTAGCATGATAAATCACAGCGGCCTTCTCCAAATGAACTCTCCTGACTTGTAGCCTGACGAGCAAGCGGAGTATTATCGTGATTTTTGTCGAAATACTCGAACCATGGTTTTCCCACTACTTCTTCGGGTTCCCACCCGAGGATCTCAGAGATGGATTCAGAAGCGAATAGGATGTTGGCTTCGCGGGAAAGATCTGTTTGAGAGTATATCGTTAGCATAAATCAAGGGAATGTGTTGAACTAATAAGAAGATTGGTAACCCTATGGAATAAACATGTAGAAAATCTTGCAATGTAGTAGGCTAGCTATGACGCTCCGCTGGCCCTCCGGAGGCCACTGCCGTGGAGGCAGACTATTTGGAAATAAAATATCAAAAAGTTGATGGAGAACCAAGAGAATAGAAGCAAAGACTTTAACAATAAAACAATAGGAACATTGAAACAAAATCTTTCCTCCATCTTTCCCGGCGCATCCATAGGTACTTGCCCCTTACTTTTCCGATCCCCTATCCCAAACCCTAGCTCTAAAACCCACGAGGTCTTCCACCATCCTGCCAAATCATCCGTTATCAAGAAGATGAACATGAACATGAACATGAACAAGAACAAAAAAAACACATCCTTATCCCCTCTCACCGCAGCAATCTCCGCTTCCCCGGTCCGGCACTTTCCACTTTCCACATCCCATCAACCCTCCCTCATCTCTCCCACCCAAACCAAATCCAAACGCAAACGCAAATACAAAACCAAAAATCAAATAAAACAAAACCAAAACCAAAACTCACTATGAATAGTCATAAAAGTAGTCTCCATTTTCAGAATCTGGCGTTTGTATCTCTAATAAGATGCTCAGTTCTATGGAACGGGGGTAGACGAAAAGACGACGAAAAGATGTAATCCCCAAACAAAATATTGAATGATTTCTTTCCTATAAAGATATATAAAAGATATCAAGATGGGAAGGAAAAGAAAAGAAAAAAAAGTTATCGAGATGGGAATAGGGGATTATATAGAAAAGTAGAGGATGTTTTCTTTGGAGAGGCTGATTAGATAGGTAGGTAGGTGGGTTGTAGAGCTTCTATTTTCGTATCATTACTTTCTTCTCTTTACTTTCTTTACGTTCTTTACGCGGTGGTAGGTGGATAGGATGGATAGGATAGGTAGGAATACCTAGAACATTGAGTATTGGTACTGATACTGGTATTGGTATAGGATTGGTGTACGGTACAACTAAAATACAAAGTAAGTAAGTAAATGAATGAGTGCCGGAGAAAGATCAGATCGACGATTTGAACGAATGAAGAAATACAAGGATCTATACTGGGTTTGATATGTATGTAAAATGTTTGAAAAGATGCAAGTTTGGATGTACTTTAGATAAAGCATCCAGTTATTATTCGAGAAAGGTTTGTGGGCTTGCTGTGTAGAGGGATGGCTTGCTTGCTTGCTTCTGTTATGTATGTATGTAGGTAGGTATAAATAAATGAATAAATGAATGAATGCATGCATACATTAAAATTCAAGCTTTTTAACCCCGCGAAAGTCCTCATTCTTCTTCCTCCGTGTATTAGTTACTGCGCATGTAGCGCAAGCCCTTTTAGTTTCCCGAAGACAACTAACTAACTGCTGGCTCTAGTACTCTGCTCCGTACTCTGACACTCTTTTAGAGAAAAAAAAAAGACGTATGCACTTTGAATTGATCAATTTAATTGGCTGAATAGGAATAAATAAGCGAAATTTCTCTTTCTTCTAGAGCTGGACTTTCGCTAGGGTATATTCCTTTTTCTGGGTTTGCATTGATCTTCTGGCTGGAAATATGTATGGATATGTGAATTTGTATAAATATATGTGAATATGTATGGATATACATGGATTTACGTGAATAATTTATGTGGAGATGTATAGATATGCAGATTTTCTAGTTAGCACTCCCGTTCTTACAAGGATCTTAAAGCAAGTGTGTTCGGGAGTCGGAATTAGGGATTCTTCTGAAAGAGCTGGCTGGCTGGCTGGCCGGTTGGTTACTTGAGGAGTTACGGTTTGTTGGTTGGAACTTGGAAGATTATTTTGAAAGCATGCCCAACGCCGTGGAAAATTTATTCTGTTTTATCATGTTGTGTCGGTTACTAGTTATGCTATTCATGTTGTGTTTCAATGTTTTCGAACAGGATACTCGGGCTTGTGGTTATGGCTGCTGGGTCTGGGTATGAAGGGGTGGTTTGGGGCTCTGGTGTAATGTTGCATTTGTGGTACACATGATGGAAATATAGTTTCTCTTTTCTTTTGATGTTTCGTTTGTGAGGAAGGAAATGGAAGGAAATGGAATGATTGGTGTATTCTTGATGGATTATTTATTCATAGTATCTTGCTAGGTATTTTGGTAGCATTTTTCTTTAGATTACAATTGATGAAAAGGGGAAAGAAGACTATCATGAAAATCATCTTAGTAGATACCCTATATCAACCTTAACCTTCCGAGTACCTGCATCAAATACCTAAAAGTTGTAGTGGGGATATAAATGGATTTTAAGGGTCCTAAGTCGTGATTCTTATATAGGAGTGTATAGCTTAGTGTATAGTTTAGTGTATAGTTTAGTACATAATGAGAGTACTAATCATATCTATTGACATCCATCCTGCTTCATAACTTGACAAAAGAAAATAACTCTTGAATGTTTGATCATCATAGCTGCAAGCCCCAAAACCTCATAGCTCACTGCACTCAAATATATCCATCCCACCTATATCAACAGTTATATAGTCTGCCTCCACGGCAGTGGCCCCCGGAGGGCCAGTGGAGCGTCATTAATTCTCCTGGTATTGGATAATTGATTACTGAGCGATAATATTTGATAATTGAAACTTGATATCCCGTTTCAAGGATTCAGGGCTTGGAAATTCAAAGAAATGTTTGGTTGTGTATCAGACAGGGTGAGAGAGGGGATATCCTTATCCATTGGTAATCTTAGAAAATCATATCAAAAACCTTGGGAAAATATCTGCAGGGTCCCAGTTTTTTGGGGGGGGGGTGTTTTTGCTATGTATAGTTTGGATAAGGGTCTTTTGTCAGTTCTTGGCTAAGAAAAGGGTCTTTTTGGTGAAGCCATTTATTTGTTCATCAATGGTTACATTTATTTCTCCAATATATTTCTATGGTTCGATCACTATGAAGTAGCCAGCCATACTCCTACATGGTACGAGGATAGGATTGATTTTCAACTCCGCCTCCGCCTCCATCCTATTCTGAATTTCTTATACTTGTATATCCTATTCAGTTACATATTAATGGAAGTGGAATATAAAAGCCAACCACACAATGCATGTCAATGATTCGGAACCATCAAGTTACACCCGCCCTTTGTAGTGAAACATATCACCAAGAGAATGATGAGCATGAATAATAGGAAAGTTCGGGATACTTTGGGAATATGGAAATCGGATATATTCGGGGGGGACAGAGGGACAGAGAGAATACTTCCCTCAGGCTTCCTTTTGCCTTCTTGTCCTCCTTCGTGTTCGTATTGTCTTTGAAGGGTCATCTGGATGATATGGTGATTGTTTTACAGTTTTAGTTTTGTATAGTGAATATAATACTTGGTCTTTTATGCCTTGATGAATTGTAACCCATAGAATGTAAGCCTTTGACTTGCTGACATGTAAGGGGGAGTATCAATAAAAGCAAAAGTAATAATAATATATCAAATAAGAATTACCTGCACTTTACGGCACCAACTTCCCTCCAAAAGCTCTGACAACCAAATTTAACCCCCACTACCACCACCACCACTTCCTCCTTCTCCACCACCACCACCAAAAGTCTCCGACCTTTTCTAAACCAACAACATCCATGAATTCTTTTGATGCGCAACGAAAAAGCCAAAGAAAGATACTAGATACTTCCGAAGTACTTGAATACATATGGCATGAATAATAGACAACACTTGATTCAATCAGATTCAACCACATATCTCAAAGGTAAGCAAAAGCCAAAATTGATACTCAAAAATCTCCCGCTGCATTATGCCTTGATTCTTCATTATCAGAAAACCTACACCGACAGACATCAATACCGACACAGTCACATTTTCTCCGCAAAGACGGTATCGTGGATGATACCTGATACATGATACATGATGGATGTTGGAAGATGTGAATAGTTACACAATAAATGAGCGAGGAGATGCATGAACTTTCTTTTTGAACGCTCGTAAACGCCGTGGCTTGATTCTCACGTCTTCAAACGTGTCTGTCCGATGCTCTGTATTCAAAACATGCAGAACATGCGAGCATGGCTAGTTTGGAGAAACGATACACATCAATTCACCAAACATGTCATCGCATTGCTTTACTCTCACAAAAATCACGTGTACTGATAAAACCTCACTATCTAGGATCATTGGGTCAAATCTTCATGGGAACATTTTCGTCGGGATATCTTACTGCAAGTCGGTAGGTACCAATACGTACTCGGTTCGGGAGACAACGATGAGCTATTGCATCCGATAACTCATCTCGGTACCCATCTTCTACTTTCACCAAAGTATCGGTCCGTAGTTGGAATACCCAAGTATCAAGTACTACAGGATCGAGATCGATAATATTATTTTACAAGACTACTTTTTAATATCAACATTGAGTCTCGGAATTTCTTGCTGCAAGGCGCAACGCATATCACATTTAACCCGCATTCAAGCCATTCAAGCATTCCCAGCCATTGATTTGATTTTCAATTGATCCTAGGAAATCCACTTCTAACAGACCTGCAATCATGAGTTGGAGGCACGGATTTGGTGAATGGGAATTTCCTAAATTGAAAGACGCTCTTCAATTTTCGGTAAGTTTGCACTCCGGACATGCATCTACGGGAATTGTTGAGTTTGTTGGTCAGTGGGGATTTGGTATACCTTTACGGGAGTCACCTTTAGCATGTCGGTGAGGATGATGATGCATCAAGGGAGTTTAAGTTTCCTTTAAACATATTGGAGAAAATATCGGTGAATGAAAGGAAAACGATCTAACTGGACAATTCATTCTTTAGAATCTTCCTAGTGGTATGTGATAACCCGTTCCGGTATTCCCAAATTATGGAGAAATGGCCTGACATTTTTTAGCAAATTATTCAAAAGATGGTTCAACTATCAAAGATGTTGAATTCTGGAGCGTCAAATTTTATCCTTACACAAAACCTGGTGTTGATCCTATATTTGCTGTGGTAGGTGGTAAACATGTGAGTTTTTCTTTCTCTTCAAGCCTCACGTTTAATTCGCTAAATGATGAAAAGATTTTGATATGTAGACCTCCTACTGAATCAAAAGGTATTGAGGTTATACAAACCATCATAGATGAGGAGGTAAGTCATTAAGTTGTGTAACCATATGTTGCTGGTCATTAACGCAAGATTTAGCCAAGTGCAGATCATTACTCATGTTGTTGGACTAAGGATTTAGTGACACAAAAGCCTCTTCTCTGTGTGGCAGGAGTTGATGCAAAAATCAAGATTTTTGATGTACTTACGGGGAAACTTTTAATAGTGAGTGAGATACATACCTTTGAGTGTAGAAACTAACTATCATAGGTACTTGTAGGACATGGAGGGGTATGATCTTGAAGCATTATAGTCTAGAATTTCAAGGACTAATTAGTGATAGGAAATTGATGAATTGATAATTTCTCCAACTAACCCTTATATTTTAGCATCCTGTTCTGAGGATACTACAATTCGAATATGGAGTTTAGATCCTAAGCATGAGAAATATCCTTGTGCTGCAATATTATCAGGAGGTCATAAAGCAACTATTCGAACGATTGTACGTCCACGTCCTCTACAAATTCATATCAGATTACTAATCTTAAGATAGGCTTTTCATCTATGTGGAAGATATTTAGTATCTGGGGGTGATGATCATGTCATAAGTCTTGTTAGTATTTATCTTTGAAAGATGGATGATGTTAGTTAATATGATGATCTAGTGGACATTACCCAATTTTCCGGATGAAAATACTGGAACAAAAGTAGCGACACAAATTCAGTATCCACATTTTACAACATCAGAAATTCATACAAACGCAGTTGATTGGTATTTTATCTTTTTTCTTGCTATGAACGTTCTTTCGTTATCTCTCTGCTATCAAGCACTCTCTGCCATCAAAGCACCCTCCTACATCTCTCCTCATCTCTCCACCATCCATGTATCCCCATAATCCCTCTATCATCATACCTTTACTCCCTTCATTGTCTAAACACCAAAGCTTCGAATCTGAAACTCACTGATCTTAGCGTCTACTTCTACAATGATTCCATCCTTTCTCGTGGCCCAACAGAAAACTGTATCGTTCTATGGGATATCACGGGATTTGATTCTGAAGGACCTATCCCTGGATATGATAAAGCTCCTATACAACATGAGGCTGCTGATGGAAAGTATACTTTAACTTGTTTTACGGATCCAAGTAAATCTGATTGTTATGTCAGACTTATTGAGTATGTGTTTGTTTTTTTTAATCGTCTGGATTATTGATAGTCAGTCTTGAACTTTGATATTTTTTTTTTTTTGGAGATATAGAGATTGAAGAGATTTTCTATTCTATTTCTATGTTTACAACTCACATCATATATCGAGTCATCACACTCTGATATCAATCCATCCATTCCTAAAATCTAAGACGTCTCTTCTATTATCTTACATCTACCTCCAATCATACATTCAAAGCTAATGATCTATAGATTTTCCGCCCCAGAAACCGGAACCCTCTGGATAAGATTCTCATTCTTCCAAGGTCTTCCAATCCCAGAATCATCATCCACCAGCGATCACAACCATGACACCAACCAAAACCCCATCTCAAACAGTCGAAGTCACCCCATCCTCGCAATAAGTTCCTACACCTCCAAGATCTACTTCTGGGATCTCCACCGTCTCACCGCCTATAATAAATACATCCGTTCCCTCCCATCCTATCTAACCTCCAAAACCGAACCCAAACCCAAATCATATCCTGACCCCCCCGAACCTCAAGGCCTTTCGTACTCTTCAATCTTCGGTTTACCATCGGGTCAACAAACTCCTATTCCTGAGGAACAAATCCCTTCTCCTGTAAAACGCCCTCCATTTCTAACTCCTCATCGTCCTCGAAATTATCGTGGAGCAAGAGCAGGAGCAGCAACAACAACAACAACAGGAATAAATCTCAAATCCATCACCAACAGACTAAGAGAAACAAGTCCCTCCAGTATCTCCACAACATCAACATCTACCCATCCCCCCTCTCACTCTCACTCCTCTTCATCTCAACCCCCAAACCCACAAACCCCCCAAACCCTCGATAAAATCCCCACAACCCGTACAGACATAAACCTCTGGAATGAAAAATACTCCCTCAGACAAAAATATCCTTTAAAACCTCTCAAAGCACATAGGGTAGAGACGGTAAAGGGGTTTGGATTTTTAGGGAGGGGGGTCGCGTGGAGTAGAGGGGGTGAGTGGTGTGTAGTTGCTGGGGGGTTGGGGGTTGTTGGGTGTTTGGGGAGGTGAAGTGCGGGGAGGAGAGTAGGGATGGGATGGGGAGAAGAGATGAGATGGATGAATTTTTAAAAGGTATCTGAGGTATTTGTACATATACACATGTAAGGTTACAAAAATAAGAAAAAGGATAAAAAAAATCAAAATAGGATAGGATATAAAAATATTTCTTACTCCCATTATTCCACATTTCATATTGCCGCATTTCATATTTCCTTTCCTTCCTTTCCTTCGTAGTCGCGATATTCTAAAGATTTCCTCGCTTCTTCCTACACCCCTCCTCCTCCCTCCATCCCCCCCCAAAGAATCGACTCCAACGAATCAACTAAGCGCTAGCTTCACCAAGCCAAGTATGTATGTATGTATGTATGTATGTATGTATATCGAAAGCGAAATAAACAAACAAACAAACAAGGAAAACCACCTCTCCTTCCTCCCTCCCTACTTCCTCTCATCACATTAAAAGACAAAGCCGGTAAATCCATGGGTATCTTTATTTTGACGGTGAGTTCATTGCGTGAAGAATGATATCATATCTCTCAAGCCTAGCTTATAGCTCATGTTGAACATTTTCGATTTCATTTATGAATAAGTTGTAATTATTTTCATTCATCTATTCAATCACAGCAAAATTAGCCAAATCTCCCAGATCACATCATACAAAAAAAAAAAAAAACTAACCTTGAGAATCATATTAATAGGTTTTGCTGCTGTTTCTCCTTCAAAAGCTGTAAATAAAACCTGTGCTGAAGTAGTTGATGGTTTAGGTTTGAATTCCATAGCTTTCAATACCACTGTATTCAAAATAACTCTGTGGGTATTTTCTTGTCGCATCACCAATCGTACACTATGTCCTTCTAACATTGATGAATCGAAACTACCAGGAATTACATGGCCATTTTCATCGAAATCGACACAAGATTTTGGTGCGTTTATCTTTAGGGTACCGACTCCTCTCTCTTTCCAACCTGCTTCCTTAGATCCCATTGCAAATAATTTGGCTCGAATTTGTAATATGGTTGCTTCTTCGGCTTCGCCATCATCAATGTGAACTAGAAAATAATTAGTAAGATAAGTCAGATGTAAAATCAATACTTTACCTTTCTTGGTCTTTCTCTTCTCTTCAACAACTGCTTTCTCACCCCCTTCTTCTTCATCTCCTTCAGCCCCACCCTCACTATCATCCTCATCCTCATCCGAATCCTCCGCATCACTAGCTGGAGCACCAAAAGGTTTAACTGGCTTGCTACCTAAAGCGCCATTATCTTTACCTGGTGCAGCAAAGCTCGAAAGTTTTGGTCCAGATCCACCAGCGAATCCATTTTTTAATCCACTACCAAATACACTTCCCGAACCTAATCCACCAAATCCTGATGTACTACCACCACCAAATGCGCTTCCAAATCCAGATGTAGTTTTTTCTCCAGAGAAACCTAAAGTAGATGATGTAGGTGTTGAACTTGTTGGTTTGGAAGCAAGAGCTCCAAATCCTGAAAGCGGCGATTTTACATTTCCTCCGAAAACGCTAGGTTTAGATGCGCCAATTGTTCCAAAAGGAGAAGTACTGGAAGATGCTAAAGCACCAAATCCTGAATTGGCAAATTTATCCCCCAGATGTACTTTCCAAATGTTGACTTGATAGGATTCTCGGTGGATGATGTTGATGTTTGGGTAGTCTTTGATGTTTCAGCTGGGTTGATCTCCTGGAAGTCATATTAGTAAATATAAATGATATCGAGGAGCGATGTAAAGTAAAAATAAATATACCTTTGCTAAAGATCTATCTGATATTCTGGATGGTTCTTGTGAAGTATCTCTAGGTCTCTTCTTTTCTGGACCTGATCTCATCGTTCGACTACCATTTAAACTTCCTTCACTGACACTGCCATTATTTCTCGTACTATTATCTTCCAACTGATTTGGATCATCATCTTGATCTCTACCACGTTTCTTTTTAGGTGAAGAAACTCGATCTCTCATTTCCTCATCTTGCGCATCGATCGGTTCAGCCTCGGGGGTGGTGTCTTTGTTTTTACCTGACATCTTCTTATCTTCTGTATGAGTTTCTGCTTCTGCTCCTTCTGTAGGCAAAGGAAGCTTGTCTGAGATTGTAGTATGCTTTAATTCTTCACTGGCAGCCATCGTAGCGGGATCATCCTTTGGTAAATTATCATTATTCTCATCATCCGTGATTGATGTGGGAGCTGTAGGAGCTGCCTCATCCTGATTCCCTTTGACGTTATCGGATTTTTGATTGATGGATTTCGTATGATCTTGAATTTCCAAAGATGCTGAAGCTGGATCAATTCCCGAATTTGAAGATGTAGACATTTTTTGAAATTGAATTGATTTTCAAGTAAATCTTTCTCGGAGTTCAGTTAAGAAATTTGATATGAAAGGGTTTTACTGGGGAGAAGAACTCGGTCTGCCCCTCCTGCCAACAAATGCGGCTCGGTACCTACCAAGGCGGTGAATTTGGTGAGATGGATGTTAACGGTTACAATTAATTACCAGTGAACCGTCCGTACCGAAATGATGTTGTACCGTAAGATAACAAATGATGGATATTCGCATTGCAATCTGAATTTTAAATAGTTCAAATGTACGAGTATTGAAGATTATATTGTTCAAGTTAATATCAATCCAAGTAAATCTAACAGCTTCAACCTTTCTTCTATTCTCGTCCTTTACAACCTCAATTCCAAGTATAATATAATGTTATAATTTACTCATCTCATACACAGTTGACCTGAAGGATAAAGTCAAGACATACATCCAATGACCCAAATCTTCAAGACATCATCATCTCCTATTCTAATGAATGGCTGAATTTACCTTTCTTTCAGTTACACAACCATCAGATTTCGTATCCAATTGCTATGACAAAAATCAGCCTTTAGCTTTCACCTGGATTCGAGCTCTTCATTCGCAATAACATCAACGAGATATGGGTTTCGATATTCCAACAGACCTTGTAGACGACTAGGTGTACTCAAATCAATCCTTAAGCTATCTATTTTTGATTAGTCATGCTTGGACAATCCTATACAAGATCCAAGCTCATAGTCTAGATACATTGAAGCTTGAAAATATCAACCACGAATGCCCCCTAAATGCCCTCAATGTATTCCCTAATGATCGTCTGTGCAACTGTCATCTCCAACTGTCTAGTCTTCAAGCCTTAGTAGGTATCACACATGATAAACGTAAGTAAGCTACCTATAAGATGGTCGCACTTATACATAAGTAATAAAACCAGTGAACGCAATTGCCCATACATTTAAAGGTATAGACTTGTCGTTGAGGGATAGATATTGCGCTTGTTCAGATCTACCCATAAACCCGAAAATGTCTTCTGAATTCACCATCCTGCATCTAGAATCATTCAAGGGTTAACTCTTATTACTATCCGATCAATTGAATGACGCTCCGCTGGCCCTCCGGGGGCCACTGCCGTGGAGGCAGACTAGATGGGCATCAATACTTCTTATATCTCTAAGATTTCGAGCGTAGTGAGCTAAGGGGGTTTGGGGGCTTGCCCCCATCAACAATTACATGTACGTAGTTGGATTACCCCTTTTATAACCATGACCCTCCATGGTGTCAAAATTAAAGCAGAACTACCTACCTATCCAAGAGACGCTAGCATCCCACGCAACAAGGCTGAACCATTTAAGCAAACCCCGCCTGATCCTACAAGACCACACCTCATACATACATCTCTATGGAACATATCCAATAACAGACCTCCAAAAATACAATAAAACATCACGCGTCTATTTCTTCAACTCTGATTCATACAATTTCAGAATAATCTTCCCTTGTGACGTGGAAATAACCGCGGTAAACGCCACAATTCGTAACTATACGTACCTACCTAGTATTCGAGCCTTGCTTAGCCTTAATCGTGCACGCCCCACTAAGCAAAAGCTCCCCTCACCCCGCCATATCTATTCCTATTCTATCCCTCTCCCTTCCTTTCTTTCTTTCTTTTCCACTTCCAACTTCCCACTTTATTACATACATTACATCCATACCTGTAAGTTTTGGAGTTCCTTTTATTTACATTTTTTCTATAACCTTATCTCAATCAACAGCAAGAGCCAGAGCAAGAAGTAGAAAATCACAAGATTATTTTTCTTCGATCTCTGCGACTCATACTCGATTGAAGATATAAGACTAACATCTCTTATTTACTTTAGCTACATAAACCCAAATCCAATCTCTCAAACGAACGAACGAACGAAGAAAATAGCAATTAAATATACAAACGCCAATATGTCCGCATTCGATACCGCAGTTGCTGATTCAGGAAAGCTTACGAGTAAGCCTGGATCTGATGATTTGCTCGAGCTTTACAGTATGTGCTTTTTCTTACTTTCGGTCCGTTCCTTGGATATTTTTATGTACAGTGGAGTGGGAGTAGCAAGAGGAATGAACGTTTGTGAATTGAGCTAGGTTAGGGATGATGGATAGGATTAGATATGGGTGTGGAAGTTGGTGATAAACGACTGGTGATGAATGCATAGTTAAAGACTAACACTTGGTGTGATAAATAGGTTTGTACAAGGTCGCCAATGGTGATGATATCTCCAAGGCTGAGGCTCCAGGAATGTTTGATATTAAGGTTCGTTCATCTATTCCTGCCCTTTCCCCCTCCTCCTTATCTCTCACATCCATCCCACCACTCTCATGTTCATCCTCACCCTCATCCTCGCACTCCAAACTAACACACCATCCCTCAATCCAGGGTAAAGCCAAAAAGAAGGCGTGGCAAGAAAAAGTCGACTCGGGAATCACAGCCGAGGAAGCCAAAGAAAAATACGTTGCTAAAGTCGAGGAATTAAAGCAATCATGTGGTTATGATGCCAACAAGGTTCCTGAATCTGTTGGTGGAAAATAGATTTTCATAGATTTTTGAGGGGAAGGGGTGGATGAGAAGATACAAACATCAGAAATATATACATAGCATAGCTCGGAATGAGGAATGAGGAATGAAATAGAAAAATGAATTACAGATGACAAGTGCAGGCTTATGTTTACGTTTGCGTTGTCCTTGTAATAAAGTAAAAGTTAATATAATATTAAAGTAAATTTGTAAAGTGTTAATTATTGAATCGTCATTAAATTATTAAAGCAAGGAATTATCAGAGCTACTGTAGATCTTCATTACAAACATTAAACCATCCGAGGAAACCTCCAAAGCTCAACCTCACTCAAAACCACCATTATAATTTACCTCAAGACATATCTGCCCTAAAAACCCGAGGACTTTCACCCGTATGATTCATTACTCGTGGAATAACAGTTAAAAAGTGAATGAATATAGATCGAAGATCGAAGGTTGCAGTATAAAACTCCCAATCTCAAGCCTTCCACGTATTTCCCATCCAATCCGGTTCGCTATATGAAGCTGATGCACACCATGGGATATCAGATTTGGTGTACGGGATTAGAGGAAGATCGTAGGGGATACGTGCACCTATTAGTATTGTATTCTCGGTATCATTCTCGCTTTTCTTTTCGATTTCTTCTCTTCCTTTTCCTTTTCCTTTTTCTCTTATGTTGTTATTATCAGCTGTTACACTTGTTGCTTCAACTGCTACTGTGGATTCTAGCTCAGATGTTACGTCAGGTCTAGAAGGTATGTCTGTCCCGAAACATGGCACCATCTTTGACTTGTTCCCCTCATCCCATAGTCCAGGCCAAACTATTACTCCAATCTCGTAACTGCAAATTCGTACTTCGCCTGCCGTATTGATATTTTCACCCCATGCTTGTTTAGATAGATTTGCAGAAGTTACTAACATCCAATCTATTGTTTTGTGAGAGGATGAGCTGAAACGGATGTAGGTCTTTATGTGGGGAGCTGCACGCTTGCGATGAGCGTTTTGTGGGGGTGGGGAGGCCATATGTGGTGATAAGGCGATATTGGAGGTGTTAGAAGAAGTAGCCGACTCCGAAGTAGATGATGTTTGTGATGTTGAAGAATGTTGTTCACCGTCTCCCGCCCAATGACATAACAATGGTTTTAGATAAGCTAATTGTTTCCCTTGAGCCGACGTGAGGATCTTGGTATGAATTGCGCTACCTGATGAATATCCATTTATACTTCTTCTAATTTCATCGGCTGTTGGAAAAATGATTTTGAATTTTGGTTTTGGACTGGGATCTTTGGATGTACTCAAGGCTTTGAAAAAAGTTTGGTTTAACCATTTATCTGTTGGACCTAAAGATGCTATTGAAGAAATTTGAACCACGATTTCTGGTTGTGTTTTACTGCAAGGTATGGACTTGAGGATGCTCGATAGGCCCGCCCATCCCCATGCTGTTTCTGTTGAGTCGAGTTCGATGTCTTGTTTTCCTGGGGTGCTTGCAACAAGAGCTGCACGGATTTCGGAGAAATCATGTTTTGAGAGTTGTTCAATTAATGGCTTGCAAATGGCCCTCTTGGTATGGTAAGCTCCTAGGTAATTGAGTAGATCAATTTTAAACTTGGATCCTGAACCCATTTGACCAGACTCTTTAGGATTTGGCTTCTCTGGGTCGAGAAGAGGGAGAAGAGGAGATTTCCACATAGCTTGTGTCATGTTTGTCCAATCGAATGGGATCATGTTGGCCGTATGAATGATGACTTGTGCAGTAGAGTCATGTCGGAATAGAATGAGCATCTAAGAAAGTTAATAAACCAGTTTTGGACCTGTGAATTCTGAGGTGAATTACCTTCGAATGGTGAGTCCCAAACATTTCAGGCATGTAAGCCGTGAGGAGTTTGACATTGGAATACTTCAAAGCTTGCTCCTAGAATATATCAGTAAGATCCTGACTTCAAGCCTGGTGAAGCACAGGATAACATTGTATTCATAGATAGACAATTTTGTCTTTTAAATTCCTAGATCTGAAGAAACAAATAAGACAGCAAAACAATGAGCTCAAGAGTGCAGAAACTGTATACGCAAAAAAGACGGAGACGAGTGTAGTCAACATACCATGAGATTGAGCCTGGATTGATCTTCTCTCTTCCAAAAGCCATGAACCACATTAACCTTGACCAAATTCCGTACATCCTCATCGAATTGCCCCATCAAAAAGTCAAGATTATGTAAATAATTGAACTCCCAGCATTCTGATATCAGAGGATCACCCAGAATGTCTTTTAGAGATACAGTATCCACATTTGATGAAGCAGGTAGATCTCGGATACTTGTAAGCTGAAATGGCGACTTTACCACTTTTTGCTTTGTAATTTTCGAAGATGTCTGCTTAGAACTTTCCACCTTATGCTCCAGACTGCCTTCCTCCTGAATAGGGATTTCCTTCCTATACCGTCGCAATGGAGGTGGTGATATCGATCTATTCATACCTCTTCGTACGCCTTTCTCATTAATGTCATCATTAGTATTATCGTCAACTTTACGCCTCTTTTGAGCTGGCTCATCTGAGTCTTGGCTATGATTTTGATCCATGGCTATGGATGATTGGTCTGCGTTTGATCTTCTTTGTTCCATGATAATTTATGTCATAATTGTGTCAAGGGTTGTTGCTGATGATGATTAGAGTCACCTATCGTGTTAGATAAACCAAACAACTTGAGAGAAGACGGTAGTGAATGAACTTCATTCCATACATAATTCAAGAATTACTGTTAAGAATTACTGTTAAGATCTTACCCTTACCTTGTAATTTGATAGGAGGAAAGGATCCATAATCACGTGCAGCCTTAATTCATCCAAAAAAAGAAATTACAAGGATCTAATTTCTTAGCGAATAACGCTAATGGTGCAACTGTGTTCCATCAGTTCGTTCATATGGAGTCGACGGTAATTGATTGAAAGAGAGTCGAGATCCTTTTCTTCCATTTTCCAAACTTCACTCTTTTCACCCACGATAACTACGATTTCTCAGGAGGATACTTGGGTTTTACGATATTTATGCGATATACTGACCCTCATCTCTTGGATTCATTGAGGACGATAAGCTCTTTCTTCTTACCTTCGTTGGCGGATTCGCCCCGACCCGCATTAATCTTTCGATTCTCAGGGTGCTGATAGCCCCTAACCTCTCTTCAATATGCGTCTTCTTTCGATTTCATTACTATCTACCGTCTTTGCCTCTGTTGTATTGGCACAATCTGAAGAACAGAAGTTGGAGAATTCCTCTCCTGAATTACCTGGAGAACTCTCTGCGGATGAAGCCTCAGATGTACCACAACCAACAATATTTAATGGAGTCGAAGTTCCCCCCCTTCCTGAAATAGATGGAGAATCTTTTAATAAGACAATCGCGGATGGATATTGGTTTGTTAAACATCACTCGTGAGATCTCATAACTTCATTTCTTTTACGAGATTATCATGCTCATAATAACTTCAGACCTTACTGCCCGCATTGCATACACATCGCGCCAACATGGCAAACTCTTTACGAGTTCTATTATACTTCGAAACCTGTCAAGTCTGGGACTGATGATACTACTTCTACATCAATGAACTCGTTCACGGCTTACTACAATTATCATTTCGGTTCGCTCGATTGTATCGCTTTCGGAACTGCCTGTTCAGATCATGGAGTAACTTCTTTCCCAACCTTTATATTATATAAGGATGGCGAGGAATCAAAGAGATTTGTTGGACCTAAGGATATGGAGAAATTGGGTGCTTTCATTGAGGAAAGTCTAGAATTAATTAGACCAGGGTCTAGACCAATTGGTGGACCAAAGTTCCCACAAGAACGCGACACACAAAGTCCGGATTATAAACCTACAGCAGCGACCTCGAAGGAGACCGAAAAGACAACCGAGAAGTCCACGGAGAAGGTATCCGATAAGTCACCCGAAAAGTCATCAGAGAAATCCACAGAAAAGTCATCCGAAGGATCAGCGCAGAAACCAGAAAAAGCAGCAGAGAAAGTCTCAGAGAAAGCCACAGAAAAGGCCGCAGACATCGTTGTGCCAGCAAAGGATGCCGTTAAGGATACTGTAAAGGATGTTAAGGATGGTGCTAAGGATGTCGTCAAAGATGCTGTCAAAGACACAAAAGCCGACACCGCCAAAATTACTACCAAGCCCACCCTCAAAGCTACATCGATCGAAAAGAAACCTTCAAAACCAACCCAAACTGCGAACCCACTTGGAACATCTGTATCACTCACAGCAGAGAGCTTTCAAAATTTGGTCACAATGTCTCAAGATCCTTGGTTTATCAAATTTTACGCTCCATGGTGTCATCATTGTCAAGCTATGGCTCCTAACTGGGCTCAATTGGCAAAAGAGATGAAAGGAAAACTTAATGTTGGAGAGGTTAATTGTGAAGCAGAGGCTAGGTTATGTAAGGATGTTCATGTTCGTGGATATCCAACCATTCATTTCTTCCGTGGTGGAGAACGTGTTGAGTATGAAGGACTTAGAGGATTAGGTGACTTTGTTACCTTTGCTAACAAAGCTGTTGATATTGGTGATGGTGTTAAGGATATTGATGCTGCTGGATTCAAGGAATTGGAAGAGAAAGAAGATGTTATCTTCGTTTACTTCTATGATCATGCCACTACCAGCGAGGATTTTGCGGCATTGGAAAGATTAACCTTGAGTTTAATTGGTCACGCCAAACTTGTCAAGACGAACAGTGCTGCTCTTGCCGATCGATTCAAGATTACAACTTGGCCTCGTCTATTGGTATCTCGAGATGGTAGACCAACCTACTATACAGCACTCGCACCTCAAGATATGCGTGATTTCAGACAAGTTCTACATTGGATGCAATCAGTTTGGTTACCTGTTGTACCTGAACTCACAGCTTCAAATTCACGCGAAATCATGGATGGTAAGATTGTCGTTCTAGCAATTCTATCTCGAGAACGTGAAGCCGATTTCGCAATGGCTAAGAAGGAATTGAAGCAAGCTGCATTGGAATGGATGGATAAACAAATCATCAATTTCCAACGTGAGCGCCAAGAATTGAGAGATGCTAAACAACTTCGATTGGAAGAAGCCGAGGATCGTAATGATCAAAGAGCTTTGAGAGCTGCCAAAAGTATCAGAATTAATATGGATAAATCTGATCAAAAGGAGGTTGGATTCGCTTGGGTTGATGGTGTATTTTGGGAAAGATGGATTAGAAGTACCTATGGTATTGATGTTAAGACTGATGGTGAAAAGGTTATTATTAATGATGAAGATGTAAGTATTTTCGCTTTTCTCCCGATCATTCCGACTTTCTTAAAGATATTAACACATTAATAGAATCGTCGCTACTGGGATACGACAATCACTGGAAACTACATCATTCCTTCCCGTACCTCAATTTTGGAAACAATTCCAAAAGTTGTATCCAATCCTCCCGTCATCAAACCAAAGAGTACTGTTGGTTCATTTGAAAAGATGTTCTTCAGTATTAGAGGAGCAATTAGTGGACACCCATTCCTCAGTTTCGGAGTAGCTTTAGGTATGATCTTAGGAGCTACATTGTATGGTAGAGGAAAGATAGGAGCGAAAAGGGGAGGATTCTTTAGGGTAGATGATGGAAAAGATGGATTGTTAGGTGGAGTTAATGGTGGAGGAAAAGTTGATTAAATAAAAACAATCATGATTGTAGATGATGAAAATGGAGCTGATTAATTCTGAAGATAGATATAGTGGTTCGGTGGTAGGGGTAGGGGTAGGAGTAGGAGTAGGAAGAGGAGTTACTTGAATTGATTCATTGATTAATGGTTTATGGTTGCGTAGGGTTGCTTGGCTAGGCTAGGCTGGGCTTGGTTAGCTAAGCTAAGGTATTCTAGGTAGGTAGGTAGGTAGGTGAAGTAGGGCTTTGAATTTAATTTTTTTTTTTTTTTTAAAAAAAAGAAATGTATTATAAGGGTTAGGGTAGCTGTGGTTTTTTGAATTTTTATTTAGTTTGATTTTGATTTGGTTTGATTTGGTTTGATTTGGTTTGATTTGGTTTATTTTATTTTTGATTGTGAATTTGTGTATAGTATATACTATGAGTATTGAGAATTAAAAAGTAATTTATCTGTGAATAGATGGAGTTTTAAGATTTTAGGGTCCTCGTTTATTGATTTATTCGTTATAATGTGATGTATATAACATAAGTGTTAAAAGGAATAGAAGTTACCGGTACTAATCACGTGTCGTGATTAGTAATACGGTTACCTAAACAGGCTAGATTAGATGAACCATAAGCAGGCATATTGGTCCCCTCCGAGGATACCAAGAGGAGATCTTAATATGCCTACAGACGTAGTAATATAGTCAATATAGAGGCCTCTTCCACCCAATCTTTTAATAATAAGTACATTTGTCCAAGTAGGTACATACTAGGTAGTCTTACTAGGAACCTAGTAAGTACAAGTAGATAGACAATCAATCAAACCCCCAATCCAAATACCCCATCCTCACATCCTCATTCCTCACATAACATCACATCCATCACATCCTCACCCCATTAACACAAACCCCCAACCCCTCCACCGCAGGTATCTTTCCCTCCACCCTATTTCCCTCTCTCCCTTCTCCATCTATTTTTCCAACCCCCTCTCCCCCCAAACCTCTCCACTTCAAAGCCCACCCCGCAACCAACAATCCCATCTTCTCAAGTCCGATATCTTTATATTTATTTATTTCTTCTAGTTTTTGGATTTCTTGTTTTAGGGAGGTGATTTGTTTTTGGTGGGTTGAGATTTCTTTTTGATGGGCTGAGATTTGATTTTGATTTTGATGGTCTTGATTGTGATTTATTTTTTGGGGTTGGGTTTGATGGGGTTGGTGGGTTGTTTGATGGGTTTGTCGGGTGGTGAGATGGTGGGTTGATATTTCCTCGAGGTGGGTTTGGGGGGTTTGAGAGGATTCGTCATGAGGTTTTGGAAGGCTTTCTTGTACTTGTACGCGTGCGATTTCCTCCGCTGCATCACTATTATTATTATCTTGTCGTCTAATATCGCTTTCCGAGGATTTTTCCACAGAATTTTGTAAGATTACTTCTCCCCGTAATTCTGTATCCTGTTTCTCCAACGTAGATTTGTGTTGAACATAAATTTCCTCCTTAAGCTGCGCAACTTGTTTCGCTAAGAGTTTATTCGTTGCCTCGAGGTATTCTTCGCGTTCCGTTTTAAAGCTCATCTTTGAATTTTGAGATTTTAGCTGCGAGGGTTCTTCCTCTAGTTGAATGATTTTATTTGCGAATTGATGAGATTCTTCAATATGATCTTTTTCGTGGCGGTCCCTGACGTGCTTGAGTTTTAGCTCTCGTTGGAGTTTGGTATTTTTGTCGATTTCAACTCGATGTTGATGTTGCCATTGCTCTGTGTTGAGTTCGGCTGTGGAGTGCTCTTTAGTTTTGCTAGCGAGCTGTTTGCGGAGGGAGTTATTTTCTTCGGTTGTGACTTTCCATTTTTTCTCCCAGGTTTCTGCTGCGAGTTTTAGTTCATGTGCTTGTTGCGTAAAGGCAGAAATTCGGCTTTGAAGGTTCTCTTTCTCTTTCATTTCAGCGTTAAGAAGTCTGTTGAGTGTTTCTTGTGCGTCAATTGATGCTTTGCATTTAGTTTCCCATTTCTTCACATCATTCATGGCTTGTTGGGTTTGCTGGATAGAAGTATCGAGGTGGTTTTGTAGCTCCCCTTTTTCAAGTCGAAGAACGGTTATGTCGATCTTGTTAATAGCTGTTGAATTGGGTTGCGCGGCATAAATTGAGGAGCAGTGTTGTTTTAATGGAGTGGCATAAGATATAGCTGCCTTTGGTGGTGCAAGGACCGCAAGAGCTGGTTTCTTCTGTCCTTCCCACGCACCTTTAGTGATGTCTGCCTTTCTCCTCCGACTTGGTGGACTTGGTGTGCCTTCTTCATCTTTATCCTCATCATCGTCACTTGATATGTTCATCCCCGCTCGCCAATCGACTCCGTTTGACTCTCTAGGCATAAGCTTGACATTTTTCGCAGGAGAAGGAGATGAAATACATTGTTTCTTAAATGGTCGATTATCCGAAAGTTTTACAGCTGGTGAAGATAAATCATGTTTTCCTAGCAATCCAGTTAGTGAAAGTATGTGCGAGCAGAAGAAAACTACTTACCCGTCTTCAAATGATCTTTCTTGATAGGAAGTGGAGAAGAAAAAGATTGTTGACCTAGTCTCATTAATCATGCAAACAGTGAGACATAAATGTAACAACTTACTATTCTCCAGTTTCGCATTTTGAGGAAACAAAACTCTCCGAGTAGGAGGCAAAATTTGTCGAGCAGCTTTAGCATTCTTCGGAGGAAGAATCGGAGAATTTGAAGAGTTTGGTGTCAACTGTTTGACTTTCTCTTGAGAGTTTTTGTGGGACTTATGAGGTTTGTGATGTTTATGCGGTGATGGATTTTGAGGAGATTTACGAGGAGTCGATCTCTTATGTTTATTCGACGTCATGATTACCTGTAAATACAGGATTGACTAATATGATGTGGTATTGCAAACGACCGAGTTCCAGGTATTGAACAGGAATATTTCTGTGTAGGTCTGTCTATTGAAGGCTTTTGGTGATGAAATCAAAAATGAAGAAAATAAGCTTTGGAGAGTTTCTTTTATGGTTTTAGATCAACAATGAATGGGGTTTTATAAACTCGAAGATAAATGAAGGATTTATGAATTGGAAGAAAAGTTGTATGTATGTGGGCAGCGGCGGGAAGATGCATGGATTTGTCGTGACTAGGAAAAGAAAGTGGGAGGAAAAAGCAAATTATGTAGCTTTGCAATTTCTTAGTGGTGGCGGATGATAATAATAACAAAAGTAATTGAAGCTGAATTGAAGGGATGAGTGAGGAAAGGTGTGAAGGAGTAAAGGGAGAAGTAAATGGAAACTTGCCTACAATTTGTCTTCCGAGACTATGATGGAATGTTGCTTGGACAACCATATATATACTTTTAGCTGTCCACGTTATGACAAGTATATAAAGTCATTGATTGATTGATTCGTAAAGCTCTAATATTCAAATGTCCTCATAATTTCCTGGTAGCCAGATGTATTACTGCTTCCCTCTAATCATAACTAAATCCTGTTCGAGTCCTCTGATTTTATTCTCCATCTTGCTGCACTCAGTTCTGAGTCTTATGCACAACCCATCAATCTCATGTAATCTATCCCTCAATTGTTTATTCTCTTTAACTAAACGAGAGAAATTCTTTCCACATTTTGTACAGAGCCCATCTGCTGAAGTTGGAACTTTGTCCCTCGAAATCTTCATCCTCTCATCATGCTTTGTCCCAACATCAATTGCTTCGAAATTCGACCAACTTTGCTTCGAAAATGCGGTATTTAAGCGCTCTATTCGTTTTCTCAGTTTATCCAAACTCTTGTCACGTCTTGCAACCTTTCGATTAAGTTTTTGAATACGTAAATCTTTGGCAGAGATTGTTGATCTCATGGCTTGAATTACCCGTGCTTGCTCATCTGCCGTCTCCTCTAGAACCCGAACCGTAACAGATTCTGCTGCTGACCTGAGAGTTGCAATTGTTTCGTTAATGTTTTGAGATGGCTCGTTGATGTTTTGAGACGGCATGTTGATGTCTCTATCGTCACTAACGGTGTTCGCAGACTTCGTGGAAAGTGTACTACGTCGTGAGGTGCGACGTGTTGCTGTGTGAAATTAGCATAGTCGTATGGAAAGTGTAGAGTGAGGAAGGGCGCACACTAGTTGGCATTTTGGTAGAGTTATGAGAAGGTCGATAGGGCGCTTCAGCGAGACTTTGCCGTCTTCTCTTCAGAGAGGCCATTTCGGCTTGAGGTTGGTTGACTGCTGGGTGTTATTGTAAACTAGACGACGAGAATAGAGATAACTCATTTCAAGGGACGCAACATAAGTTTGATAGAAAGCCAAGCCAATATAGAGCAAGGCCCAATCAGCTCCCTTTTCTCATTTCTTCACAATGTGATTGTATTCCTCATTTTATTGCTTTTCCCTCTTGTGGCTTTTGGCTGCGGCGTAAACCTTTCCTATGCTGGATATCCGGGCAAGAATCCATGGCAGAGTATCAATGAGGTCTAGTTGAATTGATAAATCAATTGAACAATAATGATATGAGTTGAGTGAGTTCAATGAGTTGAAGATATGATATTCGTAAATCCAACAGGGTCGTCCCTTAATCCACAAATGAGGTCAAAAGTTCCCCGCGTTAGAATCATGAAGCTTCTGTGGGGTCCCGGGTCAACGCTAGTAAAGGACCGTGCATCGGTATTTACTCAGTAGATTCAGGTACACAAACGCCAAAATCGCGAGAAATCGCGAATGCACCTGACATCCCCTCATTGACCGACTTACACCCACCAGTGACCTCAATTGAGTACAATCATGGCAGATGAAGATGTTTCCGATGCGGATAATATTCGTATTAGAGACTTTGTAGTCCGGTTTCTTTATAACTTCAATCTTGCAAAGGGAGAAGGTATTTCTGGTACTGTCATTCAACAATCCTACATCGATCAACTAGATCGCGTTTCGGCAGAAAGTACCACCTTCATTAAGAATCAGAAGAGAATATTTAAGACTGTTGTGAACAGTATGATAGCAGAGGTAATGGAAATACCGTATCCTAACTATCCACTGTTGTGCTAACATCTTCAATAGGACACGACGGTAGATTTATTTGAAAATAGTGAAGGAAAGAATGTTATGCGACTTTACGATTTTGTCAGGCCTCGAGATATCTATTCGTCTTCTAACAAGGAAAACTCTAACGAACATACTGAACAAGCCCCAATACCAAATGCACAGCCCGATAAATCACATAAGAAGATCAATCGAAACTTGATTGAAGGCATTGACCCAAAAGGATTAGTCCCGAAGTTCAGAAAAAGAAGAATAACAGAGGTGGAAGAGAGTGATGCTTCTGGGAATGATACTCCTTCTATAAGCCATTCAAACTTAGGCAGCAGAAACTCTAGTCCTCAGAGATCAGAACGGCCAGCACTTGCGCCTCTAGATGGAAATCGAAGAATTTCTGCGCCGGAACAATTTTATAGCCCATCCGTTCAGTCTGAGCCTTACCTGCAGATGGACTTTTTCCCGAATCAAGAGCTAAAGGATGAAAAGATGGTAAGTAGGTTTGAGATCATTAATAGTATCCTAGACTGATTATTTAGTTGTCCCTACCAATTTGGCTCCAAAGAGGGCTAAGTGAGCTTCGTCAAAAATATCCAGATTCCCAGTTCAAAGCAACAGATAGCTACGATATCAGATGTACCGATTGTGATACGGAACACAAAGTCGCAAAGTACAAGAAAACAAATAATTTTGAGAATCACTTGAAATCCAAAAGCCACCTCGAAAATGTCAAATTTAGACTTGACAATTCTACTTCTTCCAGGCCTCCATCTGCGCTATCAACGTACTCAGCTATGCCACCGCCGCCATTGCCTTTATATATTCCAGCTGTCCCTTCTGTGGCAGCACTGCCAGATAATCCGAATGCGAATGGTGGACTTTTAGAAAGCATGATAGCAAATGTTGTACAACAAAGCACCGGACCTTTGACTGCACATATTCGCAATCTGGAAAATCGACTGTTGTCGTCAGAAAATACACACAAGCAAAAGTTTGAGGAGATGGCTAGACAGCTTGATGAATCGGAGAATCGTAATCGTGAACTATTTTCACGGTTGGAAGAGTTCAAATTATCAACAGAAAAACTAAGCGCTAGACTTCTTGTCACCGAAGCCAAATCTACAGAACAGAAGGAGCTATCCGGTCGTGTAAGGTTATTAGAGCAGACTAACGAGTCGTCGCAAGCCTCGAGAAATAGTCACGCAGCACAACTTAAAGATGCACAGGGCAGTATAAGAGCGCTTAAGCAGGTAAGCATGTTCTCAAAATATAATCTGCGGGTGAGAAACTCGGCAAAAGGGAGAAATATCGTATGTAAGACTAAAACTTTCCCAGGCACCTATTCCAGGTATTGAATCTGCCATAGCAGATCATACTAATCAACTTATGACCCTCGGTAAACAATATGAAGGCACGGCACAAGATTTGTCACGTCATTGTCAAGTGGAAGAAGATCTTCGCAGAAAGATGATATCTCAGATGGAAAGCGAACGTCAAAAATTTAATGAACGTGTCAATCTTCTGCAGACTGCAGTGGCTTCTCGTCATGATGACCTTGAAGAATTGAAGAATAAAGTTTTGCATGGTCCTCAGCATGATCAAAGCAAGTTTGATGCTCTGAGGGCGCAGCTTGTTTCGGAATCAGATGCACATCTTAGACAATTTTCCATCAGAATAAAGGCTATTGAGAAGAAGGTTGCTCAAGATTCTATACAGTTTACTGCTTTGGATCATAGAACTGCCGAGTGGATTGATACCACTGATACGAAGTATGGTTCTAGGCTTGCAGAGTTGGAAAGCGCGATAAGCGAAAGAATTCTTACTGTCCGAGCCGACCTAATGGGTCATATTGATGATCTGAAGAAGCAGCAGACAGGAAGACATGGTGCAGTAGAGGCGAGTATTGAAAGCAGGCTAGCGGGGGCAGAAAAAATGATTGAAACCATGAATAACCAACTGATGGCCTTCCGGAACCAACTTGCAGCTACGGAGCAGAACCTCTCACATTTTGTGTCAAACTTTAATGTCCAGGAAAGCCATACAGAAACCTTGGCCTCTAATTGGAAGGCATGGCAAGAAGAACGTGAAGAAGAACTCCGAAATCTGGATATCGAGGTCATGAAAAATTCTTCTGCCGTAGAGAAGTTGCAGATTGAACACACAGCATTCTTGGAGACTACTCCAAAAACTATTCAACAAGTGGAAAGACGTCTGGAAGAGCAGGGCCAAGCTTCTATTAACGAACTTCGAGAGAACTTGAAATCATCTGAAGAAGCATTGACGGGAAAGATTTGTGCTTTACAAGAAACGCGGGTAAAACATCGTCAGTCTACCCTTGAACTTCAGCATAAGCAATCCGACACGCTTATGAATAGGATGGATGAAAAGGTGCGTAACTTAGAGAAAATGTGTGCAGATTTATCTCAGAAAACGAAAGATAGTGAAAAGCATAGCACATTTATCATGGATCAAAAGATGCAAGAGAGACTCAAAAGTGAAGCTCAACATCACAAGGCTACAGCTGAGTCTTTGATTCGAAACTTTGTATCCAAGAGAGATCGCGAGCTACAAGCTAAATATGAGGAGACATTTAAGCCGATGTTGATGAAGTTTTTGACTGAAAAGGATCAAGCATTGAGGAAGGAGTATGATGAGAACATTGAAAATGCATTTCAAGCACGCATGCTTTCTCGGGAGAAGGAACTCGAGATTAAGTACGAGGAAAGGTTTAAACCTTTGATAGCAAGTTTCTTGATAGACCAGCAAAAAGTACTCAGAGATGAGTATGAAGCACGCATTGAAAAGTTACTAGGTGGTTTCAAAGATGAAATATTATCAGCAGACAAGGAGAATAAAAACCCAAGCGTCAAATCAGAAGAAGAGCTCAAGTCACTAGTTCTGGACGTCACAGAAGAAAGAGAATCAACTCTTTTGAAAAAACACGAAGCAGATATCGAAGAATTTATTGGGGTTCATAGAGTAGAGATGGGATTGCTGGAAGAACAAACTCTACAGCGTTTATTGGTGCTAGAACAGCTTATTAGAGATCAGGCTCAGCAGATTGAGGATTTGGATTGTGTGGTTCCTTTGGCACTGGATGATTTGAATGGGTTGATGATGAAAAGGAGATTGAGAGATCGGGGGTTGAGGAGGGATAGGGGGAGGGTTGGGAGGGGTGGGACGGGTGGTAAAGGTGGGAAAGGTGGGAGATTGTGAGATGAGGTGGTTTTGGGGATGAGGTTAGATGAGATAATAGGTTATGAGGAGAAAATATGAGGGTTTGAGGGTTGGAGTTTGATAGATGGGAAGTTTGTAAAGATGGTAGATAATGAGATGATTTTTGGCGTATTGAAAGGGTAAGTAGTGACTAAATGGGCAAGGCAGGCTAAAGTTCTCATTAGAGTGAGGGTATTGAATGAATGGATGGATGGATGGATGGGCGTTATGGTATGGATGTATTATGCGAAGGGAGCTGTACCATTTTTTCCCCCCCGAAATATAGATATGATAAGGATATGGAAGTGTAGTAAAAGAGACTGGTGGATGGAAAGGGGGGATGA